AGCAGTGCGTTTGCATTTGGGACCCAACTGCGACTGCAGGCGATCGAGTACCTACACAGGTACCTTCGTTGCAAGGCCATGTTACGCGCATGCATGAGAGCAGCTAATGTAGGCGTGAGGAGCCTTGTTTCCTAAGTGGCTGCAGGGAGATCGTCAGCCCATCAAGCCGTTTTAGTGGCTCTTCTCTCTGCCCAGCCGGCGCCCTGATGGATATGGATGGATATGGCGTTTGGCAGAGCACCAAAGCACTCCGATCCATGGCAGACTGACTCAAGCCAGGCTGCTTCAACAGACCTTTTTGGCGGCTTCATCTTGCTCCGTGTTTTCGGACCTGTTCCAAGGGCTGGCCGCCAGTCTCCATCGGCGTCCAGCGTCGGCTGCAAAGGGCGCTGACACACACGAAGCCCTGTCTGAAGTCGTCTCCACTGGGAGAGCCCTAAATGAACACCATCCGACAGGCCCCACGCCAGCCCGGCCGAAGCGGCGGTTTGGCTGAGGAACCAAACAGAAGAGAGCCACGACACATCATGGTCGGCAGACGTGTGTGACTGCTCACCCGTCCGTCTCACTTGGCCGTCGCACACGCACTCTGGCCTTGGGCGTATGGTGGTCCCGTCTTGGAAAAGTGCGTCAAAAACCGGCCTGGGGCGTGGAACTTTTCGTTTGGCCTGCCCCATGCGGTAGGGCTACATACATGTACTCGCACATCTGATTTGAAATTAGTCGTCGTGGATATCATGTTTGGGAATGGCCGATTGCCTATGTACTTGCCAGAGCATCGCAGATTCTCCAGCAGCACATTGCTGCGACTTGCGCCTATTGGTGTTTGGATGTACCGGACCCCTAGTAGCAAGGCACATGTGGTAGGTACTAGTATTTGCGTGTCGGTTCAGACGTACGTTCAGGAGGTCAAACACCTAGCTGCGCAGCTTGACGCAGCATGAATCGGCCTGTCTCGAGCCATGGCCACAGCCACAGGCATCAAGTCTATGCCGGCCTGGTACGCATCAAACGTGTCAAACGGGCCTGTGCCAAGCAATCGCCCTACGAGTCCGGCTCCAGCTCTCCGTCAGCGCACTTTAGCTCTTAATTAAGTATGCCGTAGCGTCCTTGATCCAAGAGACAGGTCCTAGGAGTGGAAACCCGCGCTCCCGTGTCTCCGGGCAAGTCAAGTCAGACCCTCTCTGGCGTAAGAGAGTGATCCATGAACGGCGATGGCGGGTCAGCTCAGAGACGAGGGGTACTACTAGCAGTGAGTAGCGTGAGTAAGTACGAAGTAGCACCAGCTGCCGTAATGCTAGCAGCAGTACTAGTAGTATGCTCGGTTCAGCCACGATGACGATGGACTTTTCCTCACTGCCCTTCTTTTTTTTCAGCCGACGTTGACGGACTGGGGTCCCTGGTTGTTTTGGCATGTTTATGCCAGGCTGCGGCTCTGTGTACTAGCAGTATAGTAGTAGTCGCAGTACTAGTAGTAGTAGCTGCCAGACCCTTCCCGGGTTGAATTGCCCGCGACCAGGCAGCTGGAGCGTGACCAGCGACATCGTCTGCTTTTGCGTCGTCTAAACTTGAGGGCTAGACCAAGAGCCAGGGCCAGGTTGCAGGAGGGCTGTGCGGCCTTGATGATCTGATTCCCATCCCACCAGGTCGCCGTGGGTTTCCAGGCTCTGAGATGGATGGATAGAGATGGATTTGCATGATCAAAGGGTGAGAACGTCTCCTTGCAAAGTCAGTGATAGTGCCAAGTTTTGGATATTTGGTGCTGCATGCCTGTTGTCACACAATAGCAAACCAATCTTGAGGGAGGTGCAGTTGAAATCAGTGCTATTGGCTCTGTTTAATATTCTTTACTGCCTCAGGCTGGATCGTAAGATGCCGTAGCAAGCCAAGTTAGTACCTCCTTGCACATCCAGAGTTACTCGGGAGGTACAGTACGCGGCACGCGGCGTACCTTGCATGTATAGCGCCGCCATCTATTGCGCACCTGCATGTACCTCTGACAGATGGGCATCGGTACATGTAGCCGTGCATGCATGCTGCACGCCGTAGCCTCCCTTCTAGCAGGGCCGGGGCCGTTAGTTGCAAGAAACAACTACTAGTAGTACTGAAGCAAAGTACATGTATATGTACATATCGCGCTCCCTTACGTCGGCCTCCGTCTCCGTCTCTCTCTCTTTTCTTCGTCCTTTCCATTCCTCTTCTACTTTGTCCTTCTTTCATCCTTTCACCATCCTCTTGCTTGACCCTTGATCGTTTTCTACCCCTCTATGCGTCATCCCTCCTCGATAATCATAATCCTTGCTCGTCTTCATCACGATACTCGCTCCTTCGTCAGCAATTGTGGGTGGAAAGACAGAGACGTGAACACAGCCTGTGGAAACCAAAAACCAACCGGAACCAGCCGTCATCAATCACTTCGAGGCCGCTGTGGCTCTTTGAAATCTCTGTTGCCGTTCGTTGATTCCATCGTTTGTGGTCAACCGCGTTACCCGCATCTTCGCTGTTGTTTCTCGAACCAATCTCGGCACTTTCTCACCACCGGAGCTGGCTCCGGCGTTGCACCAGGCTGTCGGCACCCGCTGGGCCAGACCCCCGTCATTTCTACCCGCGAGGGTCTGCAGGCTGTATCAAGCAATCGAGGTTGACCCTGTTCTATTTTTGAACCCCGGCCGTTGCTCATCACCTGGGCGAAATCGCCACCCACGGAGCCTCTTTATCGGCATCCGGCCCCGGATTGATAACCCACGCCCGCTTCTACGCCCCGTCGACAGTCAAAAGACACAACACCCCCCCCTTTGCAAAGTACTTGCAGGGGCTTTTGGCCCGGTCTTGTGCTTCCCGGCATCTGGCTTCTCCCGTCGTCCGCCGCCTTGGACTCTACTCTAAACTCCTAAACGCTGAACCGAGCAGCAACTGATCAAACCTGGATTCCGCTAGCACGAGAGCAAACACAGACGGGACAGTCTAACACACTACCTTGTCACTACATTCTCTTGCCGGGGTGGTTAACCGATCCGTGAGATTTCTGAAAAGCGCTGAGATTCGATATATAAAACGCCTAATTCACGCCCTCAACTCAGCCTTCATCACATCTTGCCACTCAACCATTCACTCCTCATACATACAACTCTGATTATCTACACTCAACATTTACTGAACACTCAACGTCTCAAGAAATACTTGCAATACCAACCAAAAACTTTAAAAGAAACGCCTTCCTCTCCTGTCAGCCGCCACTGCTGCTGACAACTCATATCAACACTCTATTTCGCCCACTTGCACTAGTCACTTTGACCAAACGTCACTATTTTTTCACTTTATTCAACTTCGTACTGCTCTTCGAACTAGCAGTAGCCCAAGACTCGAATCTGTCTGAGACTTCCATCTTTGACGGATACCCAACCAGCTTCTCTCAATTCAACAACAACCGCCAACACGGCTCAACGACAGTCCTCCACAGCAATGGCAAACTCTTGTGCCCATTCCTTCGTCATGATCAAATCTGACAACACTCTTGTTGAGTGGGTTTGCCAGCACTGCCGTTCGGGCCCTCACTGGGCCATCTACGAGTGCACTTATTGCAAGCTTCACTTGTGTCGCCCTTGTACCCAGGCTGCTTAAGCTGACCGCAAGGCTACGGTTTACGTCGGAACAACCACTAAACGACTAGCCAATTCCATGGCAGGCCACTGGAAAGGCCAGTCGTGATTATGCCTGCCCACGTTGCTGTTTGGGATGGAGTAACATCTTGATCGCGACCTCTTATGACGACTTTATTACGTTTTGCGGAGCACTTGCTTCTTTGGAAATGCTTCTAGACGAATACAATTCTCACGAATCATCATGACTTTCGCTGCTACTGATTTTCTTTCTTTTGTATTGACCGCCTATCCCCGTCCTTCAGCACTTGTCTTTCTTTGGCGCTCTTCAGTTACAAGCGTGCATTAAGCCTTTCTTGCATACCAGGATTGTTTGCCATTTGTCTATAACTAGAGGTCATGTTTCTTTTCTGTCTTGTTTTGATTCCAAGCATAAGCATACGATGGATTTTATTTTTCTGTTTGTGTTTGTTTTTGGTTTTGTCTTAACGTTTTTGGTCGGGGTTTGCTTTGCTATTTTGGAAATTCTGGATGATACGGTTCTCTCTTCTACTCATTGTCCTGCGCTGTTTTGAGATTTAGATGGATGGACGAGGCTGGCTCACGTACCTACCTACCTATAGATTGGCTGCCGTAAGGCAAGGAAAGCTCCATATGCATATGTGAGCATGGCACATAGAATTAGGATATAATTGGATTGTCAATTACATGTCATTGCCCGGACGACCTGGCTCGTGATTCTCTAGTGCAACGTACGCCTTTAGAGCTGTTCGAAAGCAAGCTCATTTTGGAACATATGTCCTAGAGAAAAAGCAAGTGGCAAGGCAGTAGAAGAAATCCACTGTTATAGTTATATCTGGTTATTTGCACCACTTTTTATCTGCATCTTTAAAAGTTCTCAAGCATTTTGGATTTAACATCCATTGGGTATTGACCAAATAAAGGCAGAGGAACATGATCCAATATCGTCTCATCTTTTCTCGTTTTCTTCCATCCTTCCCATTTTCTTCTTTCCGTCCCCGTTTGTTCTTCATTTGCGCGTGTTCTGCAGCACAGATGCCGTGATCCCAAGAACAACGGCCCGTATGTAGCACAGAGATCCGTCTTCGTGTGAGATCATCTTTGTGTGCTTGTAGGACGCGGTACACAAGATGAGTTTGCCGTAGCGGCTGTGGCATCTAGCTAATCTTTTCTTTTTCCTTCTTCCTCCTTTCTTCTTGGTGACACACAATTTACGCTGATTTCTTAAGTTTGTGTGGCTCAAGCAGATGGGATATACTTGCTTGCGAATAGAAGATGGCAGAGTAGGATGAGAGGGAGATGGAGCTCGGCATAGGCTAAACCCCTCTGAAGAGGCGATACTATCGCTCACGGTCAAATGCCAACATTTTGACTCCAGGCTCACGAATAACGGTAGAAGCGGGCAATCGTCTTATCCGCGTACGCCCAGTCAGCCGCCGGTCTCTCAGCCGTCCTCTTCGTCACAGCCACCTCGTCTCCGACCGAAACGTCAGCGCCATCCAGGCCGTCCACCAAAAAGGCGTATTTACCAAAGACGGGCTCCCATTTAGCGCCAATGTCGACCCGTCGATCAGCCATCAGCTTCTTGAGCAGCGTGCCCTTTTCTCCCTCGCCAAAGCGCCCCGTGTCGTAGTCCACGTTGAGGGAGGTGCATCGGTCGCACAGCTTGGTCAGGGCGAGGACGGGACGGCCGCTGATGGACAGCTCGGCCCAAAAGTCCTCGTCGAAGTCGACCTCGCCATCTACCACGATGTTGGGACGGAACTTTACAATATCCACGGCGTTATTGGTGTTGGAGAAGCGCGCGTTGACGTTGCGGAGCGACTTCTCGGTCACGACGAGATAGGCGGCCATGTCGGCAAAGGCCAGCCAGTCTGGCTCGGGCTTTGGCTCGGCTTGGTGTTGATCTCGTCCACCCCATACGTAGTCGTATCCGCCCCATATGTAGCTGTACAGATAGGGGAGCCAGCCTTGGGTAGGAGGCGCAGCAGTAACCAGTGGTTGGCTTCTAGGTGAGTTGGTTCCTAGCACTGGACGACGCTCGTCGCCAATGTAGAAGAAGATGGTTTCGAAACCGAAGCAAGCAGTAAACCACTTGTCAAAATGATCTCCCATACGGTAAGCGTTAACCAGTGCCTGATGAAGGTTGATCACTTGCTTGTCAAGCCTCGATAAGTCAGGATACAGGGGCACGCGAAGAACAACACTCTGTTCCAGGCATTCTGGCACCAGCGGCACCTCTGGAGGCATATATCGAACATGTATCTCATCGCCTACAATCTCCGGGATGAAGCGGCTGCAGGCGGGAAACCTATCAAGCTGCAGCTTCTGCAAATCCCCATTCTCTTTGACCTTGAAAAGCATGAACCGTCTATCATGCTGCACTCCCGAAGGGCCAAGGCGAGCGTTGTGGAGCGGGATGCCGCGAAGTCCCTTGATAGGGTAGACCCAGATCTGGGGGTAAGAGGGCTTGTTAGTGGTACATAAGCAACCTTAATCTGATTTCGCTCCGCGTTTAGGTCAGACGCTTACTCCTGTGACTTTCATGGCCGGCGAGATTGGGCGATGCAGCGGAGTAGATGTTGGCCCGCTCGAGGGATGTGATTAGAGAAAAAAAAGGGTATGACTGTATTCGAGATACTGCTACAGTACAGCGTCCTTGCCTTGGATTCTGAATCGTGGTAAGACATTGTGTTTTATTTTAAGAACAGAGGATGTCTGCGGGATCTCCATATTAATCGCCTCAGTACCTTGATACGTGTAAATCTCCATCATGTTTGCTTGTACAGTACGCCTTGTGTGGCGCGCCCTTCCACGGCAGTTAGCAGACTAGGCTGTAAATCGCAACTCGTTTACACCTCCGCAGCAAGCGACCCATAATCTCGCTGCTTTAAGCTCTTTTGCTCTCTCTTTTCTGCTGTTTTGTTTAAGGCGTGGGGGGTAAATAGTAAACCATCAATCAACCAAATTTTATGGGCATGCTATTAAGCGGCGAGATCGGTAAATAAGCAACAACACAGCAAAGATCTTTGGCTTTGTGGTAATATCTGTGAATCTTTGGTTGCAAAGATAGACGCAGGCCGATTCAAGTGGATAAAGAAGCAGAAACAGGCCCACAGAGACGGATGCAGAACAAGGGGCCTATTGCTAGAAGTCTTGCAAGATGATGAGATTCTTCAATCTAGCCCCCATCAATTCTGCCTACTCGTGCACATGCTTGTCACTGATATTCCCGTAGAACGCCGAAGACTGCCGCAAAGTGATAGGATTCTGTCTGCAGAGCCTAGACCTCTACTTTTGGACAATCTTGCTCTTGCGCATTATGAATACCTTTGTAATCATGGATTCCATGTCAACCCGAGGTTAGAATGACCACCCAGCGAGCAGGAGTTATCGCATAATTCTGTTGCCTCCTTGGTGACATTTTGCTGCTGCTTCTTATCGTGAACGCCATTTAGCCGAAAATAACAATGATAGATCACAGCCGAATGTCCCTGCTTCTTTGCGGATAGAAGAGAGATGGCTTTCTTTGTTGTAAAAAGAGCGATTACTTCATTTCTGTAACCGAAGTCAAGCAGGAATCAAAGTACATCGATAAGAGGTGCTTGATCCTTCTTTCTTTTCCCATGTTTATATAACAAATGGACATTGAGACTATCGAATTGCATTCACCGACACTTGGATCCGCTTGAAGCCTTCAGGATATTCTTCTGCTGGTAATCACGTGCAAAATATCTCCATCATGTGCAATATCCCCCACTCGCCGTTGTGTGGGAAGGGTGGAAAGATTCGGCCAGGCCTTATCGTTCTCTGTAGTAGGCGTGAATGTGGAAATGAAACCCTCTCAATCCCAATGTAGAAACGCGTAAAGACTCGAGGACAGGTCTGTACCATGAGGCAAGTATCGAACCCCGGGCGGGGAAAGCGGGATGCTTCGGTGAATGGATACCTAGAAAAGCGTGAGTGAAAGCTCTAGAAGCTGCAGCTAATGTTGCCGCGGATCTGACGTATGAAGGTGGACACAGGGCAAACACCAAGCCGCTTATCCATCTATCAATGGGGACCTGGTTTGCACCCTATGACACTCCATCCTTTGCGTAATCTGTTGGATCACTACCGGCTCTCACGGCGAGTTGATGTCGATATTATTGACCTAATATCAGCATCGTGTCTTCAAGTTCCGTTCAAACCGTCTTGGCATCAAACATGAAGCGGCCTCAGTTACTCAAATACGAAAATCGTCGGTGCTCTTGGTTCGGACGCGTATGCTCTGTACGTCAGCAGTGGATCGGCCACCCTTGCTCTTCTTTTGAGGGGAGGATCCCTTTGTTAGAACGTTGTCGCGGAGGATGGGGGGCGATGCTAGCTTGATAGCTTAAGTGGCCGGGTTACCGAAGGATTTGAGTGATGACTGGCTTTGATTTCGGTGTTGATAGTTCGTGCCGCTATATCACATCACATGGTAGTTCTTCTCATGCCAAATAGCTAGCACAGATACTAGCGATGAGAGAATAATACCTAGTGGCAGTGAGAGTTACCCGCGCCCTCGGGAACGGGCATGTGGGTTGATGTGATACATCGAATCATTCTTTGGGCGAGTGCCCGGTATGTTTGCTGATTCGTTCAGCTCTTTATCTTGCAGCGTTGTGAGTGGGCCGCGACGGGATGTATCCAACCCTGATAAAGCAGACGTTTTGAGGCACAAGAGGGGATATGATCCTTCGCACATGCACGGCAGGTTGTGTTGGTTCTGTATTTACATGCTCGGGGATGCGTAAGAAGGTTGATTGGCAGGTTGTATTAGATGCGAGCCAGTTAGAGACGACGGTTCGCTTTGATAAAGGCAGCGGATAAGAGGAAGAGATGCCGGCCCCTCATTCATTCACCGAAGGCGTCAGGCCTTTGCACGCCTGCCTACATGTATGCGAGATGAGCAAGTATATGCAATGCTAAATCATGGTGTGATGCACACTGGGCCTCTAATTCACCCGGCTTGCATTATCTTCATCGCTCCATCTGTAGCTTGATTTGCGCAATTTGGACCCCGATAGCAGTCCTTCTTGGCATCCCTGATAACCGCCATGAGCTCGAATCCGCAGACAGGGCCAGACGAGGGGAGCAGCTGCAAATGGTGGCGTGCAAATTACTGCTACTGCTGTTGGTTGACGCCTCGTTAAATCTATCGGAAGCGCATGAGGAGTTTTTTTTCTCTTCTTTCTTTGGCCTGGCTTATCGCGTGCCCTCCGCCCAGCGAACTGGGGGCCCAGACCATGGCCTCGAGGCATGAAGTTTGGCGCTTGGGATCGCTAGTCTGGCTGGGTCCCTGGTGGAGAGAGGCGGCTGGGTTTGAAACCCCAGGTTTGTTTGAGGTTCTCCAGCAAGGGTTTGTTTTTAGTGCCGTGGATACGCCTGGGTCGCATGCGAAGCACGAAAAAGCCATTTGATGAAAAATTCGTGGGCATTTGAAGATTTGAAGAATTGTGAGAGAGATTCAAACAGTGAGAAAGGAAACAAGTTGGAGGTAGTAGTACCTGCCTACTGTAGATAAGATAAGGCACATGTACCTGAAGCATCGCTGCTGGAGTCAGCAATAGTAACTGCAGCACCTTGAGCTTCTAAGTGCTCTAACTGTACCATTCTTGCTAGCACTGTTTTGCTGTTTGATCGTCTGCTCTCTCCTCCTGATCCCCTCTCCACCACCTCAACTGGCTCTCCTCCACAGTTCAAGCACCACTAACGGCATGTGGCATCTTTACTTGTTGCTTGGCCAAAACGATGACTTCGACAATCAGCTAACAAGCAGTAGCATGGCCAACCAGCTCACGCCACCAGCTGCTCAACAGCCTCAGCTCAGCTCTATTTGCTACAGAGTTTTTGTGTGGAGGCCAGGGAAAGGTCTCAAGCCACCGCCCGCTTTTACACACGCACTATTAGCACGCGGACATTTCGACGGGCAAAACCGCTTGTATTGTTTTTTTCTAATTGCTAGCTTTTGAGTGGATATTTCTCGATGCATTTGTTTGTGAATCTCTTTGCCAGCAAACAAGGACGAGTCAAGTTTTTGCAGAGCAGACGACGCCATAGGAGGCAGATGCTACAGTACATGGAGCCGAGGAATGCCAGGGCCCTTGTCCACCGTCTCGCCTCGCCTCGCTTGCTTGCTGGCCTGCATACGCATACGGGTTACAAGGTTTTTTCCTTCTTTCTTACATGAGCCGAAAAATCTGCGTGTTGGTTCGTCGACGGGCTCTCCCGACCAATAATAGATAGACCTGACAGCTATGGCGTACCTTCGGAGCAGATGATGTAGATCTTGTAAGGGGAAAGAAAGGTTTTCCTTTTTTCTTTATCAATCCTTGAGGCCCCCGCCTCCAGATTTTGCTCCTCTTCCCCCCTTTTCTACTTCAATCTTCCCACTTCTCTTCTGCATCTGCTCATGTTTGTTGTTGCTATCCCAGCTTGCCTCACTACTCTGTTTTCTCTCGCGTTTGGGGATTCCTGAAACAAGCAACTTGTTTTAACCTTGTTGATCCCCTTTTGTATCACCTTGATTATTTATATACATATTTGCTCGCCCTACCCAGCATACAGTAGGCGCCTGTCACATCTCATCTATCGTTGCCCACCATCTCGCAAGCGTTTACATCTTGTTCCACAACGAATATTTAGAAGACACACTTATCCGCACCACCTCTTCCTCTCTAGAGCTCGCGCCAGGCCTGGAGCCCCCCCAACCTTATCTGATCCCCATAATTCCTTTTCTCTCTGGCTTGTTTCTTCTTTATATCACTTCCTGTTTATCCCTCTCTATATCTGCAGCTGCTCGCATAAATCTTCTTGTTTCCCTCTTTTTACTCGTTTGCGCTACACCCTTTGGATCGCCCGCCAAGTGCTGCGGCTAAATCGAGAAAAGAAAGCTTTCGCGCTTCTGGAAAAGGACCCTTCATACAGCGGGTAAAAGGGCCACTCCCGCGGCAGTTTGATTGTTTAATTCAAAGCTTCGGCGTTATATACGGCAAGGCATTATTCTGGATTAGGGAGGTGGTAATCTCCCGCCGTATGGTACAATATGGAGGAAGCACATCGTTTCGTGGGTGGTGTGCGCGAGCTGGATCTCGCCAACTACGGATCTGTCCCTGTGGTGGACAGAGTTAATATTGTGCAAGGCCTGAGGACCAGCGCAGGTAAGACTTGATTTCTTTTTTCTTTTATTCCTCTTTCCTATCCTCAATTCTTTCATTCCTTGATATGTACACGAATATCTTCTTGAAGATTCGAGGAGCGCAACAAGGATCGATGATCTTGCTTCAATGTCCCTCAAAAAAATTTCTTACTCCCCCGCCATTTTTGTCAGCATCTCTTCAGCGTATAGCTCAGGAAGCTTCACAGCTCCTCAAAGCTTCAAGCTCTACTTTCTACAATCTTTTTCCACGTCGCTATTTTCAAACATCCATTTATCATTTTTCCAACTACCCAAGCTCCTTCAGCTTACAAGACAACCTTTTGATTTCTCTAAAGCTCGCTACTAACCATATCACAGCATTCTTCACATTCCTACGCGCAAATCTAGCTCTCAGCGCAAGCGCACCCGCTTCGCCCATCTCCTCCCACGCGCCGACACCCCATCTCGAGCCCTATTCACACCACCAGTTCCCATTTCCGCCATCTCCCTCGCCCCTCAGCTCCTCGACCTCCTTCTCCGACTTACACTCCTCCGCCTCCGACGCTGATGCCGCTTACTACAATGACCCTCTCGGCGACGTTCCCCCGCTGTCTCTCGAGCCGCTGCTCACGTACGACGACAAGGTCGCAGGCCTGAACCTCATTGCGGACTCTATTGCTCAGATGAAGCAACGAGCGGCCAAGTCTTTGGTTTTCCATCCGCTCTGCCTGACGCTCCTCTTTACTGCATGGGCTGGCGTCTCTCGATGGGCGTATGTGCCCTCCTCTGCGGATCCTAGCCTGGCTCTCCTCCTTTCCTGTGGTATAGCCATGATTTATCTCACAGCTATACGCTACTCCACAGAAGGCTACGCGAAACTAGCTGAGGACATGCGATGGTCTTGGCTCGAGGGCCCCGAAAGCATCGAGGGAGACCTCGTCATTGGCGCTCGCTACGGCGGCGCTTTAATCGGAGCCCTCATTCTCAGACTTGAGCCTCGCTTCTCCCCTGTGTCGTCTATTGGTGGAAGGCGCAGAAACAGGAGCAGGAGTGTGAGCTTCCGCGGGGGCAAAGGCGTCATTCGAGCCTGGACGACTCGCCTTCGCTACCGAGGAAAGGGGATCGGCCGAGACCTCCTCGACGGCGCCATCCGTATTGTCAAGGACCGCTGCGGGAAGGATGCCGAGGTGGGGTTCGCACAAGAGCATGCTAATAGTACCATGCTGCTGCCAGCCTTCTTCAACGGAGCGTTTCGTCGAGATGAAGTGCGTGCTGCCAAGGCTCTGGAAAAGGCACTGGAGGAGTGGGAGTCGAGCAAGAAGAAGAAGAGGTAATGGCATCCCAACGTCTCGGAGGAGCTGGGGGCAGAGCGAGAGAGAGGACAGGAAAGAATATATCGATCAGCTATCCCTGGAGGAGCTGTATAGGTTCTGTTGAGGATATGATGTTGGGATATATATGGTGGAACATTCTTTTGTTTGAGATACCCTTGTTTATGCATTTGCGTCTTGCTGTCTTACTTTTAATAGCGCCAGGCTTATTCATTATGAATTATCATCTAATATACACACAAAGCCTTGTCTTTGCTGATATCGTTCTGTTTCCTTGTAAAAAAATCTGACTTGCTAAATCACCGCGCCTTGTTGCTGATGTTGATCATTGCTCATTGCTGTCATTGTCCGTCATGAAACCACTGGGACTATCAAACATGCTAAAAAGAAAACAGCCTTTCCACCATATGTTGAAAACAAGATATTCACATGAAAACAAATAACAGGAAGCCGATACAATCAGCGGATATCGAGAGTGATTCTATCGGCGCGATAGAGAGTTCGTCTACTCCGATGGCGCCTTTGGAAATCCTGGTCCTCCCGACTCTTGGGCACCGCCCAGGTTACTGGATCGAAACCATAGAGGGTGCGTCCGCGGCGTTGGAGGCTATGCAAGACCTGGAATGTTCACAGCAATTAGTATTTTTGTATCTTCTTCCCTCCCTCTGTCTTTCCTTTGAGCATCAAATTGGAATCAGCAACAAAACCTGAGGTTACATACATCGTGGATAGTAACTGTCTTGGCATTGCGGTGCTCCACATAGGTCACAGCATCGCGTATGATCTAGCAAAAGAGAAAAAGGGAAATGTTAGTTGAGACAAGAAATGAAATAAAGCAAAGCAATGCTGTCGCATCTCACCTCCTCGAGATACTGCTTCATCGCTGCTCTAGTTTCGTCGTATACAGTCGCTGAGATGCGTTTGACTCCGCCGCGACGAGCCAAACGTCTGTATCAGATGAGTATTAGTAACTTTGGAAAATCTCACCATGTTACATAGAGTGGCGTTATTACCGGATTGCTGGTTTGGCTATAATTCCACGTCAGTACTCTATATCTGAATTTCTCCGAGACAAGAGGAAACGAAAACGAAAACCTACTGATGCCTTTGATGTTGTCTCGAAGGATTTTCCGATGGCTATTGTATAAGAAGTATCAATACCAACCTGTTTTACTCAGGAAGAGCAGGAAAAGCATGAACCTTACCGTCGATGACTCGGGCCTAACGTCTTGCCTCCAACCATTTGCCGGAAGGCACCTCCTCTCGACGACATGGCGGTCCTTTCGACGGATGGGAAATCGAAGGCGCTACAGTACAGTATGCTTGTAGAAAGAAACAGTGGAGCAGACTACTAGTGTATCGTCAGCGGGCGCTAAAGTGGCATCGGCTTGGCAGCAAGGAGTTACTCACGATGCTCAAGATGCGACGTGCGAGGTGACTCTGCAGAGAAAAGAACGACAGTCGTAGAGAAGGGAAAATTCAAACAAAAAGATCTCCTCTTTGTGTTCCGGGTTAGGGTTAGTCCGCTTTTTCCGTCTGCTTGCTGGAATTTCTTTGAATCATTCGAGGAAGGTGAATGAGGTGAACAACGGACGTTGGCCGCACCTGACACGCACCTGGCACGTCCGGCGGCCTCCTGGCGGTTAGTTGAGGACTGAGGTGTACGTTGCATGCACTTGTGCTCTGAAGAATTACCGAGTGTGTTCGATAATTTAGGGAGAACAAGCAATTCAGGTAATGATAGTCGAGACATTAATACACAAATGGCGACGAAAACAAAGGCGCAAAAAATAGTTCTATTTGTTGGGAATATCAAGTTCAACTTTTCACTTTCAAAACACATTGGCCGCTCCTGCCTTTTTTCGATGCCCTGAGGCTTTCACTCCTACTACTCTGAGAATCTGGACTTTGTCTTGCCCATCACATTCCTGTGTAGCATTGTCCAAAGCCAAACGAGGGTATCGACCATCTCCATCTCCAACTGTTTTCGCCTATATTAAAGCTGTTTTGGGTCCTTTATTAAAATATTGGGGAGTAAAGAAGAGAGAGACAAGAAAAAGAGTTGCGACAACAAAAGACCATAACGCCGAGGCATTTATTTTCATCGTTTCGGCACCGCGAAATGAATAACCGGGTTCGATGCGCTCTCTTCTGTGCATCACCGTTGACTGACATCAAATCGGGTTTCGTACAAGGGTATTAAAATGAGCAAGATTCGTCAACATAGACCACGCATCCGCCGCCGCGTCCTAGGGCAAAACAAAAAGAACAGAAAGAAGGATTATTGTTGATAGGTAAGCATATAGGGCTCAGAGCCCCTGGGTCTGCAGTAACGCTGAAGTCGACAAAAACGAAATCTAAGCGGCGACTTCTGCGGGAGCGGCAGCACCCTCTAGTTCTGGAGTAGCTTTGTTTGTGTCTGCTATGACGGGCTCGGATGCCTCTGGAGCTGAGTCCATCTCAATTGTAGCTTCGGCAACAGGCTCCGGAACAAGCTCCGCAGTAGGCTCCGCAGCAGGTTCGGTAGCGGTCTCAGGCACTGCCTCAGCCGTTTGCTCTGCAGCTATCTCCGTGGTTGCTTCGGCATTCGTCTCTGTTACCGTCTCTGTTACCGTCTCTGTAGCTATTTCTGCAAGTATCTCCGCTGCATCTGCAGGGGCTGTTTCTGCAACTAGTTCTGTAGCCATTTCTACGGATGGCTCGACAGTAGGCTCTGCAATGGCAGAAGTAGTAATATCGGCGGCGTCATCCATTGAGATGCCAGAAGGGAGCTCTTCGTGTGCTTCAACAACGGGCTCTGTAGCAGGCACTTCTGCCATATGAGCATCAACCATTAGCTCTGGAGCAACGGCAACTGCAACTGCAGCCAGGGCATCAGCCGCTTCCGCCTTGACAGCCTCATCAGAGTCTATGGTGCGTGCTCTCTTATAGGGCCGCGTGTCTGCGTCAATTAAAGCTTCCTTAACAGCCTTTAGCTCAAGCTCCAGGTCGTCGAGGCGTCGCTTGAGAATGTTTTCTCTTCGGTGACTCTCTTCGAGTTGACCTCGGAGTTGATTTTCGGTTTCCCGGCTGACGTCTAACTGGGCCCGCAGCTGGGTATGCTCGACACCTGCGACTTCTTGACCCCTGAGAGCTTCAGAAGCAGCAGCTTCTTGCTGCTCAAGCTGGCTGAGACGACCTCGGAATAGTTCATTGATAAACTCAAGTTCTCTAACTCTAGTTTTCAAACTAGAATTATTCGCAATGAGTTGTTCTTGCGTTTGCGGAGAGTCAAGGCCACGATCTCCATTCATTGGCGAGACGGCCCGTCCCTCTCCGCCATTAAACCCACCAACACCTGCTTGAGATGGGTCGTCCACCATGAAAGAAGGCAGACCATGGTTGTACATGGAAGGGGTACCGGTGCGGGAGATGGGTGAGTTGGGGCCCTCGCCATTCGCCTTTTGCGCTCGTCGAATTGCTTGCGCCGCAGTGTTCTCAGCGCTATTGGGATCTGTCGAGAGAGGGAAGCCATGTCCATGATGTTGATGCTGCTGCTGAATTTGGGCGATACCGTTAGCAAAAGGGTGCGATGCACCATACGCGCTGACGTGTCACTAACCTTTCTCTTTGGAGCGAGATCTGGGCGCATCGTCTTCACACGGTTCCGACTTTTGATAACGTCTGTCTTGAGGGATATCGGTCGCGGTCGTCCGTGCAGCTTCAAGAAAAGTCCACATGCATTGCAAAGGACGGAGCCAAACTCGTCACGTCGCCATAATGGCGTTGTTGACGTTCCGCAGTTTTGGCAGACCGGCTGCGTTGATCCATTAGTTGCCATCATGATGTCGGCTAGTGCTGGGAGATAGGGATGCGATTAGGGAATCGATTAGGGAGCGCGGCCGATAGATATTATCATGATCGATAAGGATGACGGAACTTGGAAAAAAAAAAAAATCTGGGCCCCCCGGTCGCCCGATAAGACAAGGATAAGCCGGGGCGCCAGCGCGGCTTAGCGCAGAAATTTCTTGCGATAAGGCACGTGATTGGGGTGATATGAGATAAGAATGGTAAAAGTTGGAATATGGCGACTCCAATTGGCCCGCTGTTGGCTCGGCAGTTTCTGGTACTGGAGGCGCAACAGAGCCGGCGCCATGCGATAGATTGAGATGGGAAGACAAGAGGGCCAGGGAAGAAGACGGAAAAAGAAGGAAGATTGTAAGCTTACCATGTTGCCGTTGTTGCCGCCGCTCGTAGCAGCAGGGGAGACGCCGTGATACATTTGAGGCTGAGGAATTGGAGGTGGTCTAAGGGATGCCAAAGTCAGCGTCAAAACAACATATAATGCCAGCCAGCTCGCCACGCGGCGTGGATGCAGCCAACGAACTTGGCATTGTGCGGTTTCAAACGTAGATGCAGATGTAATACCTTTGCTGCTGCGGGGGCTCAGCGGTCGCGTTGCTTGCTGCAAGGGAGGCAATGCCGGGCAGCTGCTGCACATTGGCAGATGCAGAGGTTGACGTCGAGCTTGGTCGAGAGATGGGCTCGATCGGTGGCGGCGGCAGAACTTGCGCTTCGTCCATCTTTGGCTAGGGATTCGACAGGGTTTGCGGACAGGCAGAAAGCCAGCGAGGCGAGATGCGAATTCGAGGGGTCGCCAGCGTGAATAGCGATGATCGAGACTGCTTCCTCCCTTTGCTAGAGGCGGGTGCTTTTCTTCTTCTCTTTTTTTTTCCTTCCTCAGGAGAATGCGAGCACCAGCCACTAGATCGCGGGATCGCAGATTTCGGCTCGCGCTATTGATGATGTAAGGAATTGGCGACGGGCGTGGGCGGCGTTGCAGGAGACGAGGCTAAAGCGCGGCACAGAAGCGTGGGGAAGGGAAAAAGTGAGTGAGTGAGGCGAGGAGGAAAAGGTATGGTCTGGAGGAGTATCGCGATGTAATTATTGCTCCCCCTTACAAAGTCGAGTACACAAAGTTTAGAGAGGAAGTCTGGATACGAGTGGTAGGAAGTGCTGGGAAGGCACGCGCGAGAGGGAGGGGCAGCTGGCCGTGCATGTAGTGGCCATGTACCTGGAACCTCTGCGGCGCGCTGGGCAACGGGCGAATCTGGTTGTTGGGCCGGCGTGTGCGCTGTACAGTGACCGAGCTGCGTTGGCCAGAGCCCGAGCGCTCGCTGAAGTGACACCTGGGCTGCATCGATGGCGGGCGCTGATTGGCCGGCCCAGCATCCAAGAACCGCCAGGGTTTAATTCCACAGCAGGGCAGCCTTATGAAGGCTTGAGGTCCAGCCTAAACGGCCGAGTGTGGCAGCATCCCAATCTTGATCTGTCCCACCCCACGACGGCGATTGAAGGTATTGTTGCGGTTGCCAGATATCTAGCCGTGCCACGATAGTGCGCGCATATCCTCTTGGGCGCTGCTTCAGGGGAGCCGAGCGGGAGGGGGTTGCTGATGGAGCACTGGAGCAGCCTGTAGCAGCCTGGAGCATCGCCAAACTCCATGTAGGTACGTCTGATGAGTGTCGCTGCATGCAGATGACAGTCGTGGATGCATGTCATTGGCACTTGATCAGCTCCATAGTTGACAGAGCCCCTCCACCGGCGGCAAGCGAGGGTGAGGGGTTTGGCGGCTTCTCTATAAGACGCGGCAGCGAGAGAGCAAGTGAATAAAGACGAGGTTTTTGTGTATAACACGGCTTTATAATGGCAAACGAGCTTCCTGCCCATCCGCCTGCGAGCCTAAGGCGATAAGGCTAGAGGGCGTACACAGATAACGCGCATCTGGCAGCCACATCAACATATCTAATCGTAGATAATCGAAGACAACGCTTGATACTACACACGTATAACAACCAGCAGTGCAATTGAGCCAACACGTCGTGCATATTGATTTGTTCTTTTGCTGGCTGCAACTGCCGACGGAAATACGACCCGAAACAGCAGTCTCTGCGTGGATCCAGGTGTCCCGGACGTCCATCTCGTGGCATATATGGCACGTCGTTGGACGAGATTTGCCAGCTTGAGTGTGAAGTTGATGCCAATCGATGCCAACTAAGCTGTTGGGCAGAACTTGAGGCTCTTGTTTTGCCTTGATTTGATTTCCTGCTGTTTATTATAATTTTATTCTTGCTCCTTTTTTCCAGCCAATGAACTCCAACGTGCCATTCTATCCACTCATTGGATACCCAACTTTGATGCCTTCATACTCGTATCCGCTCTTTCTGTCGCTGTCTCACTTTCATCTCCGTCTGATGGCGCCAAAAACCCAAATAACGGCTGATGCGTCTGTCAAGCCACAGCCCCTTGGCCATCGACCCACCGGCCCGGTAATTTCTGGCTGCCTTAGCGCCCTCCAGAGCCACAGCTGCCGCAACGCTCGGCGTCATCAGGACCTCATAACCGCCAGGCCACAGCGGTGTGCGCCCTGTAAGTGCCCGAGCGCAGCGCTACAGCACTAATTTACGGCCTTACGCCGCGCGGTACTCCATAATATCCCGTGAGCTACCTTCAACCTTCACGTCGGGCAGTACTCCATCTACCGGCCCTTTTGCATCTTTTTTCCTCTTCATCTACCTTGTTCCTCCTCTCGTTCATCGCCACCGCCGTTTATCGTCCAGATTTTTCGCTCCTCATCAGACGTCCCTCCCACCAACATGTTCAACTGGGCAAAGCAGCAGTAAGAAGAACCCCTCTGGTGACATGAAAACACAAGCCCCGCCATTTCTTTTGTCCCCCCCTCCAAGGTGTCTTGCCCGCGAAATCAAATCATCATATGCTAATGAAAAGCTGCCAGGCTGGCCAACGTCGCCGGCACCCAAGAGCCCATCTACGGCCCGACCGCCATTAAATCGGTCGCCCAGGAGGCAAAAGAGACCGGCACGCCGTATTCCGAACTGACCAGAGCCGATCACAAGTGGCTGGCGCTGGACAAGACTTGCGTCGAGAACCAGGTCTTTTACTTCTTCACCGAGGATGGCACCATCGCCTTTGTCCAGGTCATCTATAGCAACGTTGCGTATGTTTCATCACCTCGGTCTCTTCTTTCACCTTTACTGACTTGACCTTTTTTCCCCCTCTACAGCGGCCTTCGAGTGACCTGCCAATTCAACGCAAAGATCTTCTCCCGTGACCCGGCCAAGCCGCATCTTTGGTGCTCAAACCCGCTCAAGAACGTCGCCTTCAACGAGGAAAGAACCTCTTTCTACGCCGATGACTGCGCTGTCGAGCTGTCCGAGGATGGCAACTCCTACACAATCAAGAGCATGAATGACGAGAGGGCACTGGTCAACCTCAAGGTTACCCGAGCAGCGCCCGGTTTCCAGGCCGGAAAGACGGGCACGACGCTGTTCGGCACAGACCTCAAAGACCCCTGGGGACAGATGCGCCACGCATTCTGGCCCCGCTGCACCTCTGAGGGCACCATCACCACCAAAGACGGCGACGTCAACTTGAAGGGCCAGGCCATCTACATCTACGCCCTGCAGGGCATGAAGCCGCACCACGCCGCCGCGAGGTGGAATTTTGCCAACTTCCTGGGCCCTAACCACTCTGCCATCATGATGGAGTTTGTCACACCTCCCTCTTACGGCAACACGACTGTCAATGTTGGCGCCATCGTCAAGGATGGAGAGATAATCGCCGTCAGTTCCGAGAACAACAAAGTCACGCATAAGGCCTCTAAGAAAGACACTGCCAATGACTGGCCCGAGCCTACCCAGGCCGAATACGACTGGACAGCATCTACCAAGGACGGCAAACCGGTCAAGGCCGTGATTGATGCCACCTTGGGAGACCGTGTCGACAGGATTGACGTCATGGCCGAAGTGCCCGGATTCGTCAAGACCATTGTCAAGGCGGCTGCCGGAACGAAGCCCTACATCTACCAAGTTAGTAATATGCCATCCTGACTTGTCTGCCTCCACCCCTTTGTACAGAAATGCTGACACGATCTCACTTGCAGTACGCTGCCAAGACCACCCTGAAACTCAAGGTTGGCGATGAGGAGATTTCGGAAGACGGCCAGCTCTTCTGCGAAGCCACTTTTATTACTGATCTCGCGAACTAAAGCATAGATCAATGTGTGTGTGTTTTTTTGGTTTTTGGAAAGAAATTAAAGGGCATTTTTGCAAACAACAAAGAATGATTGATTGAGAACACGTTTGGGTACTACCTAATCTGAAATAGGCGTTGGAGAAGAGAGGCTATATATAATACTTATACTACTAATCGCTCGTTCTTTTTGTTTTTCTTTTGGCCATTGCCTCTCTGCGTGAGCATAATACAATAGCATATTAGCTTGACATATCTGAGAAAAGAAATTATATAAGTTAATGTGTACCTACCTATTAAAGGATTGCCATCGGGCACCACTATCGACTTTTACTGAGACTGATGGACACAAGTGATGAATGACAGAAAGTGGAGATGAATGATGCCCAAGGACTCGTAAAAGACCTTGGCGCATATTCCCCGTATATATAAAGTAAGCCGTGTAGTTCATAGTTTCATACAACATCTCTCTCATGTACATCCTTTTTATACCACAATTTTGTATACACCGTCCTCCCCACCTCCGTCTATGCCCCAGATTCCCGTATATAATTCAAACCGCCCCTCCATACATGTAAAAAAAAACACCAAAAAGTAAAAATCCGCTTATCAGGCTCCCACGCCCATTGATGTAATTGAACTCGTTGATATCATCATTCGGCATAATTTCTTTTTTCTTCCTTTCTTTCCTTACTTCTTCTTCTCATTCTCTCATGAATTCTTGTCCTTCTCTTCCGACTTTTCGGTCTGCTGCTTCCCGTCTTGCTCCCCCTTCTCCAACTCCCTCTCAACCTGCCATATCGCCCTCTCCAGCTCAATCTCCACCGTCGGCAGGTTGAGCGTCTCTGAAAAGTCGCGAATCTGCTTCTGCGTGATGAGCATCTGCTCTTTGCCGGAGACTTCCTCGATGGGGGCCTGGCCTTCCTTTGTGTATAGCTGGTCGAGTGCTTTTGAGGGGGAGAGCTGGACGAGCTTGTTCTGGAGGAGCCATTGGACGTGTTTGCCGCCGTTGATGGCTCGCCAGTGGGACCAGGCGCGGTAGACGAGGTAGAAGAAGGGTATGTTCGGGACTCTATTTTCTCATTGAATTCCGTCAGATCCGTATATCACTTCCACAGAGAGAGGCACCGGGAACTTACACAGGCACCAGCCCCAACGGCGCCGTAATGGGCATCCCAACAAAGCACCACAGCAGCCTCTGCCGATGCAGCGCCTGCCTCTCCGTCGCCAACGTCCGCAGCACGCCCTCGGCCTTGTGCTCCGGAATCGCCGCTGGCGGAAAGACCAGCTCGACCTTATCACGGCCCCGCAGCTCGTCGTTACGGCGCCGAGCTGACAGCGGCGGCACAGACTTGAGCCCCCACTCCTGGAAGGGGATGCGGCGGAAGGCGTGGTTGCCGTAGTCAACCACTTTGCGCTGCCAGCCGCGCTCCATCTTTTCCCATTGGGCCCATTTGCGGGCGGCGAAGTCGGCGCCGCGATCGATGTAGCTGGACGGGGTGCTGGAGCTGGGGCTGGCAGAGGGGGGCGCTGAGGCCGTGGTTGAGGCTGACGATGGCGATGTTGGGTTGACGAAGCGGCTGGCGTAGAGGAGGGTGCGTCTCGTCGAGACGGGGAGGAGGTAGAGCCTCATTGCGGGCTGTCTATTGTTGTTGTTTATATCTGAAGAACAGCGCTTGCTTGTTTTATTCCCCGATAAGTTTTGACATGTATGTTGAGGCTGAAACGAAAGAAGGAGAAAGAAAAAATACTAAGATATCGATCTGCTCTGGTAGCTTTAGCTGCTTGGTAGCTCAATTAGCACGGGCAGCTAATAAACTACGTCAGAGGGCGGGACGAAAGCACTATGCCTTAAACAGCTTTGCCTCTTTTCAAAACCCTATTGAGCGTTTCAAGAAAGAAGTAGAAACCAAGTTCACAGTTACAAAGAGGGCAATCAGAATTTTTTGGGGAAGAAATAGTTATTCAACTTGAAATCTTCGTCTTTGGCTTGGACAAGTCACAATGGGCAGATGTTCGTCGTGGTTCCAGAAAAATTAAAGTTGCGACAGAGAAGCTAAGCCTAAGCTCGATTAGGGCCGTTGTTCTTGTTTTCTTATTTTTCTTTGTTTTTTTCTTATTTTAATTGGAGCGAATGTTTCTTATCCAAGGCCGGCGAACCAAACAGTGACGCACATGGGCGTCATGGAGGGCTGTTATTTAGTCTTGACAACGTTGTGCTACTATACAAAGTACTTGATTGGATACAGAGACTTGAAAGAGTCATTGAAAAACGTTCTTTTCTGGAGATGTCGACAATTTAATCAAATACAAATGAGGAGACTAGGTGCATTGAGTGAGGCACATTTTACATCTTGCTAGTCTCCATGTGAAAGCGTTATAGCTCGGTGTCTCGGATTTCACCTGGATACCGAGTTGCAAGAACCATAGCCATCAACGCACAGCATGAGAGACAATTGAAACACTAATTACAGTGCCAATTGAAATTATTGTCATCGCCGATTAATCTTTCTATATAGAAATAACAATAGAGACAGTTGTAGATATAGCCTTTGGCCCTACATCTTCTTAATATTCGGACAATTCATCCTACCCTACTTCTTTACTGTAACCACAAGTATTGTTTTCCGATATTCAAATCAAGGACAGCAAATTGTATGTTGATATAGGTATTTAGCACGTCAACTGTCAGCATTGATTGGGCGGATGGTTTAGTGGTATAATTTTCCCTTAGCATCATGCATCCTTCTAGGTAGCATAACCGCATGGGAAAGGTCCGGGGTTCGATTCCCCGTTCGTCCATAAGTGTTTATTTTTTGCATTTTCAGCAAATTCAGTCTCATTTCGAGGCTTCCTTCAGAGTTTTTTTCCCCCTCTTTTTCCTCTTCTTCAGTTGCATGAAGCAAAAGATAATAATGCTTCTCGGACTCTAAACATTCTAAACGTTATTTTGTGATTGTTCCTATATCATTCCTACGCCGCCGCTGATTGATATCCCCACTAACCAACAAACTAATCTATTCGGTGTAATACGAGAGGGTATATATGCGTTTGTAAGTAAGTAATAGTATATAAATGTATGAATATCTCGCTGCTTGCTTGCACTCCTATTTCTCCCTCTCATTTCTCCCTCTCTTCATGCCCCCTTCCATCAATTCTCACTTGGTCCTTTCTATCACAGGACTCTTGCTTCTTCCCCTAGCCGCCCCCTTTCCAACAATCTTCTCCGTCCAGTTCCATGACGAAGGACTCAACCTTCCACCCTGGGCGTCTTTTGGTTTATCTAGTTTCTTATCGCCGTTGGTGTCGTTCAAGTAGTCAAGCTCGCTCTCATTTTCGCTGCTAGCCCATTCGCGCTCGCTCCACGACATCGAGTCCGCCCGATCCCCTTGATGACTGTGAGCCAGTAATGAAGAGCGTTCCGTGTCCTGTGTCTTAGGCAGGTCGGGGACTTCATCAAGTGCTTCTCGTGCCTCGCTGGCGTTCGCCGGCTCGGGAGCAACCCCACGGGCCTGTCGCATGGACACTGTGATGGTCTCGCCGCCGTCTGCTCCAGGGGGCTGGTTGATGTCGAGTGCTCGTTCGCCCATGTACTCATCCTCAGTACGCAGCCGTGCGACTGCAGAGTCGCTAAAGTGAGCATCGACTAGGTGCTTGACAACCGGCCAACCGTAGGCATTGGCAAACATGCGGCGGACGAAAATATTGTTGTGGGCATCCGGTTCTAGCTTGACAAGCACTTTTCGCCAAGACAAGTCTCGATGGTATCCGCGAGAAATCTTTTCCTCAACACGCATATTCGAGCCATCAACAATCTCATTAGGATGCTTTTCAGGGCCCGTATTTGCAGTGTCGTCGTAGTCCTTTGTAGACGCGATCGAATCTTCGTGGTTTATGCCCGTATGTGGTGTCGAAGCACCACTACCGCCTGGCGATAGCGGCCCAAATAGAGACGATGACGAAGACTTGATTTTCATCTTACTTAATGCTGAAGTCCGCTTCTTCAAAGGTGGCGGAGGAATATCTGTGGGATGATAGACTCGATCATGGAAAATGGTTCGTGGTCGCTTTGATGGATCAACGAGCCACTCCACATCAGGAATTTTGGGATTCAAGACGTCGCCCGCAGATTCGAAAAAGGTGGTCCTGGGAGGCGCCCTTAGACCTTCGGGATCATCCTCCAACTCGTTACCTGCCGTTGCTTTGCCTATCCGTCTGCTCATATCTGAGGAAGCAGAGCTGCCAGGAGTGCCAGAGCCATCTCCGCTAGCTTTCAATGTCTGACTCCTGCGCAGTATCTTCTTCTGCTTCTCAGAAGTAGGATGCTCCTTTGGAGGGTCGTTGCTTCTGAAGAGGTTGAAGAATCCGGTGAGCGGAGTGTGAAGGATATTCTCGCCTGGGCTTTCGAGTGGCTCATCTGCAAATACTGCCGGAACAGAGCGGAGACTGGCCCGGTCATCTTCGGCGATAGCATCATTAGATGGCTGCGGCACCTCATGGCTGTCATTGTCATTTTTGTTGCCGTTGCCATTTGCATTGGGAGTTGTGGCCCCTGATTCCGCGTCATCGTCATCTGGAAGCATCTGCAGTTTCTGCCGCGATGATCCCATACTGGCCCCTGTTAGCTCTGCCCATCCAAAGCCCACCACTGTCTCGACGAGACCAGCATCTCGCCTGGCTTTGCCAACTCGTCCAAGACCTTGCCAATCCAAGAATAGCAGACAGCTTGTGCGCAGTGGAACGATACCGTCGTTGACCACGTTGGAGTAGACTGTTCTATTTCGAAACTTCTTAAGTGCGTTATGAGCAGGTCCTGAGGGCAGGATTCGCAGCAGAGGCTTGGATTCTGGTTGAGATTCTCCATAGACCTTTTTGTGGGCAGATTCGCCCAAATTGCTCACAAGAGCACCCCAGCCGCTGCGTGCAATTGTCGGCGCTCTCCACGTTAGACCCAAGTCCTGTCCTGTTCTGCCCACAAGACCAAAATCCAGAGCAAACTTGACGTAGAGAGGGTTCTCGTTGCTCAAACCTAGAAAGGGAGTGGCTAGCGCGATGAAGTTGATAGGTTTGATGAGATCGAAAAATTGAGGCGAGTGCTTTTGTATGTATGCAATGGCATAGGTTTGGACCAGCCCGCCTAGTGAATGAGCGACAAAGCTGATGCTTGTGATCTTGTAAGGCCTTCGATACTTGCTGGCCTCGCTGGCCCCATCTGCATCGGCTGCCTTGTTAACGGTGCTATGCTTGTGAGCCTGGACCAGGTCGTGTGCCCTCTGTTCCCCCAATCCGTGTGTAAATCCTTCCATGGCACCTTTCCCTATCGGCAGGAAAGGCTGATCCGGGTACGTCATGGAGAGAACGTATCTGGCCAGTCTTTTCCCAAGGTATTTGATACCCTTCTCTGTCTTTGTAGCATTCCCCGAGTATCCTCGCACAATGACTTCTTCGTCCTCGTCTTCCTCGTCGTCTTCACTTCCTGCGGATGAAGAGCCATCTTGCGCCTTCTTGTCGGAAGCGGCCTCATCCTCTGCTCGCTTCTTCGCTCGCCTAGCTTTTGCATCAATCTTGGCTTGCTTTGCAGCAGCATCAATACTCTCTTTCATAAACAACATGTCGGCGCCCAGATTGCTGTGCAAACCATGCGTTAGAATGACAAGGTGAACCTTCTTCGGCTTTCGTGGAGACGGTTCCCCTTCTTCTTTGGTCTCTGGATCGCCAGTCTTCACCATGCTCTCGACGGGCTCATCGGCGGTAGGTCGGTCTTCCACCCTCTTATCGCCTGCATCATCCCATAACGGTAGCCGGGGTGTGTTCCACAGCGTTGCCGTATCCTCCACTTTGACATGTATAGCTTTAGAGAAGACGCCTCGAGGCTGTGCAGGGTGGTGCCCGTCCTTGGCCCCGATGCTCTGCTGATGGTCCGTCAGCTTTCCAGGTTGCGGAACCTGGGCTTGGCCACCAACGACCGGAACAGACGAGCCGAGACTCAGTGACTTTTGCTCTCTCGCCACCAAAAGCTCGTATCCAACTGCCGCGGATGTAGAGAAGATGACCTGCGACGAGATCTCAATCACCCAGCTCGCGCTTTCAAAGTCGTGCTCCGGACCGCTGCCAAACACCGTGTTATTGCCTCCAGTGCCGGCCATCTGCCGCACATCTTCCGGCACAACCAGCTGGGCCTCCCAAGAGCCTCCAGCCTTGAGCATGGGCTCGAATTCAGGGACGCCATAGCGGCGGGGGTTGGGGAATCTTTCGTTTGGGTTGAACTTGGCGGGGTATGTCGCCACGCTCAGCGTGTATGGGCCGTGGACAAAGGCGGCTCGCAGGGCGATGTTGGAGGTGTTGCGTATTCGCACATAGAGCTTCTCTGGCGAAGGGAGGATGCGATCTTGCGAGGGCGTGTAGGTGACGGTGTAGCGGACGACCTCGCCGATTTTAATGCTCCCGGTCTGGTGGAGGAGCAGCATCTTGGCCCGCCGCGCTTTTCCTGCTTATTCCGCCCTGTGCCTGTCTGTTTGGTCGAAGGTCTCGGTCGTTTGTCGGTCTCGGTCGAATGATGGGCTGCTTAGCTGCAGCAGCGATAGCAACAGCGCAGCTCCAATGTTTCCGTCTTCTTTCCAAAATGCGGCTAGAAAGGGGTTGAAGGATAGGAGAGGCAAGCTCTAGCAAGCGTGGCGATAGCAGAAATAGATGATAGTCGTAGTCGTATTAGAGATTAGACGTGGGACGCATTAAAACGCCAGCATTATTCGGTACCCCGGCTCCGGAAGCGAAGCGATATAACGATGCAGGGATCGCCAAAGCAAACGCTCATTTCAAGGTTGATTTTAACGACGTGCCTGGATCAGGGCAGACAAAAGGCAAAAGATGGGATTGGCATGCAGGCGGCAGGTCGGAGCCATAAGATGCAAGAGTGGCGTTCCTCTGGCAAAGGGGGATCACAGCCTTGGGGACAGGAAATGGCGGCGATCTGGACAGAAGCAAAAGCCCGTCACTGCCTTTGCGGAATTGTCGGGGGACCCGCCCCGTTGGAGAAGTTTTAGTGGATGCCTTCTGGAATATGACGCTGTGGGCGCTGGATCGCCGTTGTTTGTTTCGATGACGGCACGCCTGGATCGAAACAGCAGCGGGCTTTAGCGGATGAGGGGCGCTACATGTGTTGCTGCGAAGCCTCGCAAAAGGCATGAGGCACGAGCTCTTTCTTTCTTACCTTTCTGGCGGCGGTGAGTGTGGCGTCACGCGACCTGGCTTTATCAGTTTGTTTCCCATTAGCATGTGATGAGGATGTCGCTGGTTATATCAGCAATGGGAAAACCCGTTGATGACCTACGCTGTGGCGAGATTGCTTGAGACCTATTTCAGTGTACTCTACGTGGCTATTGTCTCCTAAAAACATAATCAATAATCAATAGTATATTGTTCATTTTTATTTGTTGGATGATACCGTCCTTCGCTGAGCAAGTTTAAGTTTGTCTAAGCGAATGTCGCTTGGGAAGCGTGAGGCCAAATACATGTAGCCAGTATGCCAACCCGTCACGTCTCGAAAGTCACAAGAAACAATCAGGTAGAAATCAACAAGAGGCTCAACTTAGTGATAATCTTATTTAATCCAAAATAGGCGGTAATGGTTCTTAATATTCAGAGAGGGAAATAAGCGAAACAACATTGAATGTATAAGTAGAGTTGCTTAGATATGGGCATTTGTTCAATTGTCTTGGCGGACGACTGAGTACCTCTGAAGGATAAAGAGTGTACTTTTTTTGCACGCCTAAGAGATATTTATGAGAGGTGAATAGAGGCTAGCACCGGCCAGGAGGGACTTAAGTAAGATCTTAGACCGATGAAGGGCACAGCTCTGTCCCAATAGACTTAATTCACGGCTTAGAGCATTGTACGGGGTTGATTCAATGGAACCCAAGAATTGCTGCATAGTCTTCGGCCTCGGAAGTGTCTGAAGTTTGCACAAAGCTGAAACTGCCGTAAGGTAGCAATGGTGCATGTATTTCATGTATATTGGGCACGGCTCAGAGGCTCCCCCACTTGTGGTCGCAGCTTGCATAGCACATGCAGCTCTAGTGGCCCAATCTTTATAGCTGTCACAACATGAAGCCTATAGAGATTGGTTCGCTGTAGTAAATGGGTTTTGAATAGACGGAGCGATGTAGAGAATTAATTTCCCGAGCATAATCTAAAACTGTATTGGCATCAATGTTGAAAAACGACATATGTATATCTATATATATACATACATAGCTCTCATCCGGGATATTGTTTATACACTTGTAAAATAGCGCTGGGCAAAAGCAAGTACCCGCTTTTGAGGGGGAACTGACCTAAAAGTGGTGAGCTGAACGTCTGCAGCTAGACGGAGCAAGCATCTTACAACTTGTGAGCTGAACGTCTGCTGGCAGATGGAGCAAAGCAGTTGACTTGCAAGTGGCGAGCTGAGTGACTGCAGGCAGATGGGGCAGCCGTTGTGCGGAGAAGGGCCTGGCTGGATTGATTCGATGCTTCATGTCTCCATTTGGCTTATACATGTGATAATATCTACAGAGTCCAATGGCCGTCCACCGTCTATCCCGAACGTGCATGGACTCATTGGAAGCGCCGTGTAAGCAGACGGAATCAGTCGCGGCACAGAAATCCCACGGGAAGTGGATTACATGGCCTCATTCATCCTGCGTCTGAGGCGGGCACCAACCAGAGCGACTTGGAAGTCAAGAAGGCAATGTCGAGTTGGCATCAACTGGGTACGATTGGCCACCGAGGCTGAGCTTAAGTGCATTGCATGATGCATGCATGTATCAGTTGAAAAATATTTTACCAGCGTCAAGGTGTTGTATGAGCAGCAATCTCTTGTGTAAAGCGCGACGCCTTGAAAGCGAAGCCATTTCTATAAGATGGCCATGTTGGCTCTTCATGTTGTTTCTTCGTCCCTATAACCCAAGCCCTAAGCAACATCATTGAGTTCCTCACATAGTCTCCTGTTCCTCATCTCTACAATGGCCACCGCTGCCGGCAATGTCCCAGTTGCGGATCTCATCCTTCAACAGCCCTCAGTCGAAGACTGGCAGCGAGATACTGATGATGCTCTAAGAAACGATCTCAAGGCCAGCGATCTCGATCCTGGTGTTTTGGACCTTGAGCTTCTCAAGTTGACCACGTACCCCAAGAGATCCAAACAGTCACCAGCACCAGGAAAACATGATGAGTCTTGGCATCACCCAGGCGGCAACTTCCGCCAGTCTCCTGAGTCTCCTGAACCTCTCAAGGGCTTTCTGGGAACCCCTTACAGAGGCAGATCGTATCATCTTGAGCCTATAAAGAAGACGCCTGGTTGGCATCGCCCTGGGCAATTTCATTCTTTCCCCGGAGAAGAGGAAGAAGGAGATGAAGATGATGAAGACGAAGACGACACCAGACAGGGTGAAGATGCCAAAGGTGACGATGCTTCAATGGAGCAGATCCTAGCTCTTGTGACGCAGCTTTATGGCCGAGTTGAGCGAAGGTAAGGCCCTTGCGTGACATTGTAAGCTTTTTGAGTCTAACCTATGTCTAGCTACAACGCTTATCTGGACGTCGTTGAGGTTGAACCAACTTGGCCTCGGCTGCTCAACCTTGACCAAACCTCGGAAATGTTTGAATGGGCTACACAAGTACCAGACGGAAAAGGCGGTTTCATGGAGTACCCTCCCCATCTCAAGGTCATTCCGGATGAAGATGACGTTGGTCTGCTCAAGATCTTTGATAAGCTCGGTCTGCTGGAGACGCAATGGATCATCAGCCCCTTCATCCCCGATTCTTGGTGGGGAGATATCATTGAAAAAGGTGCCGAATGGGTGATTAAAAGAATCAGACAAAAGACCGGAGATGTTACTGCCTGGGCCAACCAGGACCCAAATTTCAAGGCCCTCGAGTCCTACAACGAGTCGCATCGCAAGACTGCGACTGATGTTTCCGAGGGTAGAAACCTTGGTCTTCTTGGTGACTGGTATAGTGACCGTCGCTTTGCTGAACAGGCCTTTACCGGCACCAACCCAACAACGCTGGTGAATATCGCAAAGACTCCCGGGAACCTGTTGCAGGAGTTCATTGATACCGCTGAGCGCCTGGGATACAAGGAGTGGCACAAACGGTTGAGCAAGGCCCAGTCCAACCCAGAGTCACTCTTCGTTCAAGACCATCGCCATTTCCGTGAGGCTTTTGGCGCCGCACCAGACGAGGAATTGAAACACCAAGAGCCTGGGTCCGAACTTAACTGGGCTTGTGCTGCTGTGACGCTCTTCGAGCTTCATCAAGACGGAGGACTCCATCCTGTTGCCATCGTGGTTGACTATAAAATCAGCATGAAGGAATCAGTTACCATATTTAACAATAGACTGGAGCCCCGCGAGCCTGTTGGAGGAGGAGCCCCTATCCCTGAGGAAGAGAGCGACTGGCCATGGCGATACGCAAAGTCCTGCGCTCAAGTCTCGGACTGGATGCGCCATGAAGTGGGCGTCCATCTGACTCGCGCGCACTTTATCGAAGAAGCTATCATCGTGGCCACGCGTCGCACAATTCGCATGGACAGCATCATCCACACCATCCTGTCGCCTCACTGGTACAAGACGCTGTCTCTCAACGCTGCCGCAAGAACCACGCTCGTTCCGCAGGTCATCAAGGACTTGGTCGGCATCAGCCCAGAGTATCTTCAGAAATACGTGCTCTACGAATTCGAGAACTTCGACTTTGTCAAGCATTACGTCCCCAATGACCTCAAGGAGCGAGGCTTCCCCAACACTGCTGAAGGCCTAGCTGCTCCAAAGTACAAGAACTATGCCTATGCGAAGAACATGGTTTCCATGTGGGCGGTGATTCGTAAATACGTGTCAGCCATGCTCTTGACTACGTACAAAAAGGAGACCGCCAATGCAGACATCTCCAACGACACTCACATTCAAAATTGGGTCAAGGAAATTCGAACCAACGGCAGAATCAAGTCCTTTCCCGACATAAACACCCTGGATGCTCTCACCGATGCCCTCACCATGTGCATCCACATTGCCGCGCCGTTCCACACAGCCGTCAACTATCTGCAAAACTTCTACCAAGCTTTTGTACCAGCCAAGCCCCCCGCCGTCTGCCAAAAGCTACCAGCGTCGTTGGACGAATTGAAGTCGTACACTGAGCCAGAGCTCATCAATGCCCTCCCCATTGGCCGCGAGCGACAATGGCTTCTGGCCGTGCAGGTGCCTTGGCTGCTCAGCTTCAAGGTCGCAGACGAGCGCAGCTTGATCAAGTTTGCTTATTCGCAATCGCGAAACTATCGCAGTGGTTTCGGTAAGAAAGCGAGGGCAATTCGTACGATTAGCGGCCAATTGCATGACGATCTCAACAAGAAGTTGGGACCAGAGTTTGTTCTTACAAGCCAGGGGATGGACAAGGGAAGTATTCCCTACATGGTCTTGGATCCAAACGTCACGGCTGTTTCTATCCTTATTTAAGCACAGAATACAGCGAGATGCATGTATTTAAACTTGTAGGGAAAGTTTATCATGTACCCCAAACATACTTGTACAATTTAATCAGAGTTTGTAGCAGTAGTAGCAGCAGCAATAGTAGCAATATCAGGAATAGGAGCAGTAGTATCATTAGCAATGTGACTCTATGTACCAGGCTACTAGGAAACTACAGCATAGATTGAAAGCTAGCATTAACAATTGTGATATTCCGCCTATGTTGAACTCATTTCGAGTTTCCTATATTGCTGTACCTGCAAATTCTACGTATATATATACCTACCTGTTTTTAGATAGCTGGGCAGCGACTGGAGAGAAGCAGTACTAACTGCTTTTACTCTTCCCCTTAATATCATAGAAGCGATTTGGAGTACCGGGTAAGACTATATGTATAGGCATATATTGTTAAATAAAAGAACCAGAAAGCCTTGCAAGGCAGCAGCGTGATGGAAGCGGGGCTATGCCTTAAGCTTGTAGGCGGCCATTACATATCCAGAGCCAATGATAAGCATGAGGGGTAACATTGAATATAACTTGAGACCTTAGATCAATAAATGTTCCGATTGATTTATATGATTATTCGGTATATGTCATAAATCCGCCCCTCTCTAAAACTTTTTGTCTTCTCTGCTGTTCATCTGCTGCTTAATCTTCCTCAACGACTTCCGTCTCCAGAGTGTGTTATGGCGCCTCCAATCTCCGTTGAAGATCTTTGCAAAAAATGTCGCGAATTGCCATGGGAAACCAACCGAAGATATACCAGGCCTCCAGTGTACCATCCTGTCGATCATCACAAATCCTTAGGCGACCTACGAAACTCAGCCAAGGATGGATGTCGCACATGTCAAATATTTTGGCTATATATCCTAGATCAAATCAAAACGAAGGTAGACGATGGTTTTGAACTAAAATTTGCGTGGAAAAAGGAATTTCCTGTTTCTCGGATAAAGATCGCAGGTTTTTCTCAGAGCTTCAAGAGCGGAGACCGTGGAAGAATGGCGGAAGACATAAGCATGGAGCGCTCCCAATTCACCGTGCATCACACCAGGAGAGACTTTGACGATATCCAATTCTCCGAGGGTCAAGTGCAAGTATCCATGCCGAGGCCGAAAATCACGACAGGTGAAACATTCACGGTAAACAAGGAATTCATGGCGCGTATTGGCGTCTATTTTGATGCCGCTGCTGGTGAAAAAATAAATTCTGTTCCGTGTCAGTCAATCAGGAGGTTCGCAAACGACTTTGAAGAGTTAACACTAACATTGAAGTTTTTTAGATGACAATTTGGAACGTATTATGCAAGGCATTGTTACGCCATGGGCGAATGGCTGCGTCCAAAGTCACTACGAATGCCGAGCATTGCAAAAGCTGTTCTTCGAAAGTGGTGCACCCACTCGGTTGATAGATGTTGGCACGACAGACGAGGATAACGTTAAGCTGGTTGATACGGGTGGACTATCAAAGCCACGATATCTGATTTTGAGTTATTGCTGGGGCACATCGAATGACCACTCGAAGACTACTCAAGCCAACATAGAGCAAAGGAGAGTATCGATCCAGATAGAAGTACTTCCTAAAACAATCCGCGATACCATTGCCATCACCAGGCATATGGGAGTACAGTATCTCTGGGTTGATGCCATATGCATTATTCAGCAAAATGACGATGGCTTTCTTGACGACTGGAAGATCGAAGCTGCCAAGATGTCAGGATACTATTCCAACGCACTGTGCTGCATATCAAATCTGAGCGCCACAGACAGCTCAGAGGGCTTTCTGCGAGAAAACCAAGCAGAGCTTCGGCAAGGGGTACATAAACGAAAGGGAGCAGAACACTTCTACCACAGGGGTCAAAATATTATCATCTACTTGCCAAGACACATAGAAAATTGGACTACACAATGGAACAATTCCCCATTAATGCGCCGAGCTTGGGCCCTCCAAGAATGGATTCTTTCTCCCCGGATTTTGTATTGCACCAAAGTCGGGATGTTTATGGAGTGCAACGGAGGCGTATATTCAACTAATGACCCTTTCACGAAGCTCGCAGCAGCCTGGCAACACACTCGTGAATTAAGAGATGTCCTAAGAAAATCCACCGAAACCGACGCTATCACCAAACACCTAGCACTCGCCGGATCTATCGGATTCGCCAAATCTGCCGAATTCGCCATAGCTCAGATTGGTGATTTGTGGATGAACCTGGTCACTTTCTATTCTACGATGAATCTTACCGATCCTACAGACCGCCTTGTTGCTATCGACGGAATCGCCCGTCTTTTCTGCGCAAAATACAACATCGGATACTTTGCCGGCGTTCTCAATACTCGCATTGCCCAAACGCTGCTTTGGAAACGGAACGAGCCGATAGAAGAAGGAATCTCAGCTGTCATCCAACTTTTCCCTAGCTGGTCATGGTCGTCCACCAGGGATGTTGAGTTTCCAGAGTTTGGGAGGGGCATATCTTACGTTACATGTATCAACGGTCGTTGCTTCTACTTATCCGACAGGGTGGTAAACTATGCCGACTATTCTGAGACTTTATTCCCATTACGAGGCCCTATTTTGCCCTTTCCTGTTGTTTCTTATTTTGGACTGCCTTTTCGTGCCGTCCGTCTTCTTGTCGACCACAATAGTCCTTTGTGGGGTGGAGAACTTATCACCATTTACATGGACTCTACGAAGGAGCGCACCAAACTAATAGAACTCGCCATAGACAGAGAGAAAATGAAACTCATAGGACAATGGAGACTCTTAATTTGTTTGAGAAACCCCACCACAAAGGTTTCATCAGTTAATGATTCTAAGGTAGGAAGTGCATACCATGGATTAGTTGTAGAAATCCTAAAAGACATTAGTACTATTGGATATCGACGCATAGGGTATTTTGAAGTAATATCTATGGAATCAGGTCCCTACTTAGAGAAATGGATGACCAATATCAACCTTTTTTAGATAACCAAGCAATAAATATATTGACGGCTTCAATTCATAGAGAGTTTATAGCTTAGAGTTGTTGTTACATAGATCGAAACCATTTGAAACTCTCATCTTTAGAGCTAGGCATATAGATAAAAACTCATGAGGCTCGGGTATAAGAGAATTACATCCAAGCCAGTTCACTACCCTTTGAGCAATTTCTCCGTTTGGTAGTGGGTTACGTATATAAGATCAATATAAAAAACGGGATACTAAAAAACAGCAAACTATAAATGCACAGCAATAAAGGTTTTTGAAAAAAAAATAATTCGTATATCATAGATTCAGCTCTACACAAGAGCTATATCAGTCTACGGTGAGAGGTCGATTTCATTCTTACACATCTAAACCTTTGACACGGCAGCATAAATCACTCTGCCTCATTAGGAAAGCCCGGCACAACAAAGTTTCTCCACTCGGACACACGGTGAGCGCCCCGTCCATATCCAGTTAATCCTGCCAGGGTTGATGACTTGGGTCTCTCACGCTCTTCACCACTACGTCGTGATCTGCGGCGGGGGTCGGGGAGCTCAGGCTCAGCAGCATCCATGCCTCCGTAGTAGTACGGATCGTGTACAGACTTTGGTGCTGTTGTATACGCATTGTCGTAGTACGCATCCCCTCCAAAGGGATTCGGCCTCATCATTCCTGGAGGAGGCATCGCTGGCATTGGGGCATAAGCCGATGGTGGCGGCATAGCACCCCTACCCATCGCACCCATCGCACTCATCGCCATGCCTATGCCCATATCTGTAGCAGCATCTCTCTGGTGAATAACATGAGGTCGCATGACAGGGGCTGGCGGAGACGGCCCTGTCGATCGGCGCCCTGAGCGGTTCTCCGACAATCGATCAGCCAGGCGCTGCTCCATAGAGTCACTGCGCTGCGGACCCCTCGCCCGATTGACTTCAGAAACATAGCCACCGTAAGGTTGCGGCGGCTGGGCCATTGGAGCAGTGGTAGATAGGGCCGGCATACTTGTTCGTCTGTAATCCTCAGCTGGATGGTACTTGCCGCTAGGGAATCCATAGTCCATTTCATCCTCCTCTACATCTGGTGTCATAGGAGCAGAGATGGGAGCGAAAGGATTCTCGCGCTCACGCTCTCGTTCACGCTCGCGATCTCGTTCGCGATCTCGACCATGTTTTCGGTTTCGGTCACGTTTTCGGTCTCGATGGCGATCGCGGCCATGACCGCGGTCTTTTTCGCGTTCATATTCGCGTTCATCTTCGCGCTCTTCATCATACTCATGGTCATATTCGTCTTCGTGCTGCATTTTCTTTGATGAATTTCCATTGCGCTGCTCTTGGAATCGGCGAAGAAGCGTCTCGTCTTCATAATCCTGAGGCCTTGCTCGTACAGGCATCGAGGCAGTGGGTCTCGAATATGTTCGCAAATCTTCCATGGAACTTGGCCTATTGTTTCGAAGGATCTTTCGTAAATCTTCTGTGGGGATATTCAAATCATCTAGTGCGTTATTCCGCCATGGATTGCTTCCATTTTCGTAATTGAACCATGGACAGCTACATCCCTTCCATTTGGTGCCGCATAGCATGCAGAATTCGGCTCCACATCGACTTGATTATCAAAAGTAGTTAGTAACTGAACATCTCTTGTCAGGGAATTGGCAATGCTGCCTACTAAACTTACCAGGTCATATGGTTGCATCCTTCTTTGAGTTCCACCATGGATTTGCACTTGTAGCATCTCTTCCAGCCTTCTTCTTTGGCTTGATCAAGGAACTTGTTCGTCTCTTCGTCACGAGGACAATCAAGGGAGCTGTGCCACTTCGAACTGCACTTTGGACAAACCTTGGTATTGCAGCGACCACATCGAGCGACCCTTCTACCATCTTCGCCTCGGTAAAAACTGGTGGGTTTGATCCATTCGCCGCATCGTTTTGAGGGGCAGTAGACTCGATTGCCTGTCGAATACTCGGCAAACTTGCGATTCCACGCCCTCTTAAAAGCATCATCAAACAACTTATCAACATGCTTGAGAGGAATGTGAGCCTTTGTGCAGCAGCGCGGGGGCATGTGCTGTGGATCACGAATCGACATTTCGAAATTGCGTTTCATGCACGCATTGCACATTCGATGACCGCACTTGAGATCTGCCCCCTTTGTTGGTGAGGTATCTTCCATACAGATGACGCATGCAATTCTTGAATCGAGTCAGCTTTCATTGTACAGAATCATAAAACATTCGATTAGAGCCTTACCCCTTTCGTTTATCCAACTTGTTTTGTTTCTCAAGTTGGAAGAATTTGTCTGGTGATGCAGGTCTAGAGAGGCTGTTGCCGAAAACATCCCCCAGGATGCGGGCTGGCCCTGACGTCGAGCCATTAAGACTGCGAGCCGATCGCATGGTGAATGACCTTCGAGGAAGAGGTTCTCGATCCTCGTATGCCGACCCTGCCGATCTATAACCTGCGCCATCTCGTCCTGTCGATGTAGCACGCCTGGCCAATTTGTTATTGGAGCTAAGAGCGTTAACATGGCCCGTGACAGGTGCATAGGTAAGGACTGCTGAAGAAACATACCTTTTCCTTGACATTGGAGGCGGGCGTGAGCCCTCTGGGCGCGAGCCTTCAATCGCATGTGTCAATTGATAACGCTGGACCTTGTGGCGCGACTCGCTCCTCTCACGCACTCTGGAGGACTCTCGCGTATGTGAAGAGGCCGCTTCACTGTCCGATAGCGGGGAATCAGAGTCTTGCTCGTTGTCGGAATAATACCGCTGCGGTGTAAATCTTTTTCGGAAGCGGTCTTTGTCAAGTGAGGAATCAAGATAGTCGTCATGGCTTGGCACACGCCGTCTGCTATGACGAGACGCTGCGTCAGGCAGTACTTCCTCCACCTCCAGGCCATCATCTTCATTGCCGCCGTAGGATGAGACGCTGGGTGACCTGTGTGTCGAGGCCTCAGAATACGCTCCCGGCATAAGCCGGCGTCGAGGGTAGTTGGGAGAAGAGTTTCTCCTCGTACGGCGCGGAGGTTGTTGCTCGTTGGCAGACTCATCCTCTCCGTCGTACGAATCCATGTGCAGCGTGCTTGGTCGACGGTAAGTTTCTGAAGCGACTCTGGCCAGACCTGGCTGCCATGGAGCGGTGTTGGAACGACCACCTGCAGCAACGGCGGCGGCAACAGCAGCAGCAGAAGTCGCGGGCGGCGGACCGGGCGCAGAAGCATCCACGGCTTTTGAGCTGGTGTGTTCTCGCCTGCGAGTCGTCAATTGTGGTTTTGACGGTGCCTGCGTTGGATCCAGTCGTCTCTGGATTTGGACCGAACCGCGAGTGTGAGGTGGAGGAGCTGCATCGTCAGGCCTCTGGCTCCATTCACTTGGCTCGCCTGGTCTGAGCTTGCGCCGTCCGGACTTGGCGGTGGCAGCACCAGTATCTTGACCTGAATTCAGCCTCATATTGTATCGAGGGTTAGAGATTGGAGAGAATAGCCACAGCGACCTATGCTTTGGCGTCTGATCGCTCCGTGAGGCTTCCTCAGTTGTCTCACTGCCTTTCCGTCCTAATCACAAGGAGTGGCAGAATTGGGGTGCGATTCGATTGCCGCGCGATCACAGCGGCGGGGAAACGTAAAAAATAAAGTAAAACAAAACAAGACAAAACCAAGCGTGGGCCAAGGCACGCACGTATACTCACGCTGATGGAGCAACAAAAAGGGCGCTCGATCTGAATGGATCCTCTGTTCCCGGCCTCTTTCGGAGCTCAGAAATCAAGGGGTGGAAGACGAGAGGGGGATTGCAGAAAGAAAAGAAAAAGATGGTGTCGTCGGTTTATGCAGGAGCGATCGCAAGCCTCGTGGGCCAGTCAGGAACGTCCACGCTGCACCAACTATAGCATCCCACAAGTCTGTGATTGGAGTTGAGGGGTCACAGCGTGCATGACCAGCTTTGTCAGAACGCTGTTGGGCAAGATACCGAAGAGCGCACGGCGAGGCGAAGCGATAGACGGTGAGATGAGGAGGTAAATACCGGATAGACCAGCAATAGAGCAAGAAGCACGAAAGGAAGAGAAAAGGAAAAGGCGCAGCAAGGGAGACGCTGCCTTGTGAAGTTGTAAGAGGCTGGGCCTTGTAGGACTTTTGAGCGTTTCACTGGCTCGTCTTCGCCCTCACAGCTGGTACAGTGCAAGGGATTCTTGCGACTTCTGCCCTGGAGGATGCGCCTAGCAAAGAGGAGCCAAGCCTCGAAAGATAAGCCGGTGCTCCAGAGGCTTTACCGACGTGGCAGTTGAAGCGTCAATTCTCGTCGGTCTTGGAACCGGAGACACGGGGCCTGCGTCTGCGAAACACCCACCAAACAGAGTATGCAGCAGACAGAGCTAAGGCCGGCGCTTGCTGCGCAAGAGGGAAAAAAAGAGGGGAGAGAGACAAGAAAAAATACAACGGGATGGAGGCGGTTCAGATGGATTGAGAAGAGATGGCATCAATCAGCGCACAGAATGGAGAAAGATTCAGCTTGAGAACACACAAGAAGTGCAATGTAGATTGAAGAAATGGATCAGATCGATATGCTCTTGAGGAGGTCAAATGGCGGTGGTTGGCATCCGTGATTATCGCAAAAGCTGAGGACCAGACATCACGTGTGGGGTTGGAGGGGAAGGTGCTGCCTGCCTTCCGTTCCGTGCTTGCCCAGGACAGAGGCAGAGCGGGAGGCAGGTGCGACTGGGCGCTACCAAAGGTGCAAGTGCCATCCCTATCACACATTATCCCGGTATATTGGGGCATATTGCTACCATTGAAGTGCTGCCACCAGTTAAAGCGCTTGATTGCCTCATTCATCCATTCATTGCCTTCTGGACTCGCACAGCAGCATCAACACCACCACAGTCGTATGCAGGCAATGCGATAAAACGCACACATCACCTTGCATGAACAAATAGGATGCATGAACACATGCTGGAGGTCTCAATCACCACTGGCGGTGCTGCTGCTTGCTGAAGGCACATTCAATGTATGGCACTATGGAGTAACGCTTCTGCAGAAGGCATATCACCTCTCGTCTGCATCTCTCTCTTCTCTCGTCTTCGAATCATCCGCCCGCCAGATGACTCGTGACCTCTTCTCTTAGACCCATGCATCCAGTGCTGGCAGCATGACCTGACTCTCTCAACCCATGTCCGCACTACAAAACTTGGTCCCTCAGGCAGCTTCTGACTCCTCCCTCCAATGCATCGCCTCCTCATGGGACACACCACTCGAGGCCCTCACGTGGAGACCTGAGCCGTCGAATCACCCGGCGTCAAGCCTCGAGCTAGTTGAGTGCGGCTCGGACCCTTGCGGCGTCGCCTCGCCGGCCCGCTGCCTCCACCGGGCGCCTCCAAAGGTCTGTACCTACTTTTCGCTTTCTGCGGCCTGCTGCTGGGCTCGGTTCCGAAGCCACGGTACGGGGTTTCAGGTAGGGACTTTGTCTTTGGAAATGAGAAATGCTAATGGCGAATTCCTCTTGTTTTGGGTATACTCGACGTAGTTTCTCTTGAGCTAATGAGGCTTCACCTAAACTGCTGTACACAAGAGGTGGGTGGCATTGGAAGTATGGCATTACCAGATACGGTAAAAGCCTCCCAGGCGCCACCAGACACTCTTCTCAGCCCAGAGCACAAGCCGAATTCTAAGCCTCTTACGGCATACATGTGGTGCCTCTGGCCATTTATCCAGATAAACCACCATAATATGGGTTACGACTATAGTTTCGATAGTTATATTGGTAGCATCACAATATTGAATTAGTGGGCTGGGCTGCGTTACAGACTCTCTTTAGCCGCCGGTAAGACCTCATCGTTATATATGACGCTCTACACCATCTATGCATGCCTTTGTTTGTGCCTGTTGATTCAAGATTGTGCGTAGTTGCACGACAGATGTAGATGCGCCTGTGCATCCCCAAACAGCGCAGTTCCGCATACTCATTGGTACCATGGCTGCCTTTTAGCGAGGCTCAAGACGCTTTTAGAGGTATTGATGAAATTGATCTTCGCAACTCCGGATATTCAGATGGATGCCGAAATAACCCACTGGAAGACGATGCGTTGAATGTAAAGAAATGTCTTTCCGCATAGCATTGTGAATGTTAAGAACTAATCACCGTAACTTAGATAGCATATGAGATAAAAATTATATATTTCGTCGTCAACCACATATATACAAATTGAATTGTGATGCTTATCTTATACCAACTATATACAATCCCATCACTTCATATCACATCGCGTCATACACAATGAAGCAAACAAACAATCGCTCTATGGCTTAATATCGGCCTGGTCAAACACCGCAGAGGTAATCTGGCCCGCAATATCAGCATACGCCACAAAGCCGCCCAGCAGACCAGTCGCCGGGTCGCGGTCGACAAAGACGACTCGGCCGTCGTCCTGCAGACCCACGGCGAGCAGGTTGCCCTCCTGGTTGATGGAGAACTGGCGCGGGAACTGGCCGCCGGCGGGGACGACCTGGAGGAGCTCGAGCTCGCCGGTGGTGGGGTCGATCTTGAAGTTGATGAGCGGGTCGGAGGGGATGGTCTTTGAAGGGTTGTCGAAGTCGGGGATGGTGGAGCTGTTTTCGGCGCGGGAGGAGACGATGAGGAAGTTTGTGTCGGGCTAAACATGTTAGTCGGGATAATCTTCTTTGGGGTATATATAGTGGAGAAGAGAAGAGGTCTTTGACTTACAGAAAGGACAACCTCAGACACGGCGTAGCTGCTGGGCTCAGCCGGGCCAGCGCCGTGTGAAGGAATGCTGAAAAACTCCGTCAACTGGATCTTGCCCTTGGGATAAGTGACTTCGTATCCAATGATGGTGTTGCCCAGCTCAGTAACGAGGTAGGCAAAAGTCTTGCTGCCCTTGACGACAAAGGCAAGGTGGCGAGGACCAGAGCCAGCCTTGACACTGACGGGCGTGATGCTCGTCAGCTTCAAGCTCTTCGGGTCGAACGAGTACAGGTGGATGAGATCCATGCCCAGATCGGGGACGAGCAGGAACTTGCCCGTGGGGTCGAGAACCGCCTCGTGAGGGTGAGGCGCGTCCTGGCGGTCGGGGTCGGTGGGAGGGCCGGTCAATTTGAAGTTGATGGTCTGGACCAGCTTCAAGTTGGTGGGATCGGAAACGTCCCATGTCGTAAAGGCTGAGCCACCGCTGTTTCGAAGAAAAGACAACTGTTAGCGAATATTTCTTTTTCTCAATTATACACCCAGAGCGTAACTTACTAGTGGGCCACGGCCAGACCATGGCGGTTGTTGCCAAACACAACGCCGCTGACAGGGCCATTGGGCGTGCTGATCTGGCCGAGCTTCTGCAGACTGCCATCAGAAGCAGTCTTGAAGGTCGTCAGCGCACCACCGGGCGTGTTCAAGCCCTCGTCGATGCAGTACAGAACGGCGTCGGTGTAGTCCAGAGTCAGCCACGAAGGGTTGTCAGAGCAGCTCTGGGACACCGAGACGGGGCTCAGCTTCTGGATGCCCGTGTTCTGGCCATGGGTGTAGTTGAGAGTTGTGACCGTCTGAGAGTAGGAAGAGACATAGACCAGGCCGGCAGAGGCAAGGTTGCCAGCGCAGAGCAAGGTCGAGACCAGGCTCTTTTGGAGATTACGACGAGCAGGCATTGTATTAGGGACTCAATTGATGAAGAAAAGAAAAGAAAAATTAGGGAGAATAGACTGCCTACTCGTATTTATACTGAGAAAAGGGAGAGAAGGATAAAAGGAATAGGCTGAGACACGGTTACAGCCTTATATAGGATCGGCATTGAGCTTTCCCCCCGCAAATCTCCCAGACGATCAGCTTACAATGCAGATCCTAGAAAGGTGTTCCACCGCGTCAAAGTACGACAATGGATTAAATAGCGCCAAAAGAAAGACTTACTCACAGGAAAACAAAGTAACATGGATGAAAAAAGTGAGCTCCACGGCCCTTTGACGTATTCTCATCAAGGGGTTGATGACGAATAAGCATCAATCGTTACAGTGACATCGCCTGCCAAACTGGGAAGGAGGAAGAATCAGCCTCTGGTCTGGATGAAGCCGCTGACAAGGTGGGGGGAAGCTATTTGGGGGTTGTAAACCTTTTTCTTTTGTTCAGGTTCGCTATCATTTGTCTCATTTTGTCCTACTTAAACCAGCATTATTACGGGTGTGTATCTGTCTGTATTCTCAAGGCTTTATGTTGCGGCACAGGCATGTTACGTGACCAATTGAGGTGTGCTAACTTACGGTTGTTCAGCCAGCGGTTTGCGCTAGCGTCGATATTGAAAAACACCTTGGCAACTCCACCCGTTGTCTCAAGTCGATCTACTACTACATTTAAAAAAAAATCATAGACATCTATTAGAGACTGCTAGTTATGCGTCTTATTTACGACTTTGAGTTCTCTAAGAACAGAAGTCGAACAAATACACTTTGTCAACTCTTTGCAACAAACGAAGCACTCCCATCTCCAAAGCTCCCACTCATCCGTCACCGCCGGTCCCGCCATCAGCTATTCGGCCCTGTAACCTCAGCTCCATGCATTGCATCTCTAGCGCTAATCGGATTCGCCGCCTACTCCGGGGATCTCGTGTAGGATCAAGTCCGCGATACTCTATCTGAGACCGCGTTTTGGTTCTCATATCAAGTGAGTTCTGTCAAGATGAATCAGCATTATATTAACTGCTCAACATTATTCTACAACCCAAGCAGTTAACAATTGAAATACCAAATACCGTGTCTTACGTGTTTATATTTGACATCAAATCGTCCTCCGCACTCACTGGCTTCCAGCTGCAGATCGCCACCAAAGACAGCTCATCCGTCCACTGACCCCCACCAAGCCATCTCCTGGACTCAGCATCTCGGCGAGAGGTATCCGAATAACCGTCCTCTTATGCAAGGCACAATTCTGTGGGGGAGCAACAGTTACGCTGGAAGAGACATCCTATCAATCAATGGTTGTCGAATGGTATTTCCCACCAATCTACACCAGCCATCACTGTCGAGACAGTCAACAGCCTGGCGGCGTGCGTCGCCGGCATAGCCCATTTACATTTTCATCCATGCACTCCAGTGTTCCATGATATTTGATTTTTTGTATTTATGCTATGTCTACCATCTTTTCTCATATCCTGACGCCTCCCTTTGGTATCATTGTTTCTATCCATTTCATCACTCGTTCTCTATATCCGTTCAAACAAAGTACTCGTACATCCAAGATAGTCATCAAATTTTCTCGGCAGCTTCTTGGTTGGCTGGTGTTGTTGCGCCCTTTGAGTGTGACATGCTGTATGGTGCCTATACAAAGTATCGGTTAGACTCCAGATTCGACTGGGCAAAGAATAAATGAAATGGGACGCGTAAAGTGACTTACCAGTACTTCCTTGGCATTGCATATTCTCCATGCTAGCTTCCTCACGTTTCGGTCTGCCAGAACGACGGCCGGCGCAAATTCAACGCCAAACATTTCTCGGATAGCGTAGACGATTCTCTTGGCATATTTACCGTCTCGCTCTACATGGCTGCCAAAGCTCTCATCCACAGTACTTGGTGCAATGTCATCATCGCGGTCCAGGCAGTTTTGAATAATTGGCAGGAGAGACGACTCGATAGCTTTGGCGTACATGGCCTTGGTGCCAACGTCAACTTCGACATCTTCTTCGGCAAACTTGCTGATGCGGATTTCAAAGGGCTCTGAGATGCTCATGACTGTGTGGCGTCCATCGTGGTGGTATCTAAATTCAAAGACACCCTGCGTCCACCATAGCTTATCGCCCTGGAACACAACTTCGCCTTCCATCATATCAGGATCGGAGGGATCATTTTTAGCCACAGTATGCTCTTTAACAAGGATACTATTGTTTGCCATGGAAGCGTCGTAGGCGCCAGTGCAGGTGGGACTCCATCTGCCCAAAGATGAAACCTCAGTCGTCTCTCGTGAGCGATTGTCCGTCACCATGTACAGGCCAATCCAGTCTTCTTTGCTGTGGTTTGCGGGAGCTCGCCACTTGACTCGCAGAGGGGCACCGTATTCATAGGTCTTGGTCTTGACTGGCTTGGGGAACCGTCCTGAAAAGCTCTCTTTGCCGGTTGCACGCTCGTCAATAGTCGACAGATGAGGCTGCGTTCCCTCAATGGCAAGGGAATAATGTTTGGGATCCAGGCCTGCCATGTCGGAAGCGATTCGGGTGATTGTGAGGCGAGCAGGTGCTACATTGAAGAGAGCGGACGTATCTCGGACGATGGTCTTGACACCAGAAGCAAACTTGGGGCGGGCACTGTCCAAAAAGTCTTCGACGAAATGTGAAGTATCATCAAGGACCTTATCGACACTTTCCTGCCATACCTTGACTGGAGGGGGCAATGATCGCTTGATGAATTTCGTAAGGCCTGCCTCTTGTCGCATGCTTCTTCCATAAATCTTCTGCATATGAGGTCGCTCGACGAGCGCAATGACCGCGACATTTAGGATCTGTGTGACCAGGGCAATGATGAAGATGGCTCGACTCCATGTAATGAGAGCAGCACCCCAGATGCCAGCGGTGCCAAACACTCTCTCCGGGTTGTTCAGGAATCGATAGATGGATGTATATGTAAGCTTGGCCTCGTGGTCAAAGAAGAAGTCGCCGCAGAACCAACCAAATTCACCCAGTGAATCGTAGACGCTGAAAGCTGTCCACAGCTGCAAAGCAATCAATCCGGCTCCAAGAACATGCTTGAAAAGGGCCAAACCGTAGCCCCAGTCCTCAGGTGTGTTGTACATCTTCCAGCACGCAGCAACGAAGGCGGTGTTGCACATGATCATGCTAATGTGATACATGGCTTTCCACTGGCGCCAGGCCTCGCCGGCACTCTCACCATACTTAAGAAAGTGACGGGTCCACATCTTGGATTTCGATTGGCGATCCAACACGAAGCCCAGACCGGCGTGATACCATAACCGCCATGCCAGTGCATGAGCGACGAAGAAGGCTTTCCACATAGCAGTGCTGGGAGTCGTGAAAGTGAGGATTGCGACGTATATCGGGAGAATGACGACAACAAAGTCAGGCACCCGGAATAGATCCATATTGTTAAGGCCAACCAGATTGTGCACGTCCACCGGCATGTCCTTTTGAGAGATGGAAGCAGATCGCGTGAAATCATTATCCCCCGGGAGATCAAAGGTCACGGTAGAATCGGCTGGGCTCCTATTCACATTCTTTTCCCTTGGAGCAGGAGGGTTGTAGATCTTGTCAATGTGGGGATTTTCCACAGTTACGAGGAACGCGAACTGGGCGAGATGGGCGAGGATAGAGATGAAGAGCACCTCATAGCTGGCGGCCATCATCGAGATCCCGTAGTAGCCAGCGTAGCCGATTGAGTACATGGGGTGAGGAGCCATCTCAAAGACGCCGTCGAATGTGAGATCTTGATCGATGAGGTAGAAGAAATCTCCCCAGTACCAGGCAAAATCTTTGACAACGCGATGGGCATCGAGCTTAACCCAGAGGTTAAATCCGACAAGTGTAATACCGAGAAGCCATCGTGCAACTCCAATCAGCATGTTCTCGCCCTTCGGAGAGTGGCCACAAACAATGGCAAACAGACAATAAGACACAAAGTCACACATCAAGATGAGATCGACAACTCTTCGGAAGACGAGCCAGGTGTTGTACTCGATGGGAGCTTTCTCGAACTCATAGTCTTCGGGAATCTTGGCTTCAAGCTCTCGCTTGAGCAATTTGTACAGCCATGGACGAGGATTGTTGCCGGTGCTGGGATGCTCGAACAGCTTCCATCGCTGAGCCCAGGTAATGAGGCGCCGGTGATGAGATTGTATGTGTAGCAGGATGCCAATTCCAACGTTGTAGCAGGCTCTCCAGAATAGGAAAAGAGCTGCAAATACGGGGCGTTTGTAGCCAGTCGGAAGGAAGTACGCCGCCAGAATATGCAATCCTAGGATAGCCAATACGACAACATCTGAAAGGTTCTTGGGCTGTCGCGGGTCAAGAAGCTGTGAAACCATGTCATGCGTGGTTGGCACAACGAATACTATCCCAGTTAAAAAGCACTGATCAGCTCAAAATCCGGCTGTGACGGTTAGATTGGGTTTGATGCTACATCACTCACCTGTCCCATCTGGTGTACGACCAAATGTCTTCTTTGTTTTGTTAATGCCACCTTCTGGAACAGCCTGATCAGCCGCCAGCGGCTCCATTGGCTTTGTAGAGCCAGGGCTAACACCTTCGCTCTCGTTCAGCAAAGCCTCTTGGACTTGCCGGTGCCGCAGCTCAGCTCCTCCGGCTGAGATGTCAGCGGCCGTGCTCATTGTGAACGATGTTGAAGATCGTCCGAGTGGGCCCAATTGACAAGAGGTTGAAAGACAGAGAAGCGAAAAGAAATACGAAAGGACAGAAGAGCGAGAAGAACTGCGAGTTTGCGGGCTAGGTATTTAACTGAGCCTTTCTGCACGCAGCCGAGACGTCCAATCACGGGCGGCAGGACAGTTTGTTGAGAAGCGGCTGCAGGGTCCTTTCTGGCTCTTTTGATTGCAGGGCGGAGCCACCAATGCGCAGTCTAGAAGCGAGCTGATCTTCGGGCTAATATCGAGCGCGAGAGGTGTTCAATTGGAGGCCCTCTTAATATCGCACGTCTGGAGAAGTTTCTCGGATCTTCTGCGATCGAAGTGATACGACACGCGGTTGACGCCTGTCGATAAGAACCAGCAAAACGGCCTTGTTGAATGCCGTTTTCCTTATTGCTGAGAATTGATGGAAGGAAACTGGCGGAAAACGCGAGAAGACTGATAACTCCAGAATGTCTTGTGACCCGTGACCTGCTCTGGGAAGGGGCGCCGTAGCTACCGAACACATGCCAGGCCAGGTGTGGGGAGACAGCCTTAGCACTAAAGACCGCAGGCAGTTGAAGCAAATAGCGGGGAGCCCACTAGAGCAGTTGGCAGCAGCCCCTAACGAAAACGTTACTATCGGCTAGAGGAGGCACATGGTAATTCGAATTGAAGTCGAGTGTTAAACACAAGTCGCGAAAAACCATTGGCTTCTGAACCTGCTTGCAAGACGGCAGTACGTTTTCCTATGGAACTTTGCTGTGGCCAAAATTTGAAGCTTAAAATTAGACGTCTCATATATGTATGTATACCGGTGCACTGTCCGGTCGCGTGAGGAATGTGACCAACAATGTGATTTTGCGGTATGAGTGCTCCGTAGCAGCCAGGATAGAGCCTAGCCCACAATGACGAATGCTGCTAAGAAAAAACTTGGGACGAGACGACAGACATGTGAAAGCCAATCCTGGCCTGCGCTGCGTCGAATCGATTGGCTTGTGGACCCCCACATTCTGCCCAACAAGATGGAGGCCCCACTACTCCGTACTCCAGAGGGCTTTGTTCACACAAGCGAGATGCTAGGAAAAGGTGGTTTCCTGGTTTCCACAAGGCGGAGAGCGATAGGTGCTGGATTAGTAGGTGTATGTAAGCTATCAATTGGTATGTATGCATAATCACTATTATCTTATCTGTTGAAAGGAGCCTTGTAGATACCTGCCATTCAAACGCCGCTTGGTCGTTCCGTAATTCCCCCCGCACCTGGTGGACGCATGCAAGTTCATCACCTGTTCTTACAATCTCCTTATAAACAACACTAATTTGCAACCTGGTTAAGAACCGCCGAGCTACTCAAGTGCCCTCGATGCCTGCATATACAATGTCGTTCAATACAACTCAACTCAACCCAAATCAGTCACAGATCCGCATTCGTCAACACTTTCAGTAGCTGCCAAGGAGGACACAATTTCAGCTATTCAGCAAAATAGTCACAACAAATGCATTACCATATCTCCCTAACCGTCCCCCAACATGAGAAAACAATACCCCTTTGCAATTTTTCCCTTACTGAGCCTTCTTGGCAAACTCGACCCTGAGAATGAGATGCTTGAAACCGAATCCGTCCATCTTGTTGCATGCTGTAACAGCATCGCTGTGGTCTGCGAAGCTGATGAAAGCAAAGCCCTTGGCCATGCCGGTTTCCCGGTCCTTGGCAAGGAAGACTCTGGTGACACGACCGAAGCGCTCGAACATATCGCGCAGTTCTGACTCTTCCGCCATCTCGGAGACCTGTGCAAAAAAAAAATACTGTTAGCATAATTGTACATGATTGAATCCAAAAATTGAGGTGATAACGTACGTTGGTGACACGCAGTGTCGCAAAGTCGTCCCTCTCGCCGAATTTTGATCCGCCCATGCGCTCGCCAGCTCCTCCACGGTCGCCACGCAGAGCAGGGGGGACGTATGAGCCCTTCTTTCCAGCACCGGCAGCACCAGCAGCAGCTGCCACGTCGTCCACGGGGGGAGCATCGCCGCCGCTCGTCTCGCCAACAGGCGCCATCGTGTCCTTGTAGGGACACCTGGCTGTAAAATGTCCGCCGTTGCAGATACGGCACTTGACCTGCTTGTCCTTGAGCTGGGCCTTCATGGCCTGGGCGCTCTGGTCGGTGCTCTCCTCCTTGGCATCCTTACGCCAGGAGACGCTGGGTCGGAAGATGATGTTCTCGCCGACGGAGGTAGTATCGGGGGCAGGGCCCGGGGGGTCCTTGGCGCTCAGGCCGAACTTGGGCCACGTTTTCCGGTGTGCGACACGGGGGTTGACTGTCTCGGTTTGGGTGATGTAGCGGATGCGGCGAGTCGTCTTGACTTTCTGGCCCTGGTCGTTGTATCGGTAGGTGATGATGGTCTTGGTGCCGTCTTTGTTAGAGATGGTCTGAGGAGGAGGGAGTTCGGAGGAGGTCTCCTCGATGTCGTCGTCGTCGGCCCAGTCATGCCTATTTTTTCGCAAGGTGGTGGGGTTAGCGAGCTGCGAGGTTGAAGCTGACAAAAATCGTGGCCACTCACTTGGCCTTGGGCGGCGCTGCGGTTGCGGTAGCCATGTTGACTGCCTGTGCTGTGAATCGATTATTCGGTTGATTCCAGAATCTCAGCCTTGCTGTGTCGTCGACGTGTGCCGCGTCGGCTGGAGCAACTCTACAAGGGGCTGATTTTGAGCGTGGGGTTTCTTCGTCGAAACAATCCAGCGAATTTCTTAACTTTTGGTGCGGTTTGCAATTTCTGGTGGCGAAGCCACATGTGGCTGGGAACAGCAGTCACGTGATTGCTTTCTTAACTTTGAGAGCTTCCGGGTAGGTCGCAAGCCTCTTTATATCCGGCCCCGAGAATGCGAAATGTGGCGCTTCTTAGAAGAGGCGAGAACCAAGACTCAATGAGCTCTCCGTCGTCGCCGAACGCCCCATGGTCTGTCGCAACCGAGTGTGGCGCTGGTATGACCTGCGTTGCGTAATGCTCAAGCCGCAATGAGAAAGAGTATAAAGTTTGCCGCGAAGCCGACGCGGCCAAATCCACAAGGGCTTGGGTCATGCGATGGCCGCGATGCCCGGACTGTCTTATAACGCCGCCCGTTCTCTCTCCGTTGTTCTTCTCTTGGCTGCTGTTTTGAACTATTCCTACCAGTTCATTCGTTTTGACCTCTCTCAGCTGTATTTCGGTGATACGCGATAGCGTCTAGACAGTAGACCATGGCTCCGGCTCCCAAGAACACCAACAGAGGCGATCAACCTCCGGCTTACGGAGAGACATCCTCACCACCTCAACCGCCCCAGCCAGCGTACGGAAGAGATGGGGGCTATTTTGGCTATGACCAGAACCAGCCAAACTATTATCAGCAGGGCGTTCAGAGCCCTCAAGGCCAGCAGGCATATTACCAGCCCGGTCTGCAGATGAGCTATTATAACCAGCAGCAAAGCCCTTTTCCAGGCCAAGGTCAATACTACGGCGGAAACCAATATCCAGGCCAAGGACAGTATCCTCAAGGCCAATACCCCCAAGGCCAATACCCCCAAGGCCAATACCCTCAAGGCCAATATAATCAAGGATATCAATGGCAGCGGCCAGGTGGATATGTTTCAAGTCGGCCCCCCAATAATGGAAGTACTGGTTTCTTGGAGGGACTGGCAATTGGCACGGCTTGCTGCTGCTGTCTGGATTGCTTATTGTGTTGATCTTTTTGAGAGAGAAATGTTTAACGTAAGGCTACCGGTACCATCCATTTCGCTTTGCCTTTCTTTATTCTGCCCAAATATGTCGTCCATCCAGTTCACATGTACATCAATTAATATTCACAGCAGGGACGTTTGGAACAAATAATGGGCGGGGATCTAGTCTTTCAGGCTCGGAGTTGAACAGAATAGGCATATGGAGCCTTAGAAATAGCTGGCCACGACGGACAGGAATGGTTGCTCTGGCGTTTGGCGCATGTACGAAGTCTGGTTTCGTGTTTTCCCTCACATTTCCCCCATTTAATCATACCGGGCGAATAGGACTGCGCTTCCTATATCCTAATGAATTTGTCAATTTGACTCTTACTCTTCCTGAGCTATATATCCAACCTCGAGCGGTTGAGGGATGCGAATGTTAGCGATTTCCTGGAAATATGCTTATGTAGTTTCATGAGGCATGAGCAGATCAGGACAGTCTTCGCTATATTTAGTTTGAGTACTCGGTGTTGGTGCATATAAAGGACTAAACTTTTGTAATGAGGTGAAGTCTAACTGATATGCAAGAAAATACATCGTGGAAGTAGTGCTGCATGTGCTTACACGTATTTCGTAATGTTTGAGGTAGCGTGTTGCTATCCCATCTATAGTGAATAGAAGAGAGGCCGTGGCTGTCGACCATGATCGACGAGGCTAAGGTTAGTATAGCATTTTAGGTAAAGAAAGTTTGGCTCCCGCTACCCTAGGCATGCAAATGATATCCGACGTGTTACCAGCACAGATAGACTAAACGAACAAAAGTCTAACTGTTGTAAATTCTAAATGACAACCTCATTCTCTGGCATTTGCATACACCAACAGGTTTTGCTGTCAGGGTAGTTGGTGGGCAGGCGTGTTATTTGACAGTAGCCAAGTTGCAATATACACGTCATTGGTTATAAATCCGTAGCAACTATAAATTACTACAAACAAGAATTGTATTTTATTTAACGAATGTGCGAAAACAAAATCAGCTTCATCTTTTTCTCGCAGGTTCTCATATAGGAAGGCGATGTATATTTTGGTAAGGATTCGTAGTAGAAAATGAAGATTCGTAGTATGAAAGTATGAAAGCATGAAAATATGAAAATTTCGAATTACGAAGTTGCAATCCGGCTATTGACAGTCACATCTAAATGATCAGGAGTGACTACACGTATTCGGGATAGCTGCGATAATCTTGAGCACAATGGGCTAAACTACACGCAAAACCTGTTTTTGCATATGAGACCGTTCCTAAGGCCAGCATACTAGTAGCAACAAAGGCTCAGTATTGCTTCAATATGGACAAGGGGCTCCTGCGAGTGAACTACAACGCCCGTCGCTCAACGCGTAATAATATATTAGGCCTAATTCGTCGTCCACATAGAGGTAACAGCCAACTCCAATATAGCATGAGTCAAGCATTCCTCACAGCAGAGGACGTTGATATTGACACGAGATGTGGGCTGCCTCTGGCGTTTCACTGTGGAGGATGTCGCAAGGATCATATCTGCAAACAGGTATGCATATAGATCGACTCCAGGATTCTTGAAAGATCTAAGATGACCTATCGATTGGCGGTACAGATTTGCCAATGTTGAGAGCAAGCAATTCCCACCTTGGTCGTTATGCGTGATTAATTGATGATATGGTGGTACACCAATGCATCAAGTTGACCTCAATGCGTCAGTGCTTGCGGGGGCTCTAGTGCACCGCGAACAACGCCAAATACGTCAACGAAGAGTCAGTGAAGCAGCTGCCAAAGTTGGTGCTACCCCGGAATACAAGCACATTTAACCTGCTCCATTGGACACGTCGGAGTCCACTTGTCGCTGCCGTTGCACCTGTTGAAACTCATACCGCCGTTTGTTTACTGGCCCCCTTTTTGGCACCCCATGTGCTGATTTTCTTGCAATGTTGGCCTTTCTTTTTGTTGAGTGAATGCATCTGTCATCGCCTAACTAAAAGTGTGCATGCTGTCTTGGATGCGGTGTCACTTGAATGGTTGGCAGCTACGCGTACAAGCAGGCCTTTTGCCGCCAAAACAGGCTGTCCAGAGGCCAAACAGCCAACGAGAGCCGAGCGCCTGTCGTGCCCTCATGCGGGCAGCCGCCAACACTGGAAAACCAGTACCAAAGCCCTGGAGCCACTGAAGGGGGTGCGGGGCGCAGCAGGTGAAGCACGATACAGGCCTGCCAGCGCCAATGAAAAAGCCGCTGGGCGAGTAAGGTGCTCACTGAGGCTTGGGGCTGGGCGCCTGTACCCGCGATGATCCATGCCACACCCGCTGCTAGTGGCAGGGCCTTGGTGCCGCCTCTGATGTCACCACACGCTGAAGGCGCCTTGTTTCTCGTTTGAATGGCGGCGTTTGTGTCTCTCCATCACGATTGGACGACGGATGACGTTTGGCGCAGAGGCTCCAGAACAGGAACTGAACTTGATTCCAGGGCAGAGCTGGGGAGCAGTTAATATCAGTGCATCGTAGCAAATAACCCTGCATGTAGTTGAGGCACTGATAAGGTGGTGATTTAGAAGATTGCCTCGATCCAAACGGGACGATCACCACTTGATACTTCTCCACCAAGAAAAAAAAAGGGCGTGCGGCTTCCCTTCCACCGCCTTTACTTGGCTTGGGCCATCGTGCAATCGCTTCCACGAGAGACACTCGCCAAACGCCGCCATTGTTAGCCAAGCCCGCCTCCGCCTCCTCCTTTCTCTCTTTCTTCCTCTTCTTCTGCTAGCGCTCCGTCTCTTCTTTGACATTTGAACACGCCGCGTTTGTTTCTCTTCTCTCCATCTTTGGTCGCATCTTCCCTAGAAGCCCCGAGGGGCGATCACCAAATGCAGCGCTCGCACCTACAGAGTTCTTCACGACGACATCCATACCGAGTCTTTAAACTAATTTTACGATCATCTCTTTCTTTGCGAGCATAACTTTACGCCTCTTTTACAGTTTCGATACCTTACGTCGCGCCACCACGTTTCGCGGCTGCGCGCTTCGTCACTCTCCTCTAGCCATGGAGTCAATATCTTTAGGTGGCGACCGCACATGGTCCGCCATGTTGCTCTCGGCCACTGCCTCTCTGGCGCGGCGAGACAACTCTCAAGGCAATTCTCAAGGCGCGGGAAATGGTCAGAAGAACGCCGGCATTGGCATCGTCAGCTTCTTGACGGCCATCCTGGTCTCCGTCATCATCTTCTTTGTCCAACTGTTACTTTTCATGCTCTTGCGGAATAAGCTGGCCCGAATCTTGTAAGTATTACGCTGCTGCTGTTCCAACATCCCCTTGTCGCGATCCTAGTACTGACGACAGCTTCTCATGCAGCAAACCCAAGACGTATCTCGTCCCCGAGCGCGAGCGAACCGAATCGCCGCCAAACAACTTCCTCGTCATGATCAAGACCTTGTTCATGTATAACGACCGTGAAGTCATTAACAAATGCGGGCTGGATGCTTACTTTTTCCTGCGTTACCTAAAGACCCTGCTCATAATATTCATACCCATCTGCGCCATTGTAATGCCCATCTTGATTCCCGTCAATTATGTGGGTGGTCGTGGACATGATATCGACTTTCACACCAACAGCACCGATCCGGATTCAAGCACCAACAGCACCGACCCCAGCTTCGTGCCCACAGGTCTCGATACCTTGGCTTGGGGAAATGTCAAGGCAACAGAGACTAGTCGTTATGCTGCTCACTTGCTGATGGCAATTCTTGTCGTCATCTGGGTATGCAGCGTCTTCTTCTTCGAGATGCGAGCGTACATTAAGGTCCGCCAAGACTATCTTACCAGCGCAGAGCATCGGCTCAGAGCTTCCGCGACAACGGTGCTGGTCAACTCAATCCCCCCCAAGTGGCTTAGCGAGGAAGCGCTTTCCGGCTTATTTGACGTCTTTCCCGGTGGTATTCGAAATATCTGGATTAATCGTGACTTGACAAGTCTCTTGGATAAAGTCAATCTTCGAAACCAGATTCACGCCCAACTCGAGGACGCTGAGACTGAGCTGATTCGAACTGCCAAGAAAAAGCAGCTTAAGAAGAGAAAGTCCGAGGAAAAGAAGCAGAACAAGAAAATGTCCAAAAAAGAAAGGATGAGTCGTCAGGCCGAAGAAGACGCCGAGGCCAAACGAATGGCCAACAGTGGCGAAGGAACCAGTGACGGAAAACGCCATCACGTACCACACACAGTCGCCGAGGGCGTCCGAGAGTCGCGGATAGAAGACATGCACAAGAAAAAAGTCGAAAAGTTGCACAACGTCCGAGAGGAGTCTGAGGAGTCTTCTTCAGATTCTGATGACGACCGAAGGTCTCATGTATCCGATGGTAGCAGCGTTGCGGTGCTCAAGAATATTCGGGGCGCCTTTAACAAGGCTGGTGACCAAATGGACGATTTCGGCACAAACAATGGCTTTATAACTCTGGCACGGAAACAAAATCTTCCAGACGATGACGATACTCGAGGATTTCAGTCTTTTGAAGCTAAGCGAACACACACACATTCGCGCGGAGGGTCTGGGGCCTCAGCCAATTCAACAAAGGCCATTCGCCAAGATGGCGTGACCACGGTGGAAGGAAATACAGTTCGCAAACTCGAAAATATTGACGACATGTATAACATGGAAGAACCGAAATTCTGGGAATTCTGGAAGACGCCTGCTGGTGGATACGCCTCACCGGTTCCTCAGCAAAACGAGGGAACCGATTACATTGGCAAGCAAGCATCCGAGAAACGCACGGTATGGCAAAATATAAAAGGCGTCCTCCCTTTTACCAGCGAAGGGGCCATTGAGGAAGGCAACTACCCTAGCGTCTATTTCAATGAAGATTACAAAGAGGATGAGGAAGAAGCTCAGGCAGAGTGGGCAAAATACCTCCGGAAAAAGGATCGTCCCACTCATCGGCTACCGCCCTGGGGTGTATCGTGGCTGCCTGGCCTCCCATTGTTTAACAAAAAGGTCGATACCATTTACTGGTGCCGAAAAGAACTGGCCCGACTGAATATGGAAATCGAAGAAGATCAGCAACATCCCGAACGGTTCCCCCTGATGAACTCGGCTTTTATTCAATTTAACCATCAAGTGGCTGCTCACATGGCTTGCCAGAGCATCATTCATCATATTCCCAGACACATGGCGCCGAGAGTCAACGAGATTTCTCCTCGCGATGTTATCTGGAGCAACATGGCTCTCTCGTGGTGGCAAGAATGGCTTCGCACCGGTGCTGTTACCCTCATCGTCGTGGCCATGATTATCTTGTGGGCTATTCCCGTTGCTTGGACGGCCGCCTTGGGCCAGCTGGACCAACTGATTCAACAGACTTCTTGGCTAGCTTTCCTGAGGGAAAATTCGGCGCTTGAAAATGCAGCCAAGGCTCTTGCGGGTGTTCTTCCGGCTGCTGTGCTTGCTCTGCTCCTGTTCCTCGTCCCCGTCATCTTGAATGTTCTCGGCGAGATCAAGGGCGCCAAGACGGGAGCACAAAAGTCGGAGTTTGTGCAAATCTTTTACTTTGCCTTTCTCTTCGTCCAAGTTTTCCTCATTGTCTCCATTGCGTCCTTCTTTGCTGCGTCTATTGACAAGCTGGTCGACAATATCACGCAACTCGATTCGGTCAAGGCTGTGCTGGATTTGCTTGCTACGAATCTGCCAAAGGCTGCCAATTATTTCTTTTCTTACATGATTCTTCAAGCCATGTCCACCAGTTCCGGTACGCTGTTGCAGATTGGAGGCCTGTTTGTGTGGTTTATCCTGGCTCGGTTGTTTGACAGCACCGCACGTAGCAAGTGGTCTCGAAACACGTCGCTGAACGATGTCAACTGGGGAACGTTCTTCCCCGTCTACACCAACTTTGCTTGCATCGCCATCATCTACAGCGTTGTTGCGCCCCTCATTTCCATCTTTGCGGTCATCACGTTTGGGCTCCTCTGGTTCGCGCAGCGGTATTCCATGCTCTACGTTACTCGGTTCGGAGTCGACACTGGCGGTGTGCTGTACCCTCGGGCAATCAACCAAACGTTTACGGGCATTTATGTCATGGAGCTTTGCCTGGCTGGATTGTTCTTCATCGTGGTGGACGATCAGGGCGGTCACACTTGCACACCACACGGCATTGTCATGATTGTTGTGCTGATTTTGACCATTCTATACCAAGTTCTATTGAACATTTCGTTTTCGCCTCTTTTCCGATATCTGCCCATCACCTTTGAAGATGAAGCAGTACTACGTGATGAAGCCTTCCAGCGTGCTCAGGACCGCCGCTTTGGGCTTGATGATGCATCGGACAATGAAGGCGACGAGGGCGACGCGAGACCAGAGAAGACCTCTACCTCGATGGAGAGCAGTAGTGATGACATTGAATTGAGCAACATCCAGCATCCAGGCAAGGGAAAAGTAAAGGGCCGTGCAAATCCCGTGAAGAAAGTGGGATCTTGGGCCAAGGGAGGCGGGAAGCAAGTAGGCACCTGGGCCAAAGGGGGCAGTAACCAACTGAGGAAGCTCGCCATGATGGAGAACAATTCTCAGGCGGCTGAGTACCGACGAAAACAGCGAACCAAGGACATCGAGTCCCAGCGCGCCATTGGAGAAGCGCTATTCGGGGGCATCCACGACGAAATCGAGGATCTTACCCCTGACGAGAGAGATCTCCTGGTGCGACATGCTTTTCTCCATTCGGCACTGCGAGCGCGTCGACCTGTCGTATGGATTCCTCGCGATGACCTGGGCATTAGTGATGATGAGGTCCGCCGCACGAAGGAGTACAGCGAGCATGTGTGGATCAGTAACGAGGGCACGGCGCTGGACAGTAAAGTGCGTGTGGTGTATGGAAGGTACCCGCCGGACTTTTCAGAGGTTGATTTGATTAATTTGTGAGGATGGTTTTATTTTATCTTGTCATGAAATCATGGCTATAGCGTGCGTGGCGTTTCAAGACGTATTACTATTTGTTTTTGTACTATTATGAGAGAGAGTGTATGATGGATGAGGGGGCTGATTGCAATTGCTTCATGGCGTTTACGAGACTGAATACGAGGCTACTAGAATACCCTTGAGGAGGAAATGTAGGGATGATAGGCCATAGAGGAGGATTTGATTGATATCAAATGATAGAAAAAGATTCCCAAGTACAAGTCTTCGACTGGGGCTTGTTTACAGGGGCCTTTGAATAATATTAAGAACATTGTCTTACCCTCTAACGACCATTTTCCGATTGTAGACATGTAGAATGTGAAGTGAATCGGATTGTGTATTCCAAACGAGGCATAATCTTTTGTCCAATCAAGTATGAAACATGTTTGTTGTTCGCGATATGGCAAATCAGCCCTTAGGACGCCTTACTGATTTGGAATCTACAGTGGCTTTGCTCTCGGTCGTGGCGTGGGATGACGGCACTGAGCTTCGAAACCCCGCAGCTGACGAGCAATGCGGCCGTCGATTGAAGCTGCTACGGGCTAGGAGCTATTAGAAATCAAGGGGGGGGGGGCGTCTAGGTCTCATCTGGAATTTGGAGAATAGCTTCCCCTCTATTTCGTGCTGGCGAGTGAATAGCGGTGCTGTTATAAAAGCAAATGGATTTCCGTCTTGGCATACATCTATCCTGTTAATTCATTCAAGCAACCTCTCCCATCTATACATTCACCAGCTAATTGTGTACTCATCGAGTGCTAAACCTCTCCAAACCATTCAACGAAGCACCGCCAAGATTACGTTTCTCAGCAAACTCCTCGGTCCCAAAATGGGCAAATCAGTAATTTCCAAATCCGGTCTCGCCACGGCCCGCGTCAACGGCACTGTCATCGCGGAAGCAAACTCGTGGTGGGAGACCGAGGGAAACATTTACTTCCCGCCCGAGAGCATCAAGGGCGAGTATTTCACGGGGACGAGCCAGCATAGCTATTGTCCGTGGAAGGGGGATGCGAGCTACTATACCATTAACGCTGGTGGTAAGTTTACAGCTTTACATGTAGTTGGTAGTGGAGTTGGGTACTGATTATTTATGGTGAACAATTAGGACAACAATTAGATAATGCGGCGTGGTATTACCCGCAGCCGTTGGAGGGAGCTGTGGATCTGAGAGATCATGTTGCGTTTTGTAAGTGAAGTTTCTTTGGTGGTGAAGAAATGCGGCGTGCTAATACTGAGGGCACAGACAAGAACAAGGTTGAGATTTCTGCCAACTAAAGAGGATGGTTTTCTTATGAGCTTATGGGGTATTGAGAGTGATTGCGGAACTAGCAATATGAAGCGCTGTTATATGTAATTGTTGATGTTGAATTTTGTACTATTTTCACAAACCAACTTTGTTCATGCATTATACAAGTGCTATATAAGTGATCAAACAAATGTAGGCAGCCCTGTGCCATGTCGTGAAATAGCATCGAATAAATAAATCAATAGCTTGCCATGTATTATGTAGCCCTTTGTTCCTATACAGAATGTCTTTCCCATTAACCCTAACCCGATCCTCCAATCTCCAACGCCATGTATCGTATAAGTAGTTTCTCGCTATAATGCATGCCGAATAATCTAATGTTTCGAAAACGCCAAAGGAGTAATTATCAAGGCAAATGTCTATGATGATGCCGCTGCCTGCTTGCGCTTTTCTGCCTCTTTGACGTCTTCCATCTCCTTTCTCATAATATTGTTGAAAAACTCTGCGTTGTCAAGGTAGAGATGGTGGCCAGCCTTGGGGACGATGACGACCTTGCAGCTGCCATTTTCGTTGCTCTTCTCTTCCTCTGTGCCGGTTCGCATGATGTTGGCCTTGACCTGCTTCAGCTTCTCCTCGGACGCAAGACCGCCGGCAACATCCATCCAGTCGTTTTCTCCGTACATGAAGACAATGGGGATGCCAGTCTCCTTGGCGACTGTTTCACCGTCAGGTCCCTTGATCGGCTGTCGGCCAACGTTTTGGATGCGGTTGATGACCGGGCGGCGGGCGAATGCTCCCGGTGCGAGAATATAAGCCAAAGCGTATTCGCCGCTGCCCTTTTGCTTGAAGATGGAGAACGAGTAGTCATGAAGGGTTTGTGCCTCTTCGGCGGGGAGGTGGTTGAACCGTCTGGAGGTCCAGCCAGAGACGAATCGTGGGCCGAGGGGACCGGCCAACCGAACAATGCTGAAGGGCGACACATTGGCGTCCCAGAGCCAGACGAGCCAGTTGGGATACGGGCGCTTTGGTGCGACGGCAGCGTCGTTCTTGGTTGTGGTCTGCTGGTCTACGGTGAATTCGTTCTGCATGGTGGACTCGCCGGGCTCGGGCAGTGCGGAATTGACGGCATATGGATCTTCTGGTATTCCAACGGGAGAGGCGAGGATGAGCTTCTTTAGGTGGCCGGGATATTTGAGGGCGTACGAAACGGCGAGGTAGCCGCCCAGCGAGTGGCCAAGCAGCGTGAAGCGCTCAATCTTCCTCGCCTTGCGCCACTCTTCCAGGGCATCGATGAAGAAGTTTTCCGCTTCAATCACCTTGCCCTCCTTATCCTTTGAGTGGATCTTGAACGGAGGCCTGGACGAGTTGCCCATGCCCAGCATGTCGAGGGCATACAGCTTCAAGCCGGGGATCCGGGAAAGGGGCTCAAAGTTCTTGTAGAAGAAGCCAAGGCCAGCGCCGTAGCCGTGGACCATGACGAGCGTCTCTTCGGGGTCCTCGCCAACTCGCTCGACAGAGAATTCGTTGAGGGCGCGGTTCTTGCCAGAGAGCTGGACCATGGATCGCCTCCATATTCTGGCGCCGAAGGAGTCGGTCTGATCGGTGGTGGAGAGGCTGCCCATGCTGGTGGTGGCCTCTTTGAGAAAGGGAATGTGCTTGAGCACGTTGCGCTCGGCCATGGAAGGCGTAACGCTTGACCACTAGAATTCCATTTATTAGAGAACAGTAAACCAAGAAGACGAATCAGAGGCCAAAACATACCCATTGGTAGGCAGCCTCTTTGTATCCTAGAGGAAAATATGCGCCCTTGACCTGCTGAGGCTTCCCCTGGCGAAGTTCCTCAGTCGCCTCAGGTGGCGGTTGAACGCGGATCGCATTCTCGGTGGTGGACATTTTGGACACGGGATAAGCAGGAGACGCTGTAGGTGGCGTAGATGCGGTGTTGAGGGCGAGGTTGAGTCGCGACCGGTGCAGAATCGCAGTGACGGTTTGGGTTTTGAGCATGCCTGAGGGAAGAAACTTTATTGGGGGCGCACAGCTCTTATATCATCAAAGCCTCGAGTCTCAGCCCCAGGCACCCGCGTCTGACAAGACGTCGTGGACTTTGCGGCCACGCAACTGGCTTATCTCTCTTTGTGTCGCAAAGCGGCCGGATTTGGCGCTGGCGGAGGACGACGGAGTTTAGGATGCCTTAGACTCGGGGTTTGGGCAATCCGGATTCCGAGACGTGAGAAGAGAGAGTAAGAAGTGACGACAGAAGTGTGGCGTGCGCAATGCAATGTAAATGAAGGAGAAAGGAGATGCAAGAGACTTGTTTGACGTTGGAGTGTATTACAAGATTGGAATTGAATCAAGCTGAATTGTTGATCTGACAAGAAGATGGTAGACAGAGAGATTTACACCGATCTTCTATTTGCCTCCTGTCATTCACGGAGCACATGTCCAGGTTCCTATTGCTTAGCGCTAGGGGTCCATGATTAGGGGCTGTTTTTGTTGAGCTGGGCGGGCCTTCAGTGGCGGGTGACTGCAGCTGGGTCCTGTCAAAGGCCACGGTTCTTGTCTCCTGGGCCTTGCACGTGTACATGGTTCAGATCAATATTGAACATTTGATGAATATGGGCGCGTGTACATGTACTCAATGTTTGTTTCCAAATGCGAATGCGAATCCCGAGTGGATAAAAATCAAACCATTCACGCAGTCTGTCCACCAATCACTACTCTGTATTCCAGCCACCACGTACGTAATGCATCTGATGGCGAGTTGTTGATGCTGCTTTTACTCCTGCTGGGTGTTGCTGGCAATAGTCCGGAATGACCGATTCGATCACATCTGCCCCGGATTCCGAGCTTCTCAACGAAGTCTGTTGGTCCCTGCATACAGCGATTGGCCACGTAATAGACCGTTGCGCTAAGAATAAATAATCAGCTGAAGGATCAAAGATTAAGAGGCAAGTTTTGCCGTGCTAGCCAAGCAAGCGACGACGATGTTACAATTCGGATTACTATTTGATAGTGCTGCTGTTTGGCAACTTGATGTTATTATAATTGCATTCATTCAAAGGAAATGCTCTTCACTCCATGATTTGGACGCCTACTCTTTATGCAGAGCTGAAACTCCGCAAGCAATCAAGAGAGAACTCATTGGGGCAGCAGTCTCTAGCATGTGATCCCTGCTGACTCAATTTTGCCTTGTTGGAAGATCCACCGCTAAATCAATCTGCTGGCAGTTGTGTGCAACAATCTCCGCCAAAATACATGTACTGCCTATTCGAGATACGCTCCCGTTGAAAAAAGAGACACGGCTGCTGCCGGGATTCTCCACTCGCATGAGATCCAACGCCGACACGTACCATATCGCTCTATAGCGTATAAATACGCGTTTGAGTTTTTGCATTCATTTTGTAGATAGAAGTCACAGGTATGCCAGAGATATCAATCAATTTGCTCCTTGACTACAATTGCTATTTAATAGACAAACTTTTGGCGGAGAATAACCAAATGCGGTCATATCTGGCACCTACACTCTTCTCTCACTCTCGATTTCTTGGACGAGTATGGCACTTATTTGCCCGCGGTTTTCCTCTTCCTTGCAATCTCATAAAACAGACTTCCGTCGTACATCTTCCGGATGTCCTCCTTCATCATGCGACCGTCTTCAGGCCAGAGAAGGATGTAAATTGCAAGCCCTGTGTACATTCGGTCAGCTCTATGGCATAGCGCATTATCGTTTGCTTAGGATAGTTCTAGGACTTACACTCCAAAGCGGCTCCTGTCCATCCAAACGGGTCGAATACCACTCTCTGACCCTTGAGCAGATTCCAGACATCCTTCACAGTAATGTAGTCCCGGTCGTCGGCGTATTTGGAAAACATGTCCTCAAATTTCTGAGGAATGAAGCGCCCTTCACTATCATATGTGCCGCTATCGCTTCCATGCTTGTCTTTGTGAATGCTCTTGAGGTAGATGCGGAAAAAGGGATCGGGGAGGTGGCCGGGAACTGTCGGATAAGAAAAGCTGGAATGGATAACAAAGACGGCAAACCAGCAGAGCAGGATATTGAAGCCCAGTCCGCGGAAGCCTCTGTATGTATCCAAAGGCCAGATAATGCCGTCTTTATCCTATACACGTGTAAGCAGAGGGCGTTGGGTACAGAAGGTAGGCTGCATTTGCCTACCTGATCAAAATAATCACAGTGTTGCTGCAAGACCTGGACCAAGAGTCAGTACAGCCTCTGTCAAGATGATCAAGTAACCAAGCATACTGTCTGGTCTTGGTGCTCCCTCGCCCAGTTGCCTTCCTGTGTGCCTTCCGGGTGCTCGTATGTCGCAGCTATATTGGCTCTGGGTGTTCCTATGCACGCAAATCAGTTAGTTTTTGAATACTTTTAATTCGTTCCACTTTGCCATCGCAGGAGCTTGTACCTGTATGTGAAAGCTTCACGTCGTCTTCCGGCTGGAGGAATGGCTTCCGCTGGACAGTGACTGGCACGCTTCTGATATGGCTCGTTACCGCATCTGAATCGTCCTTTGGTTCTGGTCCGACTCCATTCACCAATGCAGCTTTGTAATCCATTGTGGTGTTGCTATTGTTTTGTGCCGTTGTTACTAAAAATGCGATTGAAGAATGAGAAGACGAAGAGAATTTCAGTAGCACGAGAAGTCGAAATATCTATATTACGGCAATTGAGAGCTAAGCTCAATAAGCTGTTTGCAATGCGCATCAAACTGTCTTGAGTTCTGCGATGACGACATTCTGAGTTCATGATTGGGGTTTGTAGCTATCCCTGCGAGCGTTTGAAATGGAATGGATACGGAAGTGATCATCTCGACGTCACAGTTCACGCATTTAGAACTTTATCAGCCCAGCATACCTACCTATATAGCTCTTTCTACAGCAAAAAAATAATCAGAAACACATATGCAATTGACATGTGATCAAGGCCAGATTTGAACACATATAAAGTCCAAGTAAAATATTATGCACACTTTATTAAGCGAGTTCCACAGTGCCAACAGCGGAATCATCTGGCTTAGGTCAAAGTTTAAATTGAGCAAAGACAGTCATCGATATATCATCACAAGCAATTTACTGTTTTTGATGTTTCAAATTGTAAGAGGCATGAAATTTATGTGTATAGGTATTTAAATGGACGCTATCAATCCCTCTCTAGTATGAATGTTAGATCCCCCCCCTGCGATTGCGGCGCTAATTATCCCACGCCATATCTCTTCTTACATCAAGATTTGGCCAAGGAATAGCATTTGTTTCCCCCCTATAACGCGCTCTTCACTACAAGATGAAGATGAACCATCAAAATTACCAAAGACAATGGTCGAAGGCGGGGATGACCCCAGTCAACAATCTCCCTGGCAGATGCCGATGATGCGGCATACGAGACACTGCTTGCTTGTGGTCTCAATGATGTCACTACCGATTTCATGCTCAGAAATGAGAGTGAATCTTTGTAGCCAACAATTCATTGTCTTCATTGTCATGCACAGCCAATAATACGTCTATATATACAACCATCAAGAGTTCAATGTCGACTTACACGCAATGCCCGCGATGGCTTCCATTTGTAGGATTACGCAAGGCAGCCAATCAGAGTTCTATGTTGATGACGAGACGCTGCTTCGCCCCGCAAGTACAGAGGTACTCGGTCCCACGCAACTCTTCTAGGCAAGGCTGAGCTCCCGCTTCCGTCTCAGCTTCATCCACCCAGTCTTCTCATCCTCAGGCGCGAACATTGCTACGATTCCCCGCCGCCGCTTCCTCGAGCCTGCTGAGCCTCGAGCCTCTGCCGGCGGCTGCCCGCAACACCATGGCCGACGATCTCGACTCCATCGTTAAGGGCGCTCCTACGGCCACGGCCACAGCCACAGCCGCCGCCGCCAACACCAACGATGCCAGCGATAATGCCAGCGCAAACGCCAAAGCCGGCACGAGCCCCTTCCCGCCTATGCTGGGCCTAGGCAAGCCTGGCGATCCGCTGCATCACACGCCCAGCTCGCCGTCCATGATCTACCTGAATCTCCTCATCCTCGAGGCCTCGCTGCGCGCGCAGTTCCTGGAGCTGCGAGCCCGCAAGCGCCACCACACCTTCTTTCTCGCCATCCTGACGCTCTGGGTCGCATTCTTCGCTTATAAGCTGTACTTTGCCCCCCGAGAAGATGGCCGCGGCGTTGGAGGATCGATATACTGGGCGGTTGAGGGCGCTCAAAAGGTGTGCTTCATGGGCGGAATCATCACAGCCGCCCTTGTCTGGGCCACGGGCATCTGGGAGCGCGGCATTCGGTGGCCGCGCCGCTGGTTCGCCATATCCAACCGAGGCCTGCGTGGCTTCAACTGCAAGCTCGTCATCATTCGACAGACGTGGTGGGCCGAGGCACTGTCGACTATTGGCTTCTTCCTTACCTATGGCCTATTTTCACATACGGCCAGTTCGTCGTACCGTCTCGTCGAGCCGCAGCTGCTACGCCAGGTCGAGAAGGAGCTTCAACTCACGAGTGATAACCACCCCACATTGGTTCTGCCCCCCGATGACGACGAGTTTGGCGGACATGAAGAAGATTTGGCACCCGGCGGCGACTACGTTAAGCTATTACTATTACCCAAGCCGTTTTCGCCCACCTTTCGCGAAAACTGGGAGCTATATCGTACAGAGTACTGGGAGAGGGAGAACGAACGTCGACGATTGTTGCGGCAGAAAGTCAAGGAACACTCCAAGAAAGTTGCAAAAGAGCAATACGGCTGGCTGTGGTGGCTTCCCTGGCACCAGAATCCACAGCCTCGCGTGCGCCGCGAGCCACAGAAGATGGTCCATCACCGGATAGCGAGCGCTGAACGCAAGCGTAGGGGCAGTAGTGTGCGCCGCTCGTCAGTGAGCTCTTCGAGAAGCCCGACTCCTCAAATCTTTGATAGCGACGGTCAAACTCCGCGCAAACAAAGCCCCATCTCGGAGAAACGCCGAAAGCCAGCAGGGTCAATATCCAAAGTCAAGAGACCTGGCGGCGACTCTAGGTCTGTAACGCCCGATGTGCCCTCACGCCTCTCTAGAGAGAGCAGCGTGACTCTTGACACAGAGACAGACGGCAGCAGTGGAAGGACGCTACGCAGTGCGAGCAAAAGAGCAAGTCCAGTGCCTTTATCGCCTGATTAAAGATGTCAAAGATTGGGATGATGAGCATTAGCTGGGAATGGGACATGGCATAAGACTTTTGATTTTTTCTGTATGCGTAATGAGACATACACTTATTATGAAGCTTTCCGATCTGTGTAATTACCCCATGTGATTTTTCCCTTGTTCTCTTGGATTAGACTTGTCATACTTGTAATACAGCCAGCGGTGAGATCCGTCACTCTACCCAGGCTATGATCTGTCCTAAGCATCCAATAATCATCATTAAAGCCAGGCTATCTCTTACAGCCCATGCGATTGTCCTAGAGATACCCCAATTCAGTAATAAGGAAGCTGGGGGGTTTTCAGCTAGTCACCCCCATTGTCAGGATTTTTTGACTGTGACTCACGCATGCAGGGAGCATAAATAGCGGCTAGCTTTTTCGGCTTGTCTTATCAAAAGTTCTATAGCTACATATAGTAGTTTCGTTTTTGCATTAGTCTGCTTTGCGAGTTTGCTTTTCGGTGAGGCCATGAATCTTATATAAATGCAACTTACCGGCACGATGCCTAGAAGAAACATCAATCTGAGACTTGCTTCTTTCAAGAATAAAGAAATTCCGGTTTCGGCTGTTAGACTTCCACTTTCCTCTACATAAATTATTCTATCTACATGTAACAAAGCTTACATCAATCCTCATCGACTCAATTCATCATGGCAACCGAAACATCTCACCTCCACACCGTGATCCCCTCTCACAAATTCCCCAACCTATTCCTCCGCACCATCAAGGCCTCTGATGCCGAACGCTTCGTGGCCATTCTCTCCGCGCCATCAAACAAAAGCGACCCTCACAGCCAGGACATGTCACTTGAAGCCGCAGAGGCCTCCATTGCTCTCATGCTCGAATCAGCTAGCGAGCCCACCAAGCTCAACGCCCAAGGCAAAGTCTTCGGGGGCCCAGGCCGTGTCAACATGATGCTGGTTCTCAAGGCGGAGGACGGCAGCGATGAGGAGCGAATCATTGGTCTAGGAGGCTTTGGTGCAATCAAGACCCGCAAATGCCTTGATGGACGCGAGATCCGCGTGGGCGATGCGGGCGTCATGCTGGACCCGGCGTATAAACGCCTTGGGTACGGCCTCGAGGCGATGAAGATGGCGATCAATTGGGCTTACAAGCCGGTTAGCGAGGGAGGAGCTCAGCTTGATTTGGTGACGATGACGACTTTGGCGGAGAATGTCGCGATGTTGCAGCTCATTGATGAGAAGTTGGGATTGGAGGGCAAAGGGGTTACAAGACAGGCGGAGTTTGATGAGAACAAGATGGAGGTATACTATGAACTGCCGAAGGAAGCCTGGGAGAATCTAAAGAGAAACTAGTATGGATAGAGAATCGACAGTGAAATACCAGAGAGCTGAACAAGAACGAGTATATCAACAAGAACTAAAATACACAGAGAACTGAAAGGGCGAGAAAAGATAGCCGTCTATAATTGAGAAATCAAGAAACCCAACGCCACATCACCATAATCTACCGCTCCATATTCTCCCAGACCAGTATAATCACAGAATCGATATTATCAGGCCCAGGCTCGCCAACAGCCTTATCAACATACGCCTGCCACACAGCCCCATCATCACTCATAACCGAGTCTGCAAACTTCCACACTCTTCTATTTCCCGTCCACAGCAGCTCTGTCCTATCTACCCCTGCATCGTCGATAGTAACTTCATGCAGTGTCGACGATTGGTTCGTTGCCATGCTGTCTGTAACCACCACCTTGGTATCCTTTGAGCTGTGTTGTATCGTACCGAAATGCTCGTTAATGGACACTCCGACTGTCAGAACCCAGTTGTCGTGAAAAACATAACGCTGCATGAAACAGGCATCACACGCATTCGTCACCAAATGCGCCACATTCACGTCCATTCCATGGCCATCCAGCGCATTACGAAGAACCAATGGCCGCACACCAGTCTCATAAGCATCAACATCCAGGTTGGTCACTTCAAAATCCGGACTATAAAAGCCAGGCAAGACATTCATGCTAACATCGCTATTCCAAGCGAAGCAGGTTTTCAAAAGCACATCCCATCGCTTCGCATGGAATCGATCCCTAAGCTCAGGCATATCGAAACACGAGAGCTTTGAAAGCGTGTTCAGCGCAGGATGAGTGAGGAATACGGCACCACCGCCATACGTCGTCGTAGTCGTATTTCTTCGCGTCGGCTCCCAATCATCCTGCTCGCTTGGTAGACCAATATAGACCTCTTCGTCTGTTTTGTACGAAGCTAGACGATGCTGCAGATATCGAATATCTGGAAAGAAAATATCGTCTTCAATAAGCGCATACCAGCGCTTAATAGCGCCGCCACTATTGGAGAGAATCGCTCCAAAAGACTTGAGGAGGTGGGCAAGTTCGTGATATCGGCTCGTTAGAGACATTGGCTCTCCTGAAGCGAATACTTGAGCTTCGACGCCATTCGTTCGAAGAAGATCCTCAATCTCCTCCACTTCGTCCTTATCAGCTTGGTCAAGCATAAGAACGAGGCTCGCGCCGTTGCTCTTCTTGTGACCATTTGTAAGCCATCGAGTCCAGCTTCTTAGCAACGCTCCCTCTCGATCCAAAATCTTGTCATATGTCGTCGTTATTCCAAACACCAAATCAGAGGCGTCGTAAGATTTCGAACTTAAATCTCCCAAAACCGGTAGTTCCATCCTGTGGGTAACTCTGACATCCAGCGGATTGGGGGTCTCAGTGAATACGACTTTCGCATCTTGAGAACCAAAGTTGTTGTGCACGCTATTCACGGTGGTCCATTCAGCAGAATCTTTGACATGCCGAAATCTCCATGACAGCCATTCCGTCTCATTTGTCAGCTTGAATTCACGGCTCAACCGTGCGAGGTATTGTTCTTCTGGCGACAATCCTTCTCCTAGAGAATCGGCTGCGCTGATGGGAAGAATATCGTAATCCGGCTCTCGAAACAAGTCCAGATTTCTCCAGACAATAAAGCAACAGACAAGTGTAGAAAAGAAGGAAAAAAGTTGGAGGCTGCCGTTAGCCATTGCCTTTGCAGGCAAGATTGTTGGGTTCTATATAGATTAAGTAGCGTTGCTCCGTTCAACCGGGAAGCTGGAGCATCAATGGCACGCCCGAACAAGTGAAATTAGAAGATATCAAGTGAAAATGGAAGATTGGCCGGCCATGGAGAAGAAGCAGAAGAAAAAAGAAGAAAAGAAAAAGAAAGACTCGGCACGTCCCGAGGGGGATCGGCCAAACGGCGTGGTGCGTGTTAGAGGGTCTGGCGCTTTTAAAAAGCGGATATAATTTGCTTCCACGAAGATGATCGGCACTCATGCCCCTGTCCAGGTTGTTCTCTGAATCACAATTGGGCGTCTCAACGGTCGGTGATCCCTTTCCAAACAGGCAGGATGACGCTCGAGTGTAGGATGTAAATTCTGTGGAACGCGGCAAGAAAAACGACATGCCTAATCAATATATTTATCTGCGGATCTTGGATGCGAAACAAGACGATTAATTAGGGTCTGACAACGTTATCTGTTGGAGAAAGCAAACGGCCCAAAGCGCCCCGCTAACTAATGTTATGGTACAGTACAAAACCCTTGCCCAGCGCTATCTGAAGAATAAAAAGGGAAGCTCCTTGTTGGTGATCGTCGTGTACCTGAGTGGTGCCAGTATGACAGGGTTAGCGTCCCAAGCGGAATATTCCCAGTAAAACCGTCATCATCATTAGTTTGTCCACCTCTGGACCGGCCCCCTGCTTGCATGTCGGTCCCTGGACAGGTTCAAATTTCTCTTCTTGTAACAATAACCACAGCATAATATCAATACAACGGTAGTGATGTTGTGAGTCGGATAGGTATCGCCAGTACATGGTAGAAAGCGTGTCATTCATCTCAGGAAGATGGAGTCGTTAGATGACGAACAATCTTGATTAGAGGGAAGTCAGAAGGGGTCCTTTGGTTGAAGTGGACCGCATCGAGCTGATTAGCATTCTAGACTTTACTTTCCAATCGTTGAAGTGGGAGTCGAATCTCCACCAGCATACGGCAGAGCAAGCTGCTTTGGCGTGTTCGGATGAGGTCCTGGCTGGGCCTGGGCTCTGGGCCTTTGGCTTCCTTGTTGAGTGATTCGAGGCATGTAGTTTGCTGGTAAGTTTGCACTCACAGTTGCCTTGGCGTCTTGATACAAGTCGAAGCATTCTGCAAGAATTTGGTCATTCGATTGATCAGTGGGGGCAATGCCAGAGTCGAGGATTTCTTTGATGTGATCTTCCAGTGCTTCGAACTCAGCCTTGTCATAGCGATATCGGTCAGGCAGTCCACTGTTTTGCAAGAAGGCGAGAAGACCAGCGATGACAGTATTTGCAGCTCCGAGAATCGTGATTGGAGTGCCCTGTTTGAAGGACATGGAGCCCAAAGCCGTCAAAGTCGCGCCGATGAAGAGCTGCAGCAACATCAAGACCCATCGGATGCCACTTGACATGTGATACAGATAGAAGAATTTGGTGCGCTGAGTAACAGTGTCTTTGTACAAGCCTCGAGGCATCCCCTTGGGCGGCCATAGCCAGCTGGTTGGATGGATTGGCTGGTGCTGCTCTCGGTCTCGGATGCCGCCTATACCATGAGCAATGACTCCCCATTCAGTGGGCGAGAGGAACCTGTGACGAGCTATCTGGTGGTTCTGGTGGCTTTCCAGAGGCCTTTGAGGTCTTGGGACTGAGAAAATACCAACATGGCCGCTTTGAACCGGGGCCGGAGGCTTGGTAGGGTCTGGATGAGCACCGGGATGGTTGTTGGCTCCAACAGACAGAGGCGGAAGCGTTGGCGCATCCGTGACGGGATTGCCCTTTATTGGCTTGGACATGATGGGCGATGGAGTGGTGAGCGACGGAGCTGCAGACAAGAAGCAAGAAGAAGCAAGAAGAAACAAGTGAGCGGTCTTGGGGCCTGTATCGTGAATCACTGCGTGAGTCTTTGAATCCAACGGTGAGCCTGTCCCAATCTCTTTGCCTGGTGAAGAGCAGAAGGGAAAAACAGGATGAAGAGGAGAAGCCATGGCTGCAGGCGAGGCAGAGGAGGAGAGTTTGAGACGTCGGCTAATTTTTCGTCTATCTCAGCGAAAGAAGGAGTCAGGAAGTCCTGGGTGGCCTCTTTGGGAACGAAGATGCAGGGCTCTTTCCCGCTCTCGGGAATGATATCAAAGGGACCGGCATATGGAGATGCTTAACCTCTGGATTGGGACGAAAGTAGACGAGGAAGGAGCTTGGTTTTCTCGCTAAGAGCGACGCCGTAATAAGAGAAGCAAGACAGACATAACACATCGATACTGATGGAAAGGGAGATTGTGTTTGCAGAGATGGATTGACTCTGAGAATATGCACAGCCTGTTTACTATATTGGATGACAGAGCTGGGACAACAGACAACAAGTCATCAAGGTACTTGCTGTCGATCAAACAGCTGCATGCTACAGCCGCCAGTTATCAAGACGGCTCAGGAAAGGAGTGTAAAATAACCTGTTTATACGGACAATCGCGACCTATCATCCAGTGTCAGTCTTCTTTATACCACCACCTGATTCGAGCGGGTTTTTGCGAATACTTGATTTACACGTTCCTAGCAGCACTTGCACATTGTCGTTGGTTGTAAGAATTCCGAACATTCGCTCCGAGCTGGCGGTTGAGACGACATCTTTCTCTATTCTGCCTGAGTCAAGCGGTTCCTTGACATCACCCTGGAGCGCGCAAGGTTCTGACGAGGCAATACAAACAGGGTGCTTCTCTCCTTGAGATCAGGCTATCGTAGGTCCTTTGGAAATATGCATGTGTAAATCTCTGGTTCGTTGCAATTACAGTGTATGCTTGCCAGGCTTGAGAACTACGAACTGGAATTGCCAAGCTACACAAGTCTTGGAACTCAATCACATTGGACTTGGAACTGCACGGCGTAATACTAAGCTTCTTTGTACTACAAAGAAGCTTGAAGGGTGAATTGTGAGACTGTAATCGCAGCTATAGACTACCAAGCTCAAGGTGATGATGAAGTGGGTGGGGCGGTCGACTTCACCGCCTTCGCAATGACGGGCAGAATCAAAAAATATTGTGGGCTTCTGAGCTCGTGGCTTGCAGCTTTGTCGGCCATTGCAACTTGGAAAGCATATTACGAGACAGATTTTCTGTTTCTTGAATATTGATATTGCATGTTTTACGGTGCCTCTTCTCTGAGGCATCTGCTGCGACTTTCAGGGGCATCGAAACCCGCCGGCTTCAATTCTTACAGCAACACATCCGCGACTCGTCGCATCGTTAAAAGGCATTTCTCTGCCTCGTTTGCGCCAATGGCAGGCACCGTCGAGGTCGAAACCGTCGAAAAGGATGGAAAACAATATCGGTTGGTGAAAGAGGGAAAGGCGACTATTCTGGTGCCTCATGGCGCCAAGATTGGTGAAGACCGAGGAGAGGTGCAGCAGGTGTTTTACAATCCCATCCAGCAGTACAACCGCGATCTCTCTGTGCTCGCAATCAAGACATACGGCGAAGACATTTTGGCGAAAAGGAAGGAGAAGATTCTGGCAAAGTCAAATAAACTAGGGAAAAACAAAAAGCGAAAGCGAGACGAGACAGACGAGACCGGCCCTTCAACCGAGACGGAAACGACTGCGACTCTGGCTTCAGACCAGGCCACCGAACCTTTGGAGGAACAAAAGGCTCACAAATCAACATTCACAATGCTGGATGCCTTGTCGGCATCTGGGCTGCGAGCGCTTCGATACGGACACGAGCTTCCTTTTGTTACTTCAATAAATGCCAATGATCTCTCCAAGTCCGCGGCCGAGTCCATCAAGCTCAACGTGAGCCACAACGGCCTCGATGATATAATCTCAGTCACCAACGAAGATGCGCTTGCGCACATGTACCGCGCAATCGCTGATGGCCTCTCCAAAAGAGATCGACACGGCAATCCGTCCAAGTCTCACAAGTTCGACGTGATCGACCTGGACCCCTACGGCACCGCTGCACCCTTTTTCGATGCTGCGCTGCAGTCTGTAAGAGATGACGGCGGTCTTCTGTGCATCACCTGCACTGACAGTGCTGTGTGGGCTGGACATAGCTATTGCGAAAAGACATTCGCCTTGTATGGCGGCACTCCAATCAAAGGCATGCATTCTCACGAAGCTGGACTACGATTAATTCTGAATGCCGTCGCTACTTCTGGTGCCCGATACGGCTTAAGCATTGAGCCTTTGCTATCCCTTTCCATTGACTTTTACACCAAAGTATTCATCAAAGTCACCAAATCACCGCAAGCTGTGAAATTCCTGGGCTCAAAAACCATGGTGGTATACAGCTGCGACCACGGCTGCTCCGCCTTTGAGACACAATATCTCCTGAGAAGCAAACCGACTCCGAACAAAAAGGGCAGCGGGTCTTTCTACAAGCATGGTATGGCGGCAGGACCACCTACAGATAGACACTGCCAGCATTGCGGAAACAAGATGCATGTCAACGGTCCCATGTATGGAGGCCACATCCACTCGGCCGAGTTTATTGAGAAGCTTCTTGAGCAAATTCCCAATGCCTCGCCAGAAGTGTATGGAACTCTTCCAAGATTAGAAGGCATGCTACGAACAGCCTTGGAGGAAATCATTCCAGGCCCAGAGCCAGATCCCACGGTGAACCCTAATGACGCCAAGCATGCAGAGATTGATATCGCTCCCTTCTTTGTCATTCCTTCCAAGCTAGCAACAGTGGTGTCTTGCGCTGCTCCCAGCGACGACATGTTCCGTGGTGCTTTAATACACCTCGGTTACCAAGTTGGGCGAAGCCACTGTCGACCAGGCAGCGTCAAGACGGATGCGCCTTGGTCTACTCTCTGGTGGATCATCACCGAATGGATCCGCCAAAAGTCTCCCATCAAAGCATCCAAATTCACGCCACTTATGCCCGGTTGGAAGATTCTGCACGCCGCCGGACTGGTCGGTCAAGAAGACGGAGCAGCGTCGAAGGAAGCCGATAGCGAAATGGAGGATGCCCAGACAGCAGCGGCGGCAGATGCTCAGAGCGAGGAGGCAGCAAAAAAGGGAGACGAACAGGCATCCAGTCCCAGCGAGCTAGAGCTGCGGAAAACGCTGGTCTTCGACGACGATCTCGCACGGCTGGGCCGTCTGCGGGATACTCAGAAGCTGGTGCGATATCAGATGAACCCCCGGCCAGATTGGGGGCCATTGTCCAAGGCCAAGGCGTCATGATGGATGGAAGATGGAGTAGATTATGTACTTAGTATGAGTGAATGTAGATGTATATATGACAGCTTTGTCCAAAATACAAAAATTAATTATTCCACAGCGAGTTAAATCCTATCATATGCCGTGAAAGCCGCTGCTTACGCCGAATCCTACAGAAGCAAAAGCATTGACTTTATCACAACCCCACCAGTTAATTGCGCAGGATCAACGTGGGATCGCGTGCGCTACGGCCACAACTAAAGTCCGCAACTAAACACTTGCCATCAACAAAGCAGCGTGCAAACTGAGGCCTTTTTCTACACTTGGATGCATAAAATCATCTAGACAGCTTCATTTACATCTAAATACTTCCTTATAGTTTCGATAAAGTCATCAAGCACTGCCACGAAATATATCCCACCCAGTTATCAATCGTTTTTAATGGCTTCCGCGGGGCTGACAAACGTTACCGACGTCTCGGTCCTAGACGGCGTCCTATCCTGGAAAAGCACCAGCAGCAACGCCACGGAACAAACCAAATACCAAAATGTGATTTATGTGCTTGATCGATCACAGGCTTCTTCCGGCGATATCAAGACTGGGTACATAATTTCAGCCCTCGACGAAGACTCAGAAAGGAGCCCCGAAGAGCGCTTCCAACTGCTGCTTTTGGCTACCGATTCAGTCCCAGATGAGCTCCTTCAGTTTCGCATCGGCGGTTTGCCGGACTATTTAAAGCCTGTGAAAGGAAAACAAGACGTCGATGTTATCGTGTCTACGAAATCGGGCGTTGGACTGTCTCAGCTGTTCTGGCAAACTGTGCTACAGCCTCTCTGGAACTCAGTCGACGAGCTGTCATCTGAAGTAAACGTCCTCATCACGCAAGACGAGCACAGTGTTCGCAATTTCGCCCAGTCACTTGCTTCTTCAGCGTCCAAATCAAAACGGACAGTCGTCCTCCTCAGCGGCGACGGCGGCATCGTCGATCTCATCAACGGCGGCCCTCACGAGTCACAACAGCAGCCTCTATTGGCTGTTCTCCCTCTAGGCACGGGAAACGCCCTCTTCAGCTCGCTGCATAAGCCCCTCTGGATCTCTCAAGATGGCAAAATCGAAGACATATCTTCTATTGTTCTCGGTCTGCGAACGCTGTTCAAGGGTGTATCTGCCAATCTGCCTCTCTTCCACGCATCTTTCCCCTCTGGATCACGCATAGTGAAATTCAAACCAGCCGCAAGTAAAGAGGAAGAAATCCCAGCAGAGGACAACAGCGCCGCAGCAGCACTCCATCTCGCAAAGGAAGAGATCCAAGTCTCGCATCTCTACGGCGCCGTGGTGGCCAGCTACGGCTTCCACTCCAGCCTCATCTACGAGAGCGACACGCCCGAGTATCGCGTCCACGGTGATAAACGCTTCGGCATGGTCGCGGAGCAACTCCTCCGTGAATCTCACCCTTATATCGCTCAGGTGGACGTTCGTCATCCATCTTCATCAGAGTGGGAGACCATCCCGAGAAACGAGCACACCTACGTGCTCATCACGCCGCTGTCTAATCTGGAGCGCACATTTACAATCTCACCTGCGAGTAAACCCCTGGACGGGAAACTTCGTCTAGTGCACTTTGGCAATATCGGCGGTGAGCGGACCATGGATGCTATGATGAAAGCGTATGATGGGGGCAAACATGTTGGCTTGAAGTGGGATGATGGACACGAGGTGCGGTATGAGGAGGTGGAGGAGTTGAGAGCTACAATTCTGGAAGAGGATGAGCGGTGGCACAAGGTGTGTATCGATGGGACGATTGTGGACATTCCAAAGGGGGGACAGTTGTCTGTAAGAAAGGAGGAGAAGAGCGGATTCCAGATTTTGGTCGATTCGCGAGTTTTGCCAAGTTCTTCATAATTTACAATAAGTTTCTGTTTCAGCTTGGCCATCATAGCTGTCTACTAATACAGCCTTTTGATTTCTAAAAATCTAGGTAGAAGCATAGCTGGTAGTAAAAAAAAAAATAATAATAATAAAAATAAAAAAAAATAAGAGTCTATCATAGAGCATCAAGTAATTTCTTCACCCTCTTCTCCATAACCCGCTCAAAATCCTCAACGCCATTCTTCAGCTCTGTAATCCCCCCTCCTTTGATCCGATAGACTATCCTCCTTCGCATGGTCTCTTCCTCTTCCTCGTCATCCTCGTCTTCATCATCGCCTTGGTCCTCAATCTGGCCCTCTATAGCGCCGCGCATAAACCACCTGTCGTGGCTCACTAGCACAACGGCGCCCTCCCATTCGTTCAGCGCTTCTCGCAGCGCCGTCACAGTCTCGTAGTCGAGATGTGTGGTGACTTCATCGAGAATGAGGCACTGCGGGTGCTTCCAGAACAGTCTCGCTAGCTGACATCGCACCAGTTGGCCACCGGATAGTTTGGAAATGGGAACGTCTGATGCCAAACGGCCGGGGAGGCCAAGCGTGCCCAGTAAGCCGCGGATCTCTCCTTCATTGAGCGCACCATCAACTTCTTTAGTCAGAAGAGCAAGGGAGGTTATGCCCTGCTCGGTACGGCCAATGCTCTTTAACTCTTCAACGGCATGTTGAGAATAATACCCCATTCTTAGACGGGGATGCGCAGTGACGGTTCCCGATGATGGAGCAGATTCCTCAACCAGGAGCTTGATGAGGGTAGATTTACCCGCTCCGTTAAGCCCCAGAATACCAATACGATCGCCCATGCCGACCGTAAGAGTAATATCTTGGAGAATCAGTGGCGACCTTGGTGCATAGCGATAAGATGCCTTCTCCAACGATATAAGCGATCCAGGAAACCTCAGCTCGGGGGGCTCAGGCAACGAGATGATGACTGGTCGCTGCTCCGGCGGGATATCAATTCCCTCTCGGCTAGTTAAGAAAAAGCCGACCAGGTCTCTGTTCAACTTAAACCTCGTTCCCTTTGCACTGACTTGCATGCCCCAACGATCATCCAGCTTCTTCTGCCGAGACTTGGCCTGGCGAATCTTGTTCTGGTCGTCGTTGGCCTTGCCGGCCTTGAGGTTCTGGGCAATTGTCTTCTCCATGTGGGCTTTTTGCTTGTCTTGGGCTTCCTTCATCTTGGTGAGCCACTGCCTGCGCTCGGATTGCGATCGTTCGTACGTCTGAATGTCGCCGTGGAAGTAGGTGAGCTGCTTGTCCTTTAAGATGAGAAGATCAGTACAAAGGGATATGAAATCTCGATCGTGGGAGACGAGGATCAGCGTAGGAGGTTTCTCTTTATCTGCCAATGATTGTAAGTAGCGCTGCAGCCAGACGATTCCAAGGAGATCCAAAAAGTTGGTCGGCTCGTCAAGAATCAGAATATCGGCCTCTTGCAGTAGCGCGGAGGCCAAGGCTGTTCGCATATGCCAGCCTCCAGAAAGGCTGGAAAGTGGCTTTTCCAGGTATGCCTCGGTGAATCCGAGACCAGTCAGAATCTTTCGAGCTTCGACTTCGATTTGAGCCAACCTTGAAGGCTCGATTTGAATTTGTAGGTCTGCCAGCATATCAGCTGCCTCTTGAGTTTCCGTTTGAAGAGCGTCGGCCGAGATTTCGTCTTCTGGCTGGTCTAGTCTGGACACCATCAAATGTCAGTAACCAATAAGACGCAATGGCGAATTACAGTAGGCCAGATAAATCAACATACAAGGCTTGTGAATCAGCAACCACTTTCTCAAAAGCAACAAGAGCTTTCCTCGCCTGCAGGCCTCGGGCACCACTTCGCATTCTAGCCTCCTTGTCAACGAGAAAGAGACGTTTCTGAAGCTTCTCGTGTTTCAATCCTCTCAAGGCCCGAACTGGGGCATATGGATTCGAAGCATCGACACCGTCCGCGAGCACTAATCAGAAAGGCGTAAGCACAAGGCTGAAGAAATAATATTTGTACGCAAACCTTTAATCTCCTGTTCGATGACGCTTCGTGCAGTGGCCCGCTCAATGACCTCCTGCAAGACAGATCCCTCGCCTTTTTTATCCTTTGTTGTCTTGTCATCGTCATCAGACTCTGTAAGCTTTGTCTGCTGCAGAATTGCAATCCTGGAGCCCTCTGGGATTCCTGGAATGAGCTTCTGAGCAATAGCTTTGAGCAGTGCTGCAGCAATTCAAGGTTCAGCTCCTAGTCAGCCTATCGTCTTGTGCCAGACACAGTAAAGAAGATCCTCACTCGACTTTCCCGTCCCATTGCGGCCAACCAAGGCGTAGCGCTGGCCTTCTTTCAATCGCAGCTTGGCGTTGGACAAGATCTCAAGGCCATCGGATTTTGATTTGCCTTTGGACTTGCCAGCAGCCTTTTCAGGCTTGTCTGCCTTCTCGCCAGAAGTGACGACAATGTTGAGGCCGTCAATGTCGAGCTAATAATGTCCGTCAATTCAACGTTTGCTAGTGTAGATGATGCCATAGTTGCCAGTCTGACGAACTTCGCGGTAGTTTGTGCTGTCAATGTTGAAGCGAGTCTGCTTGGCCGTGCAGAGGATGGTGGCCACAGACTCGGCTGCCATGGAGGTCATTGCGACGAGATAGATGATTCAAATTTTGTGGTGTTTGTGGTAATGGGTGAAGTTGGATGAACAGAGTATCACGCTTGAATGCGCAATTATTCAGCCACGCGGATCTCAAGAGCAATTGGCATATAAACACCGAATCTCACATCTCTTTGAGCAGAAAGAATTAATTAAAGGGAAAGTAGATTTGAATATAAACCGGAATAAAAGACGTAGCGACGGAAGACAGAAGCCCGAAGCACCTGCTGCAGACTTCCTACACAAGGGCCCAGAAGTCGCATCTAGCTTGGTAACTGGATTCGTATAATGCAGCGTCTCCAATAAAAAAGATCCATTCGCTCAGGTCGATCCGGCTCGAAAAATGAGGGCCGGACCGTAAAGTTAGAGTTCGATCTACAGCTCTACAGCCACTAAGAAAAGGGCAAAATCAGATTGCAGCGCTCGGCCAGTGACTCATCCGGATTTCTGGTGCCGCATTTTCCCTTTCGTACACCTTCAACTGGCCGCTCCTTTCTTGCATCGAGGTGGCTTTATAAGAATGACTCTTTTGAATGACTCTCGCCGAGAAGGGTTTTATCTAAACATGTTGATATGTTCATCCAATTAAGGGGGGACGCTGTGTTGAGATGATAATCTTGGTTCTAAGGCGACGTCATCGCGTTATGAGCAGCCATCCATTCCGTCTTACACCGTCGAGAATTACAGGGCCAACATCATCACCAAATAACGCAGAATCTCGTACTATTAGTAAACCAAAGCACACCATTCTTCTATTCCATCTCATCTTTTGTGCACTGCATAATCAAGCACAATACCCGAAAATGTGGAGGTGGCAGTGTAAACATGTACTCTAACCAAATCTCTCCATCACAGCTCGTATCTCATTTGCCCCCCGGAAGGTCGCTTCAACCCCTATTTCCCCGCGATCTCTTCAGTCATTTGCCGTATCTGTGCGCAATGGGAAGCATGGAATATACGAGACATGGATGAATGAATGACGACGTGAACCGATGATATCATCGCTACAGACGCCACATTGACATATTCCTGTGGCACCGGCTCTTCGATCACAACAAGCGTGGGGATGAACTCAATAAGCAAGACACATTAAGCAGACTAACGATATGCTTCACAAAGGAAAGATCAGTAGATTCTAGATAATAAAGAACGACAGTGACGACAAACAAGGTAATTGGTGAACAAATTGTAGACAAATTGTAGGTATATAAGGTATGGGTATGATATAACACTTCAAGGAAATCACTCTCTCACTCTCTGATGCAGTCAAAATTATTAATTTTTCTCCTCTTCTGTTCTGTCCACCAGACCATCCATATAACCTCCCTGAAAAAACACCAGTAAAAAATATCCTGTTGCAAAGGTCCATGTAAAAAAAGAAATGGAGATTGCAACAACTATCGAAGGGGAATCATTCGCACTTTTTTTCGAAAATTGAAAAAACCACAAGAGAAGATGCAAAGTCAAAAACCAGAGAAGAAAAAAAGACCTCCTTATTATTAAACAAAAAACACCCCAAACGTTCTTCCTCCCATCTCCCAAGGATATACCGCCCCCCAAAGAAAATGTGCGCTATGTCGTAGACTCGTAAAACCTCGTGGCTGCGCTGAGCAGTGAAACTCTTGTGTTTTTGGCTACCCGACGTTGAATACCACGTCTCTACTCCGTCACAATTTCTTACAGGAGAGCAATGACACCAGCAGCGAGAAGCAGCAGGGCGCTAGCACTGGTGGTGGCAGCACCGCTGATGGTGGAGGGCTGAGAAGGCTGGGGAGCACCCGTGGCGATGGAAGCAACGGGGCCCTGAGGAGTCTTGGACTGGTTGGGCTTGATGGGCACAGCAGTCGTAGCGGTGCTGTTAAAGCCGCCGATGGCGCTGGTGAAGCCGGCACTGGTGGCGGGAGCAGCAGTGGTCTCCTCGACCTCAGTCGTGGTAGGAGCGGCAGTGGTGGTAGGAGCAGCGGTGGTTGTAGGGGCGGCAGTGGTGGTGGGAGCCTCGGTGGTGCTGGTGGTGCTCGTGGTGGTGAGAGCAGCAGTGGTGGTAGTTGAAGTGCTGGTGGTTGAAGTGCTGGTCTTGGTGGTGGAAGTGGAAGTAGACGTCGTTGAGACAGCAGTGGCAGCCTCGAGAGTGCCGGCTACCTTGTAAGCAGCGGCGCAGGCAGCCAGATCCATGCTGTCCGGGCAGCACCAGGTGTTGGCGGCAGAGTCGTGGGTGCAGTAGTAGCCAGAGTCACAGGCGTCTAACATCGTTGGTTAGCAATCTCGTATCATCAAATAGGAATTCAAGTCATAAACATACTGCCGGAGCCGTCAGTGCAGCAGCTCTGACCAACAGTAGGGTTGAAGCAGTGAGACTTCGCGGAGCTGCTGGCAGAGCACTCGGTGTACGAAGCGCCACAGGCCTCGGAGCAAGTCTCGCCATCACCGCACTGAGTCTGCTCAGGCTTGTAGCCGTTGGTGTCGCGGCGACCGAGGCTCATTCCAAGGACGGGCATCATGGCCAGGCGGTAGGGCTTGGGCTCGGCGCTGACATGAGCGGCGGCGGCCAGAATGGCAACAGAAGTGGCGGTTCGGAAAAGCATCTTGACGCGGTGAGAGAATTAAGGACTGGACAGTTTGTCGCTGTAGGAAGGATAGGATTGTTCGTTTGAATCGAAGAGACGAGGCTCGTGAGGTTCGCGAAACGAAGGTTTGAGGTTGCACAATGGCGTGTAGCGACCCAGAAAAAAGAATGGAACGAGTATTGAAGAATACTCTGCGTGTTTCAATGAGCGTGAATAAAACTGCAGGAAGGACGAAACGAAGGTGGGAGAGACTGGAAGAAAAAGCTTTTCGATATGTGGATGGAGTTGTGAGAGGACAGCAGGGGTCGGCCAGCGCAGCAGCCAATGGGCGCCACGCAGCAGCTGGTCGAAGCTCAGAGTTGGTGATTTACAGGGCAAGGTTTGGGTACCTGGAGCTAGTGGGTTAGTGGATGGGTCCCCTGGGCAGCTCGCCAGCGGTGCCCCCTACCTAGCAGCTACTCCTTTTTCGAAGTCCGCAATTTCCCAGCAGCGCCAAACTTCTTCAGTGCGCGCACACACCGAGACGAGACGAAGCGAAGCGAGACGAGACGCCAGAAGACAAAGAAGCGAGACGACAGAATCAAAGAGGCGAGATGCAGCTAATCGAACAGACCATTCACTCATCTATATATAGGCAGCTAGCTCCGGTGCTCTGAGCGCCCAGCAGCTTCTGCTCAAAACTCTGTGACACTCCTACTCTACGCGCCCACGAGAAATCAAATCAAACCAACTCACCACCACGAGGCCATCGCCACGAGTAATCTTCGCAGCTCCCGCCCACCCTCAGCTCAAGCAAAAGCCCAAGGTCCCCAGCCCAACCGTCCAGAAAGACGTTAGCCTCAGACCTCTAGAGCAGCAAACACGAGGCTAAACCCACTAGCTGCAAGGTACCAGGCACAAGCTCATTTCCTCATCTCCACTTGTCGATGGTGGCCCCCGGGCAATATTCCAGAGGCCCGCCACTCCTCTGTAGTGGTACAGTAGCACAGGCGGCGGCGGTGACGAAAAGAAATAAAGACTGCCTATTCGAAAGAAGAAAAAGCATTGGGCAAGTCCGGCATGTTCTCGCTTCTAGGGGATGAGTAAGTAGATCATGAACCGCGCTGGGGTAATTAAGCGACGTCGGCCATTTTGCGGAGAATGGTGGGAAGACATGATAGCATCTCGCTCACGCCCATGCGACTGATATTGGACGGGCTTTGGGTCACTGGCTTTTACCGCCCAGGACGCGCTCTGATGATTTACTACAGCTATTGCAAGCTGTTTATGCAGAGGCCCAGGCACAATCGCGCACATAATTTGCACTCGTTGTACAAGTACAGCAACACACCAAAGGATCCTGGTTTCACCAATGCTGGCTCAGAATCCACCAATCAAGCACAGGCAGCGTTACCCTCTCACCGCCAGCAAGATGAGCAATTACCGGTGGCTGGGTTGGCCACTGCCGATCGCGGCTATATGGCACAGCAGAAGAAGTAAAAAGAAAGACTGAGAGGGAGAGATGGAGAGATGGAGATGTAGGGAGAGAAATGTTGTCACCATCGTCCCGGATGCAAGACCAACTCAGATCACACGCATCCGACATTGCCGCATCTCGCTCTCTGCCCATGCAGTCATGCGTCTGTCCTCCCCTCGCGTTCACGTGCTGTCTCACCATGCCTAAAACCATCCCCCGGGTCTTAGTCCTCATTAATGAGCAGTTACTGTACTAGTACTCAGATTAGCTACAGTACGTGCTCGGACAGTAGCAGAGCAAGGGCGAAGCTTAATTCGCGGGAGTTGTGCAGTAGTAGGCAGTACTGCCGTGCCGTGCCAGACGCATAATGCAAGCCCCCAGCCCATTGAAATTGGAAACAGAAAAGGGTACCTTGATCTTACCATGGCGTGCGAAACACCAACTGTAATCTCTTGGCTGGGCATGTACTGTATGCATATACCCGGCGGAACAAGAGCAGAGCATGACAATGCTACCTGCTATACGGAGTAGCGGAAGCGATATCACAGGCGCGCAACAGTCGCATGAAGCCCTGCTCTCGTGAGTTAGATTGGTATTCGTACTCATTCAAGTAGTCGCCTGTGCGATGACAAGCTCAAGTCTTCACAGTCGAACAGGCAGAAGCTACGCTGTAATCAATATAATACTCAATACGCCCGTAAATACAGCATGCTCCATACTACTACCACATGGGTTACAGATTTTTGGATTGCGTCAAATCGGTTTAATGCTCGGCTTACGGCCGGTTAGAGTAGAATACTGTAAAACTTAATATATAGACTTACTTTCAGCAATCCTGCTATGGGTAGCCCAGTCACATCTCCGGAGTAGATCTCATTAAACTGCTCACTACGTCTACCTCATATGGGCAATCGCGCATCTCCAAACGGCCTTTGGGCCCCGAGCCAGAGACGCAGCGGGAAGGGAGCGAAGAGAGACATGATAACAGCTATTTATCCGTACCATATTACACATTTCATTAATCCTACAGAATTGCCCTAGATCCTAATGTTCTAAGGCTAAAGTACCATTACATCCTCAACGTCTCATCCCCTACCAAATCACTACCAGCCATCTTGAATTGATAAAACAAGCCAACAGCTTCATCAACTGTAACCCACAGCCATTATCTTTGCCAAAGGAAAAAAGAGGACACTTCTCCCTCTCAGCTTACCAAACACACAAACACAGCATCATAGACTAGCCGCCCCAGCATACTCAAGTTATTACTGGTATTTCCATCAACTCGTTTTCGCCGACCTCGTCACAGATCCCGTCTTTTTCACCGGGCTCTTGACCAAGCTTTTCCATGAGCTTTTCCGTTCTTTGGGCTCCGGGATTACCTACTCGCCCTCTTCGCCCCCCAGCTTAGCAATCCACTTGTGCATGTGCGAAAACTTCTCTTCAAAGGTCCGTTGGAGCCTCTCGCCCGCCGCCCACATTGGGTCGCCCTTCTTCCAGTACGTGAAGCAGTTGTCAAAGATTTGGCGCACATCAGCCAGGAAGGCCTCATCGGTCGTGTACTCCTTCTGATCCATCTTCTGCTTGATCGTGCTGAGGTCCATTGGCCTTGAGACTTTGTCGAGGTAGTCTGGCACGCCGTCCTCGACAGGATCGACTGGTTCCCGGAAAGGTCCAACTAGACGAGTCCAAAATCCTATCAATGGGTTAGTGACATATTTGGCCAAAGTACCAGACAGTTATGTATTTTTACCTGGCCCTGACAACATTCTATTAAGTAAGTCGGCACAAAAGTCGAGCTTCTGCTGCGTGGAAAATGTTTTCCCATCTAGAATAGCTGCACTTGTGCGTCTTCTCTGCGGTTTCAGAGGAGGGGATGACCCAGATTTGCGATGTTGCTTGCGGCTTGAGCCGGTATCGCTGGATATGCCACTTGGCCGCCTGTTCTTCTTCTTCGCCCCAAGGGCTTCTTCATCAGTCAGTTCATCAAGATAGTGAACATTTTTTCGAATCACCGTCGTAATAGGGGCACTAGACGATTTGATAGAACTTGGAGGAGCGGCAGCGATGGCAATTGTAGCTGCAGTGGCAGTTGGGGCCGGGGTCGGAGTTGAAGCTGGAGGAGCCATCGTCTCGAACGAGCTCATTGTGACTACGAGCTCACTCAAAACTTCCTGGGGCAGTGATCTGGCAAACTCTGCTCTTGCATCGGACGATCTCATATATTCGGCAGCCCAAGACAGCAGGAGAACTCGGATGGAAGAGCCCTCGGGAGTGTCTCGCCAGACTTGGATGAGAAGAGGCGTTGCCGGAATGCGGCCAGTGGTTCGTCGGCATTCCACCATTGCTTCTAGCGTATGCTCGCACAGCCCTTTGATGGCGAGTTTGTGACCCAATTTCCACAGGCCAACCAGCGATTCGTAGGAATTAGCATTGGTCTTCTCATCCCCAATCTTGCCAGTGTAGAGGAAGCTTTGTATCAGCCCGAATACTTGGGGTGTTGCATCTGGAAGCTTCACAATATGCTCTATTGCAGGCTCTCTGACGTTTCCTTGGAAATATTTCTGATAGAACTCGGAGCGGTCGCAGAGAAAGTCTTTCTGAATGCCAAACGGCTGCTCATTGGCACCTACAAGGATAATGACGAATATGGGATGCGGTTGGCTTGTATATTATTAGTATTTGAGTAATGACGTTGGCAGAAATAATTTCTCTTTTCTTCTAATAGTACTCACGTCCAAGAGAATGGCTTCTTATCTGTAGCTTCTTTTGAAACGTCTTTTGAAGCTTCCTTTGACACCTCCGTCACTGCTTCTTTCGGGGCTTCCTTTGAGATTCCGTTTGGGATATCGTTTGTAGTGCCATTGGCAGCCGCCTCTGGGGCTGCCTCTTTCGAGGGTGGATCAGGAGACATTGTAAGATGATAACCTGATGAAGAAATTAGCACATGTCTTGTGAATGAGACGAGTCAACAGTTGCAAAAGTTCAAGACGACATAGTGAGTGTGAATACAATAGAGAGGTCGGTGAAATGAGGGACATATGCAAACAAACGCATCGAGATTTCATATAGGACGATATTGCTCACAGCGCTGTGAAGCCTCTACGCGAGAGTCATTCTAGAATCACAGGAAATTGAGAAACTAAGAAGATGTGAGGCGTGATGAGCGCGTGCTGCAGACCTTGAAATAATCACAAGGCAAAAGGGGAAGAGAAGGAAAAGGACAAGGAATAAGAGAAGAATGATGCAACTCGCGACCGATTCACTCACTATCCTGCAAACGCCAAAAACTCTAATAGATGGTCGTACCTCTTGTCAATTTTGTGTCTTGGCCTCGCCACAGCGTTCAATGCAATTAAATCAGCTAGATAGTGGTGAAGGCCTTTCGAAATTACATGTCACCAGTTCTCGGTTCGGTGCTGATATTTGAATAATCGTCGGAAATGCCGTTTGTTCGCTGGCAGGAAATTGCGAGTTGAAGAGCCATGAAGGCGACTTTCCGGAGCTGAGAATCAGGTGTGGCGCGTGTGGCTTGCAGTACGTGTTTGCGGCTTATGTAAGTCGACTCCCAGACAAAAAGAAACGAAGGCTGCATGCCTACCCTGGAACTTTGCCAGGTTCGCTGCAGACTAGATTTACGAATCGCCAATCAGCTGGGCTTCTAAGCGATGGATGTCAATATTCACAGTGGTAAAACAGGCATGGGCTTCGGGATTTGGTATCGGATACATTGTTTGCTTTCAGCCGCCTGTGAGAAGCGGTATAGTTGACATGTTGGCAGTCCTTTGCTCCTTTGATATGGACAAGCCGCGCTCACTATACTCGAGGATTCAGACGATCTATTCTTGAGGTATATTATATGACAATGTTCGTTAAAGGGAACTTTTGCTGTGTTGGGTTGACAAGGCTGTATGTTTGCAGTATTTCGGCAGATAGAATGTATCACCCTTTGTTATAGTTGTTGTACGATCCTGCATCTCCACCAATTGAGGCTTATACCTCATAATCCTTCAACAAGGCGGCTGAGTCGCCCAACAACACTAGGCAGAAATCTGCCTTGCCGATATTTGGTCGTCATCAGCGATTCCCAATAGCTGCCCATTACTGCCATCTTTTATAAGTGACTCGCCGTTTCGATAATAGTTTGAACTCTTCATATTAGAACAACAAAAAGGAGTTTTCAAATCATAAGCACGCAATCATAGAATCATACCCTATTCATGTTGACAGCTTGGAATAACATGGCATCTCCAAACGCGGCTGGGCTGGCAAGCAGCCATATTCGCATCCACAACCAATGCGGTGCGTGTGGGCAGCTATTCTTGCCTCGTGAAGGTCTCATCCTTTCGAGTATGCAAAACCCTCTTCTTTCTCCATCTTGAACAAGCTATTCTGCTGGACGCAAATAGTAATCTAGAATTTGATATAAACCAGTCAATCGAACGGGCTCATCTATCGAGTTTCTCAATGCCTTCAGGTTTTCAGGCTATAACTACTCGTCCGAGAATGAATTTCAGCGCATAATCGGCAGAGATCAAGTCTTTTGCAAAAGTCCCAACTGCTTCACCTGCCGGAATAATGACAACAGCATAACGGTGCATGCCGACTGTTTTCATCTGTTCATTCAGCGGTGCGTTGTCAAAACCGTCGAAGAGGGCCCTGCACGGAAAAGGGAAATATATAGACGCCTGTGGCTGGCGGGAAGGAAAAGATATGCCTGGCGTGGAATGCCGACGCTCAATTTCATGAGCAGCGTCACTCTGGAAAGGCCTTCACCGGAGATGATTAGTGAAATATGCGGCTTTCGAGATGTTTTCCTGCCAGAAGTGGCTCAGCTGATCCAGAGTCATTCGCAATCGCACTGCCTCTGGAGATATTGCTCGGTTCTTAAGCTGGTGCAGGACCTGGAACTAGCAGAATCGCTTGGCACTGCCACGTATCCGCTCTCCAAAGTGCTGTCGTGGTCTCGGGGCGAGAATCCCAGGCTTGTGCAAGATGGACATCTTGCTGGGCCATTCATCGAGCTCAGAATTGATGCTCGCGGCATTAAGAGCATTGAAAGGATGTCCAAAATCCCAGCAAATACTGGCGGCGAGGTGCCTGCCTCTTCTTTCGTGTTTGCAGTAGAGCCGGTTGAAAAGCTGTCGGATGCCAAGATAGAATTTGAGGTACGTGAATCAGTGTCTATCCCATTTTGACCATTCAATTAAAGCTAGGTACCTAACCAATACATCTTCAGCTCGGAATGTGCCATCTGCACGTTGAGCCAGAAAATATCAGCATCTGGAGCACCCCAGCCATTTCTCAGCACAAAGAATTCGAAGTATGGGAGATGGGGCAATACAAACGTCTGAATTCCATCAGTCTCAATCCGAACTGCTGCACGGGAATCTCCTTCTTCCTGCGTGATCACTGCATCATTGACATTCATCCGCATTCTACACGATATCCCCCAACTCATGTCGAAAAGTTCAAGTACATGGAAGCCATGTTCACTTCCCCTGCTCCTGACGGTGTTGAATGGATCTACATGCCGTTGACCGCTCGAGATGAAATCACCGCAATCAGAGCCAGGACTCAGGTGACTCCAGATACACCACACAACTTTACGGTAAGGAGCTGAACTGGAACTATTTCACTTATTTGACCAGAATAATAGCATCGCAAGAAAGTTAAAAACTAACATTCATATTGTTCCTAGTTCTATACAAAGGCCGGAGGGAAGATTGCGGTTGGTACTCCCTATAAAGAAGGGCGCACACGACACGGGAACGGACAAGTACTGAATCTAGGAAGAGACGAGGTATACACGCTGGAAAAAGACTCGTGGCGACATATAAACCTCATATATTCGATCCCAGCCTCTGGTCTCATGACTTTGATCCGACCCGACGCCGAGATCGTGATTGACGGAAACGTGGATGAGCAGAATACTGTCATTGCTATCACTATCTCGCCGACGATAACGTCTCTCTACCCAGGCGCCGTCAGCTCCTCGCTTCTCCCCAAGGCTTTTTTCTCTTCCGCACCTCTAGAAGGCATACTAAACGCGCACGTTTTCACTGTGGGCTGGAAAAAACTCTGCAAGGGCATACTGATAGAGTACGAAAACGGGTCCAAAAGAGCCCTGGGGCAGTGCCGCCTGGGCTTGGATGAAGTCCAAAGCTGGCACAAGCCTCTCAGCATGCATTACGTGCCCGAGGAATATGGACGGACTGTCGGTGACCTAATCAACGAGTCTCGTACGTCCAGAAGCGCTCAGGTTGCGTTTGATTGCGAGAGTAGCCATGTCACTGAGGATGGCTCGCTGGAGGAGAATTATCATGAGTTGAAGGGCTGTCTGAATTTCTGGTTCACGTATCATGAAGTTGAACTACAGTTTGTAGATTAGCTTATCATTAGCTCTGCGAGTATTTGTATTGCCTCTACTGCCGTTATAAGATAGTAATTCAAGATGAGTTTTTCGAGATAATTTTGCATATTAGTAAAACTTTTGCTCCTAACATAATGTAACTTTCTTATCTTCGGGTCCTACTTGTTGTTTTGGTTCCCCTTAGATACGAAGCTACTCTCTCAAAGGTGTTGGACGTCCATCTACAGTTTTGAGCTACACGATATAGCCTAGAGACTATTTATCTCAATCCTAGATTTACCCAGATAGCTCAGCCTCAGAAAATACATCCGTTTTGGCAGCGGATAAGACAATGTAGGATTACATACCTAAGAATAGTACATTTCGGTGTCGTCCCCTGTCGTTCCTATAAGAGAGCCAATAGCAAGCAATCTCAACATTATGCCGTTGGCTGCTCAATATCCGGCCACCTAATATGCCTATTTTCCCTAGCTGGACAAAACTGTAGTTGGCCGTAAAGCTCCGGTGGGAAAATCCAAGTAGTGCGGCTAAAGGAAAGCAGGGCTCCCATGAAAGTTGTCATTTAGCCTGTTACTCGAAGAGCCTCGTTGAGGTTCATACAGGTATACGTATACGCATATGCATTATGCTTCAGAAGCAGAGCTTCGAGGCCTGAATCTGAAGCCCTCACCGGCTTTAAATATGAACCTTGATCCATGATCTAAGATATATTGCAGCACCCATTGCGTTCACATGCTTACCAATGAGAAGGGCCGTTTGCCTACACTAACGCAAGCAATATGGCTATGCAACCGACCCCAGGCTCTCTCCCCATGTTGATCTCGTCTAAACAATTACTACCTACAGATGCCGCCAAGGAGTATTCTCTAGCTAGTACCTATCGTACTGTACTGTAGTATGCATTATCCAACGCAGCGCATGGAGCTTTTGCTAGTTGCTTTCTGTTAGCCGATCGTAGACCAGTCGCGATCTATTCCCTGCCATCTGTGCTTTGTCCCTCACCCCGGACTTTGGTGTAACCACACGGAAGCAGTAGGTGCGTATCCGATGCAGGGCTCCCGTTATAGACTGCATGAGGTAGTAAATGGAGGGGGTGGATGATGGAGAGGGGGAGTTGCGATTGTGTCATTCCAAGACTAGACTGTATATACAGGACAGTTGACGTAAAGATCTTTTGCTTTGGCAGATCAAGTCTGGAATCCAGCTAGCAGTAGCCCGTGTGTATCTGCGCCTAGGCTCGGCGCTCGCATGCCCTCGGCATGTGTCAGGTCCATGTATGGCACATGGCACTATCGAGAGATTTCTTCTGCATTCTCGGCCTAATGAGGCCTATTGTACAGATAGCCCTGTCAACGACGACGACTATCTGAGGGGTTGGTAATGCGAAGCGATAAAGGAATGCACATGGGTAGCATTTCCTGCCCTCCCCGTGATATCGCCCGATCTAGACAGCTTCTGTGATGCCACTTTGTCTACGACGGCCCTTTTCGGCTTGCAGCGAGAATCGCCCCCGTTTCCCACCTCCACCTCCAGAGTCGGCTCCAATCGGGGCGTGCCGACAATGGCGGCTTTTTCATGACCCGACCCCCATGTCTATTTTCCCATGTTGGCTGGTACGCTTCTTGACGGGCATTGATAGCGGCCGAATTGGGCGTGGAAAAGGGCTCAGAGACATAAGTACCCGGCATAGCCGCGGAACTCCGTGGGAGAACAAGGCAAAAGTTGAAGAGTCATTTGGTGGTCTGTTGAAGAACCGGGCAAAGCATCCGATTCGTTGGAGCTTGTCAAGCTCACACTGGCATTACACAATACTAGTAGCAGCAAACAAGACAAGCTCGCTAAGCACAGATCCAACCTTTACGGTAGCATTCTCTGCGGTTGCAATGTTGCAATGCCTAGCAATACGCTTCATGCTGCTACCACGCTGTAATATCAGCAGCCTCTTTTTTTCTTTGCTCCCCGTCCTCGGTAACAGGCAATGCCCATTATCTCCGCAGCGCGCTTATTGCGTGCTAGCCGTCGATCCGGGCATGGGGGAGGAACCACGTTGACTGTTGTGTGGACGGGATGGCGCCGTACTCGATGTTCTTTTTGGACGGGTCATGGGAGAACTCGGCGCAATTCCAATCTGCCTACAAGCTGTTATCAGTCAGTAGCATCTCACTCAGCGCTTGGCAACCTTGATAAACGGCCACGCTCCCCAGTTGGCTAATTACTAAGTGGTAAGTGGTGTATGCCGGTTCCGAAATTTCCCTCAATGGCGGCTCAGTAGAACGGCAAAGAGTCCCTGTGCTGTGTGCAGTTTCCATGGTGCCCAGATGTGTCATGCTCGGCATTGAATAATGATCTCAACCGTTTCTGGGGCTCTCATCGTACCACAGCCCGGGTTGCGATAAGACGCAACAGGCCGTGTGCCTACGGTTCGAGCCTTTGCAAAGAGCTGCAAACTGCGTAATCGTATTGACAACTTTGCCCACTGTGCACCTCGTATCGTGTTATTGTCTGTTAATTCTGTCCCCAGATAGTGCGTGCACGGTGGTTCGGCCGTCTTTGGCTGAGCGCTTTTTCGCAGCTCTCGAACCATCCCACGACCCCATACGGAGTACAAGTAACAGACCCCAGAGCAGAGCGAGACTCCACCACGCCTGAATGTCTCAGACTGACTTGGGGCCAGAAAAGCCAAGGCTTCAATGTTTGTCTGGAACAATCCGGCCCTTTAATGCAAGCTTGTTAGCGAGGGCTTATGGCGGCTGCGCACAGAAAGAAGCCCACCCAGCTTTGCAGACTGAACTGAGTAAAAGCCTTCTGTCTTCTGATGCTTTCCGCAATTTGTCTACTGGGGACGAATTGCTTCATTCTGCATGCGTGCATGGCTTCTTTGGGCCTCTCCCGCCACGCAATCATGGCAATGACGATGACATGGCCGCCCTGGGACTAAACTCGAGTCCACATTTGTGCATAACAAGGGCACAAGGGAATGAAATAAGGCTGCCTGCTGTCTGTTCCACTCACCCGCTGTACAGTAAAGGCACTCAGTCACCAAGTCATTGAAAGAAATTTCAGCACGTTAAAGCATTGGTGGGAGGACGAAAGAAGAAGAAAAAAAAAGCGGCCAAGAGGCGTGTCTCTACGAAAACGTGGAGTCAAGATCGGGGATTTTGCGCCAAGTATCTTTTCCCCACAGGTACAACCAGCACCAATGTCGGAGTGGATCGTTCAAAATTTCTCAGCGAAGCCGGCGAGCAAAAAAAAGAGAGACGGAGACGAGCGAGCGAGCGAGCGAGAGAGCCAAAGATAACGGTGGAGACCAGGCTAAACGCTGATGCAATTAGGAGAATTTTTCCTCTTCTCTACTTTTCCAGAAGCATGTGGGCAAATGCATGGACCAGGAACGTTCTGCTGAAGGCGGCCTCATGCTCTGGGAGCAAGCTGTGATGGGACAGTTCAATTGTCGTGGAGGCTAGCAATATTTCTTTTACGCACTATTGAGAATCTGATAAGGCGTAATAAGAGCAAATGATTCAGACAGAGGCAACCCTGTTTGTTCTCGCGGCTAACAAAGAAGGAGAAAATTTTGCTTTCGGTTACAGCTTGATCATGTCCTTGGCAGGGCAGACAGGCCGCCAGGAACAAGGACAAAAACTCGCAGCCTCATCGTGTGGCTTGGCGTCCATTCACCCCAAACGGGCCAAGAGGGTGGCAAACGTCAACGAAAAGGAACAGGCTGCCAAATTGCGAATTCCGACGTGGCGCCGAATCGCCCATCAAGGTGCCGGACCGGACACACATGCAACTTTACAACGCACGCACGCCCTGTAAGTACGAGGGAGCTCCGAGCCGACTTACAAACATGTCAGCCGAGCCGGAGGCGGGTATCGTGCCATGCCAGAAGCATTAACATCAGCCTTGTTGAGTCGCAGCGTGTAATGCTAGTTGGTTGCAGCGATGCGACTGAGGTGAATATTGTTGGGGAGCGATTAAGTGAATGGGTCGTAGAAGCATCATGCACCAAGCATTCAAGGCGTCATCTCAAAATGGGTTGACTTACTCAACCAATCAATCAACTCACTGCTCTATATTCTTATTTTCTTCTTGCGCCACAATATGTCATTGAGCCAGCACCAATATCTACGAGTTCACGCTCAAGACATGTATACAGACAGATAGGCCGTCAAATGAAATTGTGAACCCGCTCAGCCACGCGCGTATTGTGGACGTAAACTCAACCAAGCCTTTTAAAAACCTCCCCTTCCCCGGACACAGACTTTAGACGGGGCAGAAAAAAAATGGACCAACAAAAATTTATTCAGAATGAAAGGTAAAAAATTCATACGAGTCAATAATTCAACATGAAGCCATATAACGGGCTGGGGGAAGATGGATCCACGGGCTGGGGGAGAGGAGCGCTCAACTTATCACATGTCGGCATGAATCTCGCTCAAGTTCTAGACAATGCCCAGGCTCAGGTGGGTTTGAAAGCAAAAGGCAATTATTTCCGCCTAGATCCCGGACCAAGCTGAACTCCATGTTCATGACGTCGTGATAGGTCGACATTGCTGCTACAGTCATCAGACGATGCGAACATAATAAAGTTTTCTTATTGCTATCACGACTCAGAATATTGTAACTAGGCAAAGCTGGAACGTTCAGAGTAGAGCTAGAACGCAACAACATCTAGACTAGCCTATCAACTAGAAACAAGATGGAAAGAAAAAAGAAACATTAGCTCTCATTTTGCAGACAGCTATATCATATAGAGCAGTGCTCCGTGAATGCAAGTTCACCATCTATTCATGAAAATGAAATCTAACCCCAAATTAGCATCCCGGCCGGGACGACGCCGCCACCTCGTCATGCTATTGCTCGCTAGGGCTCTGTCTCGATATGAGAGCAGAAGCCGCCCGCTTTGGTGGGGAGATGCGGCTCCATCTTCGCTCCATCTCGGATACACCTACGGCGCAGAATGGCTCTTCGGCCGTTTGCCGGCGCTTAAGCCACCCCCAGTTTTTTTTTTCTTTCTCAGCCCAGCTCTCCAGGTCAAGAACGGAGTAGTCAGCTAGTCATTCAAATCAGTCAGTCTCGTTGTTACTTCGGTCGCCATCCCCGGTCTCGTCGTCCTCATAATAGTAATCTTGGAGCCCTTCCTCCGCCTCCGACTCATCCTCGGTTAGGCCAGCGTTTTCGCCCAAGATAAGATCCTCGCTGCCTTGCCATTGAGACGGCGGCGGTGGCAACGCATCTTCATCCTCATCTGCCCAGCCATAGTCTTCGTCGTCGTCGCTGTCCGGCACCTCCAGATCCGTCTGCCCCAGTTTCCTCTTTGGTCGCGGTGCCATAACCGCCACCTCCATATCTGAGCTGTTGGCTTCGTAGTGGACACTTGATATGCCGGCCTGTTGTCCAAGTTGAGATTAGTATTTCGCAAATGCCGACGCTTGGGGAGGATCAATGTAACCCACAGATTCAACTTTAAATGCAGATACATGCTCGACGGCGTCTTGGGCCACCCTGCCATCAACCTTTTGCAGGCCAGCTAGAAAGACGCTCGACGACTTGCTGGCGTTCCACGCCCAGTCCCGGAATAGAACTAGCCTTGTAGACACGCCCTGCTCCCAGACGGTGGTGTTGATCGACGGGATTAGCGTAGCCATCTGCTCGCTTCGCATCTTGGTTGCGCATTGCGATAAAAGTACCACGGCGCAGTTCTTAGTTGCGGCGAGCTTTTGCAACGTGGTGATTATAAACTGCAGGCCTTGAAGGCGTTTTGAAGCTTGAGTGGGACCTAAAGAAACAGATGTGAGAGGAGAATAAATCTCGAGGTTGCTGTATAAGTACACGCACCCTTTGCAGGCTTTTTGCTCCCCTTTGCTTCCAAAGACCTCGGCAAAGAGGAATTTATCAAAGCTGATAAAGAGCTAATGACGATGAGCGAAACATCTGAAGCAATGGCGGTTGTTGTTGGTCGAGATATAAACGCAAGCAGATGAGGCAGCGTCATGCAAGAGTAGTGAACCAGCTTGGCCGGGTCTATATCTTGAATACTCTCTATATCCGCCAACATTCGGGATTCTTTGACGGTCTTTAGCACATTTGCCATTCTATGTGTTTGCAGTTTCTGGAAGCAGTCTGTTGATAATGCCCCGTGTTAGTTCTGGTGACGATATCAAGAGTTGTAGTTTCATTTATATTCGTCAAACCGACCTACCCAGACCACACCGTTACCATCACTCAGGGCATTGGCGGCCAGTTGAATCCTATAATATCTGTCAGTCTTTTCAAGCTTCATCATATGGTACTATAACATGTATAGTTCACTGAGATCTCGTACCCTAATGCAGTCTTGCCGCAGCCAGGAGGACCCCATATCTCGGTTACCTGGCCACGCTTGACGCCTCCATGCATAGCAGCATTTTGAGAATCCTCCGAGCCCAGCCCTAGCAGTGCACAGTCAAGAGCTGCCAGGCCTGTCGAGATGTGAGCAGCCGGATCAGCTTTCAAATCTTCCAGAGCCTGTGAAGCCGGCACAGTTGGGAGACGATCTATCCCGACCTCGTTAGCTAGCACGCACAAATACTACAGCCAGCCAAGCCAGCCCAAGAAACAAACTCACGGGTGGAGCTTGGTATGTCAAAACTGGCTGTATCATGGCCATGGATGGCATGATAATCCATCATCCATCGCCGGTGTGCCCTGGATCTCTGGCCAAGCTACCCGATTTAGCTGCGCAGACAGTTACGGGCGTGAAGCTGCGTTTTCTTTGACGTGCACGGCTAAAGCACGAAGGCACGTGATTTCAATGTATAGGTGTCCGAAAGCGGCAACCAGCTCCACCGCCTTCTTCCTTACTACGACCCAATAGCTATTTATTCCCTTGCTGCCAGTCATTATAGCATTGAATTTCCTTGGTAACTAAATTGTTTGTCTGTACTTGTCTGCTCGTTTGTTTGTTTGCATCGCCAAATCCCGCAAAACCTCAGCTCACCTCTGCGGAGAATTGCGCTCTCGTATCGGCGAATCTCCAGCTTACCTTACCAGGGGCCTGTTTGAAGCTTGTCGCCTGTGCGGCGTATTCCAGACCCCAATAGCTTGGTCCCTTAGTCATGACTTTGCTGCGCAAAGCGGGTACGAAAGAAGGAGAAAAAAAAAAAGCACGGGCAGTTATTTAGCAGCTGAAGCTGAAGGGGGTGCTGGTATTGGAAGAGGATACAGCCGAGTATTACTCCGTTTCTTGTGTGCTTTTTTGGTACTTGGTTAATGGACAACGTTGCATGCATGAGTTTGTAAGTTGGATAGTTTGCCACTTGGATAGTAGTATTGCTTATTACTTTGCATTGACAGCTACTACAGCTACTACTGTATATACCATTTACAGATAGTGTCCAGTAGCTGTTTTACCTGCCAATATTTGCTTCTCCCTCTCTAAATCCAGAATCATCAAACTACACACACTCAATAGCTCTCAAAATGGCGACTCAGTACTCGCCAAAACAACCCTATACCCATCCGCATCCTCAAACGTCCTCCCACACCGGTCCCAATACGGATTAAAGCTCATCACGGCGCCAAACCCAGCCCTCTCCATGCGCGCCACCGCCTCCGCATATTCCTGTTTGTCGGGCAGGTAAAAGACAAGCAGATTGTCCTGCGTGGGCGCACGGCCGGCGGCGTGGCCGGTCTTGGCCGTGAACTCGAGGTGGTACCCTGCGTCCTTGTGGCCGAGCATGATGCCGTCGAAGCCTTCGTGCTGGTTGAAGCGGAAGAGCAGCTCGAAGCCGAGGCCGTCGACGTAGAAGGGGACGAGGGCGTCGATGTTGTCGGATGGGCGGGCTACCCGGAGGATGGCTGACTGGATGGGCATTTTTGTCGTTTGATGCGTGGGTAAGGTACGTAGTTTTGCTGCCGCGGACTTTGCCGAGATGCAGGTCGATAGCTGCGGTGTTGTTGAGGGAGCGATGGGCTGGTATACCTCAACCATCAAGAAACGAAACGAAAATATCGTACAAATATCCGCGCAATAAGCATGCTTGAATCTAACCTATTGCTTATATTTTTCGGCTCTATTCATAACTACGAAGCAATTGAGAAGCTTTGTAAACCCAGACTCAGCACTTTGTTGATTCGCATTCTCGAGTTACGATACGAGCCGAGGATGAACTCCGCAAACAACAACCAAAGGGCGCTGCTTGACGTCACGCTGTGCTGCAATATTCATTCAGTACTATAGCTATAGAGGCCAATAGCAGTTCAGCCGGTAGAGAGAACTTTCAGCCAATAAGCCTGTAATCGAAAGTCCCAATAAATGGTAAAGGAAACGTCAACTCATCTAATCCCTATAAGTTGACATAACCCGAACGACCACTTGAGAACCCCTCATTCTGGGGCAAAGTCTTGCAAGATCTGGCCCGGGGGTCTTAGCCACATCTCGGCGTTACTGCGTTTGAGGGCCATAGGGCAAAGCCACAGATGGTCGAATTAAGGTGCGAGATTTGCGCCTCAGATTGCTTCTTAGAGCGAGTCCATGCTACAGTCTAGAAACTTCCAGACGCTAGATCTGGGGAAAAACGCCATACGGGGTTGAGATTTTGTATGGGGTAAAGTTGCAGCCTAAGCAAGATCTGCAAGCCTTTTCTCGCCATCGAGACTTGTAAAACTGCTGCTCCTTGAACCATCCCCAGGCTTGCTGCTAGCTGGAAACGCAGATGGGCAGGCATCAATGTTTGAATACCCCGTCGCTGTCGCAAACTATTCCCGCCAAGCAAAGTCCGCCTCGCCGCCTAAAGCGGCCTTTTCTTTCGAGAGCATTCCAGGGACGCCCGGCGTACTCCGGACAGGCACGTATCAGAAAACGATGTACATAGAACTTATGCCGCAGGCACACGTACGCAAGCACACACTTCCAAGATTTGCTGTTCCTCTTTTCTTTGCTCGGTCCCTCATACGGCCATGCTGCCGCGTGGGTCTTTTCTTCTCTTCTAGAACGCCACCAAGGGGGTGTGCTCAGTTACTCCCAAGGCAAGGCTACTACTTTTTATTCGCGCGGCGTCGCCGAGATTCTCCTAATGAACACACACGCACACACACACAAACACAAACACGATACTAAAAGGTTGTAGTAGCAGTGGTTGTGAACTCGTAAACCCAGTTGGGGGCAGATTGGCATGCAAACCTGAAGTCGGGCTGTAAGGGGCAGTGCGGCACAAACAAGCCGCAGAGAGAGAGAGAGAGAGAGAGAGAGAGAGAATGGAAGCCCAGTTTCACCCTTTGTACGGCACTTCCAAGGCCCTAGGATCATGATAGGTTCTGATGCTCTTGGGTGTAAATGCAGCCTTTGTTAGCCTGGCGAATCGCTGGCCTGCAGTTCGCGCGCGTTACATTGAAACCTCTCCTGTCACGCATCATACGTGGTGCCAGTCGCTGTGTGACAACAAACAGGTTCGCAGCCGAGCCAATTAGTATGCGCCTTTGCATTGAACAAAGTCGAACCATGGGCAGATACTCGCAGCGACGAAACATGAAGTCTTGGTGCCTTTCCTTTTGTTGGGCGAGGATTTCGCTCCTCCACCACAGCCACGCCCCCAATCATGGCACCGAATCGCATCCCCATCTTTTCCTGTCTCCCCGTGGGGTGGGAAAATTATTAGCCCCTCTTTTGCTTCATTAATCAAAATGGCAGTTTGTTCCTGCGTCAGGCGAACAGGGGAAAAAAGGCATAATACCATTGCAAACATGAGAAAGAAGAGGAGATAAGGAAACTTAACACTGTTTCAGCCTAAAGGCAGTTCTCGATGTTGGGTAGCGGTCATCGACAGAATACGACTCGTCATGCTCAAGAAGGTTTCCGGAAGAATTAGAGCTTACGGCATCCCCCAGGCCAATATTTTGCCTCATACCCCGTAGTATTGTCTTTTCTTGCTTGCTCTACACGGGGAGAGGCCGAAAGAGTGCCCTCAACGTTGCGGCAGGCTATGCCTATCCAATACGCAGTTGCACACAGAGTGACAAAGGTGCCCGCACTTTTGCATCTTGACAACGACGGAAATCGGGGCGAGGCGAATATTCTCCAGGTTTTAGCGCATTCGCCCCCATGGAGGCGTAACACGTTGCATCGCAAGAAAACGAGAAGCCTTCGGGGACAGAATAAAAAGTCCCAGCCTAGGCTTGGGGGCTGATGATGCCACTTTAGGACCCCGTTGGCCCTTTTACTTTGTCACTTAATTTTCCTTTAATTTTCCTCTTGGCTGGCGCTGACCGTCAGCTATCACGACTCGTAGTGGTAATAGCACGAAAAAGCGCTATTAGCCGTCCTCTCCAGTACACCCCTTTGGGCGTGAAACTTGCCAATCTATTAGCCGGCGGGATCGTCTCTTATCAGCGCAAGTGTCGCAATCGTCGTGGCCAAGCAGCCAATGGCCGAGGCCAATTGTCGGCTATCGCACGGGCGAAGATTAAGCCCTTTGCTTGCGTTACAGGTGAAAAAAACTACTTGTAGGTGAAAGGCCCGTATCCAGTCTACCGAGCCCCGCCTTCTGGGGGAATTGGAAATTGGCCGGACATTTTGGCAGTAGAGAGAGATAAGCACGTGGGTGATATTGAGGTCTGATTTGGGCCTTTCGGTCAATAGCCTGCTCTCGTCTGCGCTGAGACGGGGAAGAAGATATTTGAGGCTATTGAATGGAGCCCGCGAAGCCAAGATTACGTCCTTGCAAGTAGATAAAATTTCAGTGTTGCATGTGAAAGCAGGGCTTCTTGATTGCTGCGTTTGAAGATGCCCTTTCAGTACAGAAGCCGGCACCCGAGGAGCCCCGGGTGCAGCCCTCCAGCAGCCTGATCCTGGCAATGCCACCATCGCATCATCGTTTTATCGTAGGCAAGGCTTGGGCAATAGATCCCCAGGCTGAAGTCGAATCTGGCATGTTCTTCTGCCAATAGATATTGCTTACGCGCCCTGAGTACTTTGACATGTGCTCTGCCTCTGGAGTTGGACCCTGCCTCCGTAATTCAGCCGAAGAGGCCGACTTTGCCGGGGCGTTGGATATCAAGTCTCTGGCCGCATCCGGAAGGTTTTTCCTTCGGGGAGATCCATTGTGAACCGGTATCTCGGTTGAAGCGAGGAGCAATATGGACATTGGTCCTTGGTCCTTGCATGCCATGCTCAATCTGACACCAGTTCTCTTGCTCCCAGCCTTACGCACACAGCATAGTACTACCATGTACTACTATTCTCCTTCTGAAAAAAGAAAAGCAAGCTGCTGCTAGTCATCCTGAGTTACGAGCCGTGTTCCTCCTGGACTGGAATGTACGCAGCAAGTGACCGTTTGCGCCGAGCATTGATCCGGGGGAACAGGCACGTTCAGATGTCTGATACGGAGTACAACAGCAGCCCGTAGATGGACCGAATATCCAACACGGGCCATGCGCATCAATCATGCCTCGTGCTCAGATATTCCTTATCTCTCTTTCGCAGGTCCCCTGTGCGGGCTCTAGGCGGGCACTGACTTGCGCTGGTGGAGGTCGCCAGGGTTATCGTCAGGATACTGTACTAACACCTGAGCGAAAATGGCGCTACTATGGCCTCATCAGTTATGCCACCGTTGGTACATGGTGGTAATCCTACAAGTACTTGATAGATTCCAATAGTACCTTAGGTCTAATGAATGGGGGCGTTGTGATAGATCGCTGAGCAAACACGAAGGATTGGCCATCGCCTTGTCCAGAAAAAGGATGCCGCAGCAGTCTTGTCGTCAGAGCTCCCAACTCCTTTTCGTCTTGCGATGCTCAGCCCCGTATTGGCGGAAGATTTTGATCTTGGTTTCTTTTTTTGGGCCATGTAAACCAATACCTCAAGCTCTGTAACTTCTGTTTCATGCGCTGCGTCCAAGCTCAGGTCGTATTGTCAGTGCTGCTGCACAGTTCCCTTGTCCGGGGTGTCGGCCGGGCTTCCCCGTTCCGAGAAAAGTTACGTGGCGGTTTGGTTCGGTGACAAGGGAGCAGCATTTCAGGAGATCTAGATCAATGGGCACCCCGGAATTTCCTGAAGCAGCCTAGGCCCGCAGGGTTGAAGGCTACATGCAATATCGAGCGCACCGGGAAAGCTGATAGTGGTGATACCCAGTGACCGGCATACAGCTGAAAGGCTCACTACAGGCAGCACAGGTACATCAATACACCGAGAGCAATCTCTTGGAAGGCCCGTTCTCGGTCGGAGATCAAAGCTGAGAATGCGCGCTAATCGAAATGGCGAATTCGCTTTTACGGATGCCTAGACCGTCGATGGGGGCACTCGAGCACCACTGCGGATCTTTTTTGCTTGATGCTGAAGCCGCATCGTACGCCTTGCTGATAAGGATAATACCAGTAAGACACTTTAATGGGGACGGTGGATAGGCTAGACTAGCAATCTCTTTCTCATTTTGCTCTGCGCCGCACCAATGGCAGGGAAAAAACGCAGTGCATCTGGCCAGAGATAGCAACCCCCACATTCTACCGTAGGGAGGGAACCAGGGTTGTTTCTGGGGACCCCGGCCGGGGCAAGAATGGAGGCAGCGCAATTTGACAGGGCCCTCTCTCTCCAAGACTTTGTTACGGCGAGAATAAGGAAGGTGAAGAGTCATGTCGAACAGATGGTCGTGAGAGTCTTCAGACCACCGGAGCATGTACGGGAGTACTTTTGCCTTTCCAAAGGGCACGCTAGGAATGGCGAACGCCACTCGGCGCCGTCCCACGGCCTGGGAATACTGCTAGATAGTACTAGCAATAAGGAGCAAGAAAAAGTCTGGGGAATGTGTGTTGCACACAAGGGCTAGAATTTGCATATCCGCACCCCATCCATGTCTCACGGACCGTCGAGATCGCCCAAGAGGGATCACGATAGAGCCGCTTCAATCAACAAGCTCGGTTGCGAACTAACGCTGGGGAGTGGTGATGATTATTGTTCACTCCGCAGAGCAGCACGAATAAGCGGAGAAGCAAGCTTTCTGCCGGCGGGCCAGAGCAGATTGATCATCGCAGGCCTGGCACTCGCTCGGCCCATGACGTTTCATTCTGATACTGTCCCTGTTCAACCAGCTGCAACCAGACATTTCTCTCCATCCTTGCCTCAGTCAAAGACAGCCGCAACCAGTAGCATGTAGTATCATGACACCGTTTCTAAACGCTTCCATTCGCGGGAAACGGGCAACGTAGCCGTGTCTCGGCTATTTAGCTGGCACCTTTTCGCCCTTTCCCTACAGCCCGTCGTCTCTCCCTTGTTGCGTGGCCTGGCTTGGTTTCCGTTTGTCATGCTGGAGGGCTACCGTCACGTCGGCCAGTGATCTCCAGAGCCAATCTTGCCTCACCTGAGGTTCGAGCATGAATGGCGTTGGGACCAATGCAAGATGCTGATGCTACCTGCCCGACAGCGCACCAGGCTGTATATGCGTATGGCTGGCTGGCTAAGCGCCCGAGCAGCGAGCCGCAATCACTCATCATGCCTTGTCCATGCGACCAGATGATTTGACAGATCCCCCCAGGAAGCGTGACCACATACTCCATGGGGTTTTGTGGCAATCTCACGATAACCTAACGGCAACGAGGATGGCTCCCCTGATATGGAGCGGCACAGATGATACCGAGTGGTGCTTGGGAGACGATGATATGGTAGCCTGACCCAGCAGGCGAGCAATCACGGCTATTGCGTTTGTCTGTTGGTGGGCGTGACTCTGCCAGACCCCCACCTGCGGTCCATCGAGGCTCACTATCAGTTGGAAATGGAGATGGTGGTATGAGGGAGCTGGGCCGCTGTCACTTCGGCCCCCAAAAAGGTGGGATGTAGCGTCCTGATGACCCTCGACTGGGGACTGAGAGCAGAAGACGGGCGCCGTCCAAGTATAGCAGACAAGGCCACAGTTGACTGGGCAGTGCTGAAGATGAGATGGCAGAGCAGGGACAGCGTCATCCGGGTGCGTGAGCGTGCGTTTCCATCAACTCGTGCCCATGATCGAGTGCCTTCCGGGCCTAGCAGCAGTCGTCAACCCCAAGATGATGGGACGGCCAGTGAAATCGGACCCCGGCATGGCATCATCATCATAGAAGGGCCTCGCAGCGCCTGTGGAGGAACGCGCCGCGCGGAGTAATTTCAGCGTCTGGCAAGCTATCAGCATTGCTGTGCGTGTGAGCTGCATTCTCGATGCTGGTGCTAGGCGGCGTTAGCAGGGCGCCTTTCTGGGACCGTCATGGTGGTGGCTAGCGTTCGGCCCCACGACACACGGGAAAATGAGTCGTGCCCAGGCAGAGCCGAAGTCGAATCTATAGAGTAATGGCTTCTCGCGGGCGATCACTGAATGCGCCAGAAGAAAATTTGGCAGCTTCTTTTTGGGGCCTCAGCACGCCGGCGAAGGGGCGACGGCAAGCCACGCTTTGAGATAGCGCACTGCGTATATTAACTTATTAACTTCATTAATTAGGCTACCCGCCGGAAGAAAAAAAAAAAAAAAACAACTACGATACCGAGCAGATAGGCCTACCAGGGTTCTCACTTACATTGGGTACTCACGTATTATGACTGTTTTCGAGAATTGCTGCAGTCGGTGGCCGCAAGCAGTGCCATGCCATGTTGTGCAAAATCGCTCCCGGTGCCATTGATTTCAGTTCTCTGACTGCTACGAGCCCTCGTACTCGTAACTCTTGGGCGTCTCCAAGCCTCTGAAGCCATGCTGATAGCTTTTCCGGGGAATGGCGGCCAATCAGTCGAGCACGACAGACGCTGCGCCTCACTACCCCCGATACCGTCGTCTGGGGGCGTGCAAAGTGAGCTGTGCTGGCTTTTACAGTACAAGAGACGCATTGAGTGCATGGAAACGTAATTAATAGTGCCTGTATCCGTACTGTGAGTAGCACCAGAGTTAGCAACTTGTGCTATAGACAGACGGCTCGGTGGAGCGAGCAGTCTCAACAAAGAAAGAGAGAAAAAAGAAAAAATGAAAAAACTACTGCAACTGCTACCTTCACCGTTCCTCCACCGCCAGCTCACAGCTTCCCAACTGGCAACTTGCTCGCAATCGTGTGCCGAGAGGGGGTGGCTGCAGCGGGCCTCGACGCTAGCATCGCATCTGGCAAGGCAGCTTGGGCAAGTACCAGCTCGGCGGAGGTACTTTGCGCCCCAGCGCCAGCAACAGCGAGCATCTCCCGTGGGCCGAACAGAGTCTGGCTGGCTGGCCTGGGGCCAAGCCGACTTAGTGCTACAGGTACGGGGTACGAGTCACACATTGCCCATCTCGCCATTGCCGGTGGTACACGCTACCTGGGCCGTGCATCGCGCGCTATCTCCACGCCGCACCCCCTCGCCCCGTACCACACCCCCTCCTTCTCGCCTTCCCCCCTGCCGCTCGCTCCTGCCCATTCGCCCCAGCTGGGGCTCCCACTGAGCGAAAACAAGGGCTGGGGCTCGAATGCTGGGGCCGGAGGTACAACCATCTGGGAGCCGCCAAGTACCCCGTGCCCCTTTCCCAGCCCTGGCTACGTGTCCCCCTCCTCGTCCTTCCAGCACCCCATCGCGCCATCCAGCCCGCTGGACGCTGCCATGCAGCACTGTCACCCACCCCCCAAGGCCGCCTAAGCCCTGCGTGACGCCCCTGATTTACCGCCGCGTAAAGCGACCACCAGCATGTGCAATGCGCTGATGCAGCCGGGTACAAGGCCGCAAGTACCTCTCCGTGCTCCCTTGTCCTGTACGAAGTACCGACCCGGCCGAGCCCGCCCTTATTAAAGCGATTCCCTCCCCCCCAGTCCCCTCCTTCTCCCGAGAAAAAAAAAAGTAAAAAAGTCTTCTTCCCTTGACGACTCAAGAAAAGTCAAAAGCCTGCCTGCCGCCACTTGCAAACATTAGCGAATCTTGCACCTTAATATCATCCTTACCGACGACCAAGAAGCACCTAGACGCATAAGAGAAAGACAAGACAACATCAGCCGCTGTCGCAATCAGAAATACTTACGCATATAAGAACAGCAGCCCGTCCATCTCGCCCCGCCAAGGACAATAATCGCACATCTTGCATCCGCATCATAGCAGTCACCAGCCCACACACTCGCTTGTCCAGACAGCCTCGTTGACCGCCGCTCAATCACATGCAACGAGCTCGGTCTGCCGTGGATTTCTCCAATCTCCTTAATCCATCGTCGGCAGCACCAAGCCAGGACCAAGGCAGCGGAGCAGCAATGTCTACCGCTGCGGTTACCGTCATCAAGCCCAATGGGCCCATTCCAGGAGCGCAGGCTTCCGAGTCTGCCAACGAGCTTCCCCGTCCCTACAAGTGCCCTCTCTGCGACAAGGCCTTCCACCGCCTGGAGCACCAGACTCGACACATCCGCACCCACACAGGCGAGAAGCCGCATGCCTGCCAGTTCCCGGGCTGCAGCAAGAAGTTCTCTCGCTCTGACGAGCTGACCAGGCACTCGAGGATACACAGCAACCCCAACTCCAGGCGAGGCAACAAGGGCCAGCAGCAGCACCAGCAGCACCTCCACCAGGGCATGCCGCACCCTCTGCACGTCGACGGCATGATGGCTCCTCCTCCTGCGCCCAAGGCCATTCGCTCAGCGCCCGCCTCAGCCCTGGTCTCGCCCAACGTCTCGCCTCCTCACTCCTACTCTTCTTTCGCCGTGCCTACAGTTTCCATGCCTCACTATGGCCGTGGCACCGACATCTCAATGCTCGCAAACGCCGCCCATCAGATTGAGCGCGAGACTCTATCTGGCGGCCCCTCCAACCACAACTCAAGGCACCACCCTTACTTCAGCTCTGGTATGCAGGGCCCTCGGGGCCACGGCCCTTCGCTCTCCTCGTACCACATGGCCAGATCTCACTTCAACGATGATGACGATCACTACCACGGAAGCATGAGGCACGCCAAGAGGTCGAGACCCAACTCGCCTAACTCTACCGCTCCCTCTTCCCCCACCTTCTCGCACGACTCTCTGTCGCCCACTCCGGACCACACTCCCATCGCAACTCCCGCTCACTCACCTCGACTCCGCCCCTTCTCCGGATATGAGCTGCCCAGCTTGAGAAACTTGTCTCTGCAGCACAACACCACTCCGGCGCTGGCCCCCATGGAGCCCACTCTTGATGCCCCTCAGTTCCCTCCTCAGGCGCAGGGCCTGACCTCTCGCGGCTCTGGCATTTCATTAACCGACATCATCAGTCGTCCCGATGGAAGCCAGAGGAAACTGCCTGTTCCCCAGGTACCAAAGGTTGCGGTGCAAGACCTCCTCTCTGACGGGATGTTCCCCAATAGCGGCAGGAGTTCAACTACAGGCAGCCTTGCCGGCGGTGATCTTATGGATCGGATGTAGAAGAGAGCGATGAAAAATACCCCACGATGGTGCCGCGAATGATTTGACGACTATGGGCTATAGAACGATAGAAAGAGTTGGCGTTTCTGGTATGGAATTGGAAATGGAAACAGTCATCCCTCACAGGACTTGACGCATGGTTTTATTTTACTTTTCTCATCTTATTTTATTTGTTCTTCTTTGTGCTCGATTTGGGTTTGGTTTTAAAGCAGGACTGGATGGGATCCTACACGAATAGGATGGCCAAAGGACATTATAGACATCACCACTTTCCCAGGCGGATACAATTTCATTCCGTTTCTCAGTTTTTGTTTTCACTTGTTTCAAGTTGCATTTCGGGGGGGTTCAATACAGTGGATGCTTACTATGCACTACTATAATATTGGATTTGGCGGGTGCATGCTGCATAAGCAGCAGCACAGGAGCAGGCCTAAAAAAATCGGAAAATACATATTTTATGAAATCACGCGCTCTCCATCTTTGCCCATCGTGCTATGTAGCCCAGTTTCGACTGGTGGTTTGCTTGCAATATTGCATCCCTTGGCCCATCTACCGCAAAAGAGCAACCCGAGCCCGGCATTTGGGCTTGTTTTTGACGGTCTTCGGCAGCGGCATAGACCAAACACGCTTGCGTGTTACAAAATATGGGGAATTATCATACAAAATATGGGGGAGGCGGCGGAGGCGGCGGCGGCAGCAGCAGCAGGATATTATCAGGGGGATGATGGTTGATGGAGGGGGGGAAGCCACGGGCAAGGCGGTGCATCCGTGGGACCCGCGGCCTATTACAGCGCAGAGGGATTGAAGATGGATGACTTCATCGCCGCACCACTGCATTTTTGTTCTTTTTCCACTTGTTAATACTGATGCTATGGTGTATTAATTGTGTAATGGAGGAATGAATGAGTCACATAAGCAGTGCTTGTATGGTAATTGACAGTGATGACAATAATGATGAACTACAAATTCTGGGGTCGATACTTGGATTCCAAAGTTGCCTCGTTCCGGTGTTTCCCGTCTTATCTCCTGACTGTCAACTGGCTATCGTACGGTAAAAAGTGTAGGCCTAGAGTCTTAAAACAATGCAAGAGGCTTTTGCGGGGGGGAAAAGAGTTCAGTTGTTTGTTTTAGATTGTAGATTGTATCTGCCTGTTTTAGTATTAGTAGCGCCCGGAGAAACCTTGAATTATGAAGGATTCATTTGGCAGTTGCTCTTTTATTTTGACACAAGGACAGAGATCATACAGTTGGATGGCTGTTTTGAGGGAGTCCAGCTTTGGGGCCCTATCAGCCTATCTCTGGGTGTTAGTTCCTAGCGCAGATTACGCTGATCCGATGGGTGCCTCAGCGCTAAGAAGGTTTATCTCTGGGGGATGTGGAGGGGGGAGATTACAGTACAGTAAAGCATGGAACCTTGAGAAGCAAGTGAAAACAGCAGACCAAAGCAATAACGCAACGCAGCTGTAGACCCAAGTTACAAGTTACAAATGATCTATTGAAAGGGGTGGGTTATAATTTTTTTTCCCGAAAGGGGGTGTGTTCTATGGGATGGATGTCTTGATGGATGGATGGTTGAGGGCGAGGGTGCTTGTAGGGCCAGGCAGCATTTGTTTGGCTCGCTTAAGATGGAATGGGATGGAATGGAAGGGGGAGTGTGGAGAGAAGCAATACCATGGGAAGTTAGATACGGGGAAGGCAAGGGAGATTTGGTTCTGCTAGGAACTACTGTATAATGAATGATACGAGCTTGATTAGCCATGTGCCTTGTTTGTTATGAGGGTTGCGCTGCTGCGACGCTCTGGCTGGGGCTGTGGAGGCCACATGCCTTTGCCTTGTGCTGCTGAAATTTCTTCCTCCTTTGACCTATTGGCAGCTGATTGTTAAGTAGGCAGCAGGTTTGCTTTTAATGGTACGATGTGGCACTGATACGAGCGCAAGTAGATAGTAGGAAGATGGGCGGGTGATTGCATGTTGTGCAGGTATCAGAAACACAAGACGCCGGGGCTCTTCGTTTGGTGTGCGAGTGGCCGTGCGTGCGCTGCCTGAATATGAATATGAATGTACCTAATAAGGAGGCATACATGTACTGCAGGTCGAGGCTTTTGATTGGGTTCCCCAAAGTCTGGGGACCTCTTGTGATTTGGACCCCATATGCGTGCGTCCGTCGGTGTCTGTTTGTGTGTGTACCTGTGCAACACCGTACTCGCCTACGGGAGCGGCTCTTGTGCCATCTTGCACGTTTCAACACGCATCTTTTCCCTTCTAGTTGGATATGCTGACAATGGTGCTTTTCAAGTTACAAAGGTGGTGGTGCTGCATGTTGGGCATCATCTTTGTGGGACACGTCTGTGAGAGCATATAGCTGAGTCTCCAAAGTTGAAGACTTCAGCTTGGCTCTCACGGCATGTGGCATATCGCCCCCCCACTCAGCCGACGGTGACGACGCCCGGCTTCTTATTCTTCTTCGCTCCAGTCTCTATCAGGGTCACTAACTACTTGTGCTTGTATCTACTGCTAGTAGCCTGTTCATGCGGCAAACTGCACAGGCATGTGAGTACCTAACAAGAAAAGCCAGTACTAGTAACTCATCTGCAAGAAGGACTGAATGCATGTTAATGGATACCCTCCCTACTGATGCTGCTGCTGCTGCTCTAAAACCTGGTCAGTAAGGCTGGGAAGAGGACTGTGTTGGCCTTGTCGGATTGTGTGATGCCGGTCATCCATTGGGCAACGGCAGGGCACCGGAAGCGCACTTGCGGTCTAGATGTTGGAGATGGGGGAGGGATCGAGATCACGTCAGCGACTCTTTGGCCGTTGCGGCGCATTGGGAGAGAAAAATTGCCGGGTGATCTGATCAAACGGATATCTTTCTACGTGTTGCGTATACTACTGGGCATGCTACACGAATACTCGTAATGACATGCTGATACTAATATTGACTATTGCTCCATATGTCTGCTGGTGGCAGTATCATGAGGTCGGGTAATACGGGGCGACGATGGCATCCGAATTCAGGCCAGACAAGGGAAAGGGCCAAAAAGGAAAAAATAATAGCAAATGGATGAATAATGAACATGGCCTACGTCTCCTTACTTACAAAGCCATGTATGCACATGTATGTAGGTAATAGGAGCATGCGATGCAACTGCTGCTCTGCGTAAAGACAGCAGCGGTGGGGTTGGACTCCTGGTGGCTTGCATGACTCTTTGGCTACAGATTCTGCTGCAGTTGAGACAAGACATTCTTTGCTTTTTCCTCTTCTCCTTTATGCACACTATTTTTTTCTTCTTTTCTTTTTCCTTTGTTTCAAATTGTTTTTTTCCCTCACCGCTTCAACAAGCCCTGGCGAATTAGGAGACTCGACGAGACACACCACATTTCTGCTAGTCTTAAAGTTGTGTAACACGTACAACCAGCAAACGGGCTGCTGTGCCTGTTTTACCCGTGCGCCCCGAGTTTGCAAGTTGTTGCACTAACCGCGTCGAAAGGTGGTGTGCTGTAAGAAGAGAGAGACGAGTACGCAAAGGGCTTGGTTGCCTGTCAAAGTTTGAGGATCAAGGAATTTGGGGAGGGCGTTGGCAGACATTTTAGTGAGGTTAGGAATGGCGGAGAGTCTGTCTGTCTGTACTTTGTGCGTCACGAACGTATATGGTGGGGGTTCTTTTTACCAACTCTCCATTTGTTAGTCGTCCTGCCAGTTTGAAGCATAGATCGTCCTTTTTTTCTGTCTCACGTGTTGGTGAAGAAATTTCTTTCTTAGTGTTTCTTTCATTTTCTTTCCAATTTGGCTCTACTTTGGCCTTTGCTTTTCCGGTCCACGGCTACAGTGCTTCTTTCTGACATGTCCTCCACGTGAGAATTGCTTGGTGGGCTGTGAGTGCGGCACATGGTGCGGGAAAAGCAGCGCCAGTGAGAGGCTATAACATGACGGCCGCTCCGAGCTCGCTGGTAAGCTGAAACCGTCTCATTGGATGCTCTTCTATTCTCTCTCGATGATTCATCATTAATACTATTAATGAATTTGCACAGAGGCATCGAGTGTGCCTCAGTTCATACAACAAACGACTTCACTTGTCTCATCCGTCAATCCATCAGATTTAGCCATCCCGCAAATGTGGGGGTGGGGTTTGATTGTCCTCTGTGGGCTTTGCATCGGGTTAGCAGCCAAGCGTCAGCAGACTGGTTGTCGCGATGTCAGCGTTCGATCGCGAAAGAGCCGCCTGTTCCCTTTCGACAGAGTTGTCAAATGCATCAGCCTCATCTCTAACAGGAATGGAGAGAGAATAAGACGCCGCAGAACGGAGATTCTGGGTGGCGAATCACTCCGGCGAGCACCAACCAACCGTCTTGATACTATCAAACCAGTATCACGTCTGTTTTAGGTGCATATCTGTGCATGAAAGGATGTGCAATCTCTGATTAGAGATGGCCCAGGGCTGGGGGAAAGGCGGGGAAATACAGCAACCTTTCTATTCTGCCTATCTTGCTGATAGAGCAGCCCATGCACGCCTTTGATATCTTCCGGCCCTTCTGCCAATCTATACAGCCAGCATCATATCATCCCTTATCTTGCATTCCCGGCGGTGATACCTGCGGGGGATTTTTACCCAGATTACAAAGTAGCAAGCTGTGCTCAATCAAGCCGCGGCTTCTGCTCGCTCCGCTGCCCAATCAAGACATGCTCGGCAAAAATCCCAACGCGGATGGCGAAGCGATTTCGACATTTGGGTGATGGGTAAAAGCAGAATTCCCGAGATTGATACTCGCCTCGTATGCTGGAGATGATTTGCAAAACCCCCCACGGGGCCGTCACTGGCTCAAAACAAGAATATGAATTGAAAATCACATGGCGTGAATGTACCACTGGAGATCCTCTTTTACGCTGGGGGATCGTCAGGCAGTGGGGTGGCAGACACACACAAAAAGATTGATGCTCTTCGGTGATAACTTCTCCGACATGGCGAGAAAAGCCTAGAATTACAGACTGGCCACTGGGTCCTTTGATATTGGGCCAAGCGCTGCTGCTGCTGCTGCTGCTGCGACTCCATAGTCGCCGACTAGCAGGCATAATCATCAGCTGAAGGCCTCGAATGGAGCAGAAATGAGACTGTTTCGTTGGCCGCAGTTTTAATCACGACACAAAGTGCGCTTGCGGCGCCAAGTCCGGGCCAGACAAGAAAAAAAAAAACTAGGACAAGATAAAAAAGAAGCCCGATTCCAGTTCTTCCCTTTTGTGGATTGGCGATGATACAAATTACCCAGCGCACGCACCGCTCCAATCTGATACGAGCATGTTGGAGGCATTTGTCTGAGTCGCTCCAGAGCACGGCGTAAGTACCTTAGCCTTGGATAATGAGGCTATCGCTGTCTCTCTCCAGGTTTGTCGCACCCCACTTCGCCGGATCCTCTCCATGCCATTGCCTTTGCAGGTACCGCTTCTAGATTCACCTCTGCACAGGCACTAGCAAAATGCATAACTGTCAAGCGAAAATCGTCTGTGGCGAGCTGCTTCAAGATGGTCGCATTTTATTCATCCACCGCCCGGCTGGCCTGCTACGTTGCAATACTGGGCTGCTGAGCAGGGAACAGGAAAAAATTGAAGAAAAAAAAAAGCCCTGGAGCACGGTTTGCTGCATGGGGAAGACGTCGTTCAAGGAAGGTCAGGTAGGTATCTAAGGCGCACCTAAAAAAGGAACATGCCTCGCAGCAGCCAATCAATCGCTGAAAAGCGCAGGGCGTCAGCCCATCAAAGCAGACGCCCCTGTGGCTTGCCGGTACGTAGCGCCCATCTGGACAGGTACCGCGCAGACCCTGCAAAATGGCGCCTTGGCCGGACAAGAGCCGAAGTAGCCTTTGGGGGCCAGATGTGTACCTGCGGGATGCCCATACGCAAGCATCTGGTTGCAGCCACGTTCCTCAGCCTCGCAAAAGCGAAGCTCGCTCCAGCTCAGACTCGGCGAAACGGACGCAGCTCAACGACTCCAGCTCCAAACGCATCAACCTCAAACAAGCACCGGCATCCCTGCCCCGTCGTGCCAACACAGCACAGCTGCCAGTCCGTGCGAGCTGCATCGCCAGATGTACCTGCAACTCGCATTGCATACAGCCGCTAGTGCGCCAATGCTGGTATCTGCGACCTGGAGCCGTGCCTGGACTGACTCGGCGGCCGCAGACAAGGCCTTGTTCAATGCGATGCCATGCCATGCAAGGCACGCACCGCTGCCACCCACATTTGCATCGGAATGGGGGCCCGCAAAGAGACACCGCAACTTGTACTGCATTGCAATCTGATTCTTCACGTCTGCAACCCGCGAAAACACAAGGCCCATCGTACGAGATCCGCTGCCGCTGCGCCAAGTTGAAACCCCCGCGGGCCAACACCCAGGCAGGCCCAACAAATATCGAGAGCCGCAAGCGAGCCTCTCCATGCGCTCTGCACAGGATCAGATCATTGCCAGTATCATACAACACCTGCAGCACAGAGTTGATCCGAATGCTACCCCGTCGACGCGGCCGCCTGGTTTGCCGGCCATCCGCCAATTTGTGTATCGGCACACAGCCAGCACGATCGGATGATAGCGATCCACATGCTATATGACCATCTCACGCCTCATGCACAATATATTAAATCCGTCCCGGAGGCCACTATACTACTACTATATACCGTACTGTAGGGCACTATACGCCCGTGGATAATGCCAAGCGCCATGCATACTGTATTGTATGTACTCCGTACGTCTGCGTGTATGCGCAAATACATTTCAGGCCAAAATACGGAGTAGTGGGTTGCCTCAGTCTTCTCCCTGCTGCTCCACCACCAGTTTCTGATCCGCCTGTTTCTTTCTTCGGTCAATCAGTGGGCTGCGCTGAAATCGCCAGATGGTGCCTACTGTACTCCGTACGCACGCAGGGGGAGGAGAATAAACCCCCCTGGCGATTTCAATGCGCCGAAATCTATCCTATCGTGGGGGGGCTCAGAGAGGAGCAGGGCCAGCTGCAACAAACCCACAGCCGGCAGGGTTTGTAGCTACTGAGTCGATGTACTGTAGTTACTCCGTTACTCCTTATTCACTCCTCACCCGGTATGAGCTGAACATGAGCAGTACGAGTAATTCGTTTTTCCCCTTCTTCTGCACCTCCTCGGGGCAGACTGGGGGTTGCATCAATTACTCCGCTCCGACGAGCACTGGAGCTTGCCGCAAGAAGAAAATTGGATATGTCTTTTTCCCCCACAGTCTGTGGCGTCTCTCCCCCAGCTGCTGCTGCTGCTGCTAGGGATCTCATATGCGACAGTACGGAGTACGTACAGACCAGCATCTGGGCCTTTTTCACGCATGCCAACAAGGAGCCATTCTGCTGTAGCACGGGCAGCTATCATTATACAATCATCGTATAGCTCATTTATGTGCCATCTCATTTGAATGGGCGTCAGCTAACTCAAATGACCTCTAGCTCACAAAGCTAACGATATCACATCACCACCTTTCGGATAATGTACCGAGCCAGAGACGAGAGAAGAAAAGCCGTTTCTCAGGCATGTGAAAGTGCTACGAGCTAGTAGCTCCATGGGAGTATCTCCGAGATCTTTAATATGCTCGGCATAGTGCCGACATACGACCAAGGCTCCCTTCCATTCAGCCGGCTGTTTTGATGATGCATGATACGTGGTTTAAGCTCGGCTCTTTTCGCAGGAGAATTAAAAAAGAGATATTCCGTGAAGCTGGATATGAAGGAAACTCCATCGGACCGAGAGCGGCATTCAAATTCGGCTGGTTAACCGACCGAACGCCTTGTGCCAACCCCCAACGGCCCGGCAATTAAGGTTCCGAGCCCCAACGACCCCAGATAAGTTATTGTGATGTGTCTGGTTTCATTGCGTGATTGCTACTTGATTATCTACTGTATTGATATCTACCCAGGGGACACATGTACAATGTTCCACGTTTGCCCGAACGCTGTAGATGAAGCCGATACGCAAGCTGATGACGACGAATAACAAGTGGAATGATTGTCTCTAATACTAGCAATCTTCATAGCCTTCTATCTAACTCTCTAACATGGATGTATTGGCTAGACAAGACGAATATCATGAAGTTCCTGCTCCGTTGATAACCTCTGCAAAGCGGCTTATAAGCCCAACCCGATAGTTCCCGATCTCAGGTATAGATTGATAAGGAAACCTGATTCTGGAGGCTTGCATCATCCGTGCTAAGAAACGTAAGAGATACCTAATGATAAAATGGAAGTCTAGGCAGACATGTGAAAAAGAGAAAAAGTTCCCGCTTTCGCTTGGTCTCTCCGGGCGTTCCTCAAGACGTGATTTCGCTTTCAATTAATAGGTCCGAAAATCACGTCAAATGTGGCCGACTAATGGCTATTATTGGCATCAGAAGGAAGCAATGTGGGTTAACTTTGGCGCCGCTGATCTAAAATACTCAAAGCCAAAAACACAAAGATCGGGGAGATTCGCTCTTCGCCCTAAAGGAGATATACCGTCTTAGAATACAGTATAGATTCTTGACAATTTTACAAAGAGAATCCTGGTGGTTTTACATTACAGATCCCTGAAAACGCATATCTGGTTGCCATGAAACTTTTTATTTTTCCTCAAGTGCTGTAAGGCGTTACGGTTTCTTACCAAGTGGGAATAGTAAATGTCATGTCACTTTCTTGACGAGATACATTGGGATTTTTGACACGTTCTTTGTTTTGCAGGATGTCCTAACGATGAACTCTGATTTTACCTCGATTCAACCCTGGCTATGTGTCATGCATTGATTCGGACGATAGGTGGAGGGTGAGTGTAGTATACTTGTGAAGGCTTCGATGTTTGTACCTCTTGCTCCAATGCGAGGAAGTTTCCCGCCGTCGTATCGTCAAATGCCGACAATTAGATGGCAAAAATGATTTTGTAACAAGCTTCCTTGAGAGAAAGAACGAACAAGGACAGGGGCAGATCGTGATCGTTGAAGTTGATTAGCGGTACACCTTTTTTACTTTTTGTGTGTCCTCGCTCTCGTTTACGGGTGAACTTTCGTTGGATATGCACATTTGTAATATGTTTTGTTGTCTCTTTTAATTTGCCAGCCAATAATCATACTCATCTCACAATGCTGTCGGTTTTATGAGCCGCAATCTCGGCTCTTTTCAAAATGATGGGGGGCCAAGGGAGGGAGAGTGAAGCCGGAGGGTATTTCAAGATAAGCATATGCATAGCCTTCTAAACGGCCCAACTTGACACGTCTTCGATATCAGGCATTTCTGCCAAATCTCTAGCCCCCTCACTTTTACCTCCAAGGTTGATATTTGACAACGAAAAAGGGGGAGTTCCACATAACCTGCGTCTGTTGGTTGTGCCTAGCTGCATATCTTCAACCAACAAAGGGCGGCAGGGAGACTGCCCCAAGCGACAAATTGCATCAAGGGAGGGGGCCAAAAGCAACAACAATGCATACGAACTTGGCAAAGGACGACGCTGTACTCCGCGGGGCCCCGGGTTTTTCTGTCGACTTGCAGAAGGGGGCCATTGCTTCGCGTATCCCGCGTTGCTGCCCAGTTTGTCGGAAAGGAGAAGGTGTATATGGTATCACGCATGGCCGGAGCTGCAGGTCTGAACATGGGGGCCGAAAAAAAGAGACGATGAAACGAAGTTGCGTAGCGGCAGAAAGACACCGATAGCCGACAGGCAGGGTGACTCTGACAGGTACGGTGAGGCTACAACCAAACGAGAAGAGGAATAGAGAGAAGACGGCACAGGGAGGATGTGGCACATACTATGGGAAGATTGGGAAGCTGACGGTTGACGTTGACTTTGCCTGAGAGACGAACGGTAGGAGATTTTCGACCTGCTCATTCTGAGGGCCTACATGCTGCAGTGCCGGATGGTGTGAGTTGCAGTCGCGGTGACGAAATGGGTAGGTTATTCGCCCGGCTGAATAGTCTTTCTGCGGCCTCGTTATGCATATCGGCTCTATGCAAGGAGGTTACGGTTAACGAAAGAGATGAACGAGGAAGTTTCTCGACGAAGACGTGTCCAGAATGCGATGCTTGCTGATCTCGTCGAGTAGAATCTCGTCATCAAAAATTTGCCGGTGATGAGAAGATACTTCTTCGAGAACTTTGTAGAGAGAGCATGTCGGCAGAATGGGTGGAATCCTCCCAAATGAGATGCCTTGATTCTTCCTATTTGTTGGATAATGTGGTTTAGTAGTAATTGTTTGTAGTCATTGTTTGACCGGATTGACGGAGCTTGGAACCAACGCATGCAATGAAACTATAGCGATCTGCTGCATGTAGCATCGCAAAATAGTCTCTATTTAGCTAGGATGATCTGTGTTGATGCTCTGATGAGCTGAGATTGTGTATCACTGTGACGCTATAAGACCAATCCATATTATCCGGATCGTTTTTCGAAGGAGGATTGTAGTTGACTCTTATTTTGGGAAAAACTGTAAAATGAAAATGACAACGAGCCGTGGGAAACTCGATATATTGCATTCTATTCGGAAGTAATATACCGAAATAGACTCCGTTCAGCCGCTGCCAAAAACCAGATTTTCTGTCATGGAGTCAGATTGTTCCGGAAAGAATAGGCTGAACATGAGTCAATGAGCCTAAAGCCCATCGTCCAAGATATAGATGGATCATAACAGATGAATCATCTCGCCATACGCGTATTGCTATACAAAATCACTACCCAAACTTGGATCGATGAAGGCTGTCCTTTGGTGATACGCCTTTTCAGAGCCATCCCCTTGAGACGTGAGAGGAAGGCAAAACAACACCTTAGAGCGCCATATCCCACATATATTCCTTAACCCCATTTGACTCCGAAGAAGCTTACCGGCTTCTTCCCTGCCCGCGCGTTGGCAGTATCTGCATTTTCCAGATAGATCCTTTCGTGGCCCTTGACGTCCACGAATAGGTATTTGTAATCGTATTCGCTCTCACCACGAGGTATCACCATGTGGCATTGCACTACTCCGTTCCCTTTGGGACCCTCGACCTAGATATATACAGTATGAGTATTTGCGTATTGGTAATGGAGTTTTCGAGCCAAGACTTACGTAGAATTGCATCATGAGATGCTGATTGCCCTGACCGTCCGTCCTCTCGGTGGATCTTGACAGTTTTCATGTAAGCGTAAAGTTCTGTTTCCAGCTGCTTGAATTACCTACGTGATGGGCCGTGCTCTCCTCCATTTGTTGAACGTCTCGTCTCCGTGGGCCGAAATTTTGTTCGCATCGCCTAGGAGCTCAAGGCACCTGTGATCCTTCTTGATCTTATCGACAGCTCTGTTGAACTGTCTTGTCTTACTCTCGGGAGAGAAAACATCTGACCAAAGGAAATACGCCACGCCACACTATGCGCCAATGATCAATTAGCCTTACTAATTTCACGTAGATTTACAACTATTCAATAGATCAACAAGGGCATCTTCATATTGCACGTACAGTAGCGACCAGGCCGACTATAATCATGCCAAAGTTGTACGATTGCTGAGTTGCCCTCGCCGCCTTCTCAGCGGCAGATAATTCACTCCATGGAACAAATCCGGTATCGTTAAACGGCGTGACGCTCCTTCGTTTGGGCTTTGGCGTTGCGGCAGCTCCAAGCCCAGTCTGGGTCGCATAAGTCCGCGCAAAAAGCAGGCGGGTCGTTTGTCTGATTGTGGAATTGGCGACTCGAATCGCCGGAACTGTAGTTGTTGGTGTCATCATGGCGGCTCCTCGGCTTCCATCTTACCGAGACAGCTCGCTTAGATGAGATCGCCGCAGGGTAGCAAAAAGCCAAGCGAATCTGAACAGCAGAAGCTTGATATCCAACAGTGAAGCTTTCACAAGCAGCAATCGCTTGTAGTAGTGCTCGCATCTTGCGCGCCACCGCCCTCGGCAGAAAACCCAAGTGGGGAGACCGCCTAGCTAGAATGAGGTTAGCGGCTCCAATTATGCCACTTTACCGCATCGCCAAATGGGCTTTGGGAGTCTCCTTAATAATAGTTATCCCAATCGTGATTGCACTTCGTCCTCTCTGCTCCATCTCGACGCGGTCGCTGTAGAGACGAATAGTACGACGGGTTCTAGACATATCAGTAAATACTCGGCAAGACTCGAATCGGATCCAGCCGCCGCCTGCCACGATGAGTGCCCCCCTCGCGACCAAGCAGCAATCGCTGAAGATCTTCGAGAGGTTGAAGACGAAGCCAGCGAACAAGGTATGGAACGCAGTGAACGCTGATTAGAACCGAGTAACTAAACGCGCCGTCGTCCCTATAGATATGCTTTGATTGCGGACAGAAGAATCCTACCTGGACTTCGGTTCCCTTTGGCATCTACCTGTGTCTCGACTGCTCAGCGAACCATCGCAACCTGGGCGTTCACATCTCCTTCGTGCGATCCACAAACCTCGATCGTATGTATCCCGCAATGCTCTCATCATAACAACGCATTTTCTGACTTGTGCTCTCCAGAGTGGCAATGGGATCAGCTTCGAGTAATGAAGGTTGGCGGTAACGAATCTGCGACCAAATTCTTCCAGCAGAACGGAGGCACTGCGGCATTGAACAGCAAGGACCCCAAGACCAAATACCAGTCGAACGCGGCTACTAAGTACAAGGATGAGTTGAAGCGACGTGCGGCGCGTGATGCGCTAGAGTATGCCATCCCGAATGCTCCGACTGTATAAATACAGATCTCTAACCATAATGCTAGATACCCTGAAGAAGTTATTGTCGATGGCCTCGAGGCTGATGGCAGCTCCACCCCTGCCGGAGAACCTGATGATGATTTCTTCTCATCTTGGGACAAGCCTACGATTAAGAAGCCGACGCCGCCTTTATCACGAACTGCAACTCCTCCTGTAGTCGGCCGTACCCCATCTCCATTCCTCAACGCCGGCAACAAGGACGTTCCCCGTGCCGCGTCCCCTCTATCAAAGACAGATTCAACCGAGTCGAAGCCTGCAGCCAGCCGTGTCACCACATCTGCTGCTTTGCGAAAATCCACCCCGTCCGGCGGCCCCAAGAAGGCCAACATCCTTGGTGCCAAGAAGGTGCAAAAGCTGGGCGTCAAGAAGGTCACTGGCGATGTCATTGACTTTGACGAGGCGGAGAAGAAGGCCAAGGAGGAAGCAGAGCGTATCGCCAAGCTGGGATACGACCCTGAAGCCGAAGAAGAGCAGGCCGCAAAGACCACTGCCACTTCATCCGCTGCTGCCATTATTTCCCCAACCCCCATTAGCCCAGCTCCTAGCTCGCATACACGACAGAAGTCAAATGCTGAAATGGAGCGATTAGGAATGGGCATGGGACGTCTCGGATTCGGTCAGATTGGCGGTGCCAAGGCCGCTGCGTCTGCTTCTTCTGCCTCTTCTGCCAAGAAGAATGCTGGTGGTTTCGGCTCCGTTGGACCTGTAAAGGCAACTGCAGCTGGTAAGTTTTGTCCTGAAGAACTTGATTATCATACCCTAACTCTTGTTTCTATAGATGAATCCGAGACATTTGCCCGTAGCAAATTTGGTGCCCAAAAGGCCATTTCGTCTGACGAGTTTTTCGGCAAGGGCTCGTATGACCCTAATGCTCAGGCTGAAGCCAAGACACGACTTCAAGGATTCGAAGGCGCTACGGCCATTTCCTCAAACGCTTACTTTGGACGACCTGAGGAGGAAGTGGAGGAAGATTACGGTGATATCGAGACGGCTGCAAAGGACTTTGTGCGAAACTTTGGAATTACAGCCGCTGATGATTTGGAGAACTTGACTAATGTCATTGGCGAGGGTGCTTCAAAACTACAAAGTGCTATCCGATCTTACCTCGATGGTTAAGTGCCAGATACCCAACGCTGGTTCGAAATTGGGGGAATAAGGGTACATACATTAACATCTTGATTTCTTTGGATGAAAAATTTATGTTACAGGATGGGAAATGATGTGAGATGACGGAAGTGAAAGGCTATAGGGGACTCAGATGGTGTTGGAAGGGAGGGGGGAATCTACATGAGAATGGCGCAAATTGTAATGTCAAAAAGCTGACACGAATAGACGTGGAGTCTTTTTTCTCTTTTTCTTAATCTGCTTCTCTGTTTCTCTGAATATATATGATTAGCTCAAGCTACTGTTCGTAGTCTACGTGATAATAATGTTGCCCCAATTGGAGTATCTAGATGAGAGTCACGATGATTAAGAGCAATGATCAATTACTTATTGTTCAAATTATTATTTTAGAAAATATTTGTTTTTTTTATATTTTTGTTTTTATTGTATTGTTACATAGTATGCATGTAATTATCAAAACCTGATATGCTACCTGTATAGTCTACATGACATGACGTGGCATGAAACAATAAGAGAAGAAATGCATTACCAACAGGCTTCATTGAAAACAAACCCCAGCAATATATAAGGAAAAGATGGTCTTGATATGTTTTTTTTTACAACTTGGATTGAGCACCGACGATGAGCTGGTTGCTCTTCTTCAGTTGGGCAACAGCATCGTTGACGAGCTCATCGACAACAGCCTTGGCGGGCTTCTGGACGTTGACAACGGCAGCAGCCTTGCCCATCAGGAAGGGGCGGAACTGCTCCAGAGGATCGTCATCCTCGTCGTTGTTGGCCTGTTCGGCGGTCTGGACAATGGAGGGCTTCTCGCCGCCGTTGAGGACCTTGTCGAGATCGGCCTCGTAGGGGATAGTGCCCTTTGCGGCGAGCTCCTTCATCTCCTGCTGGCGGTTGGTCTCCCAGTCGTTGATGTAGGCATTGTTGCGCACGCGCATGGGCCGGCCGGTGAAGATGATTGTGCGTACGTTGTCGTCGTGGCCGGCGGTGCGGACGGCGTCCTTGTGGGACTTTGGCGCGCCGGCCTCGTCGGTCAGGATGAAGCGGGTGCCGACCCAGACGGCCGAGGCGCCCATGACGAGGGCCGCGGCGAGCGTCTGGCCGTTGCTGATGCCGCCGGCGGCGATGACCTGGACGGGGCCCTTTGTCAGGGGCGACTTTGCGTTGCCGACGGCCTCGACGACGGCGGGGATCAGCACCGTCGTCGGGGTGTCGCCGGTGTGGCCGCCGCCCTCACCGCCCTGGGCGCAGATGATGTCGGCGCCGACGTCGAGGCACTTTTGGACGTGCTTGACGTGGCCAATCATGTTCATGTACAGGATGCCGGCCTTGTGCAGCTTCTCGACGATGGGCTTGGGCGGCACACCGATGGCGCAGACGAACAGCTTGGCGCCGGACTCGATGATGATGTCGACGAGGCCATCGAGCTTGCCCTTGGTGTAGTCGTAGCTATTGGGAAGTCTTGTTAGCCTCTGTGCTATACACGTTCTCCGATTGTTTTCTTCCACTTCTTTCATCGCGGCATTCCGCGCCGACGCTGACCGAAAAGACCGATTTCAAAGCATGTGATTATTGATAATCGGGGGTTGGTGGCGTTTTTTTTCTTTTTGGGGGGTCAGGCTTACTTTGTCTTACGGGCGTTTCCACCGACCTGGGGGAGAAGCAGGTCGACGCCAAAGGGAGCGTTCTTGTCGTTCAGGTAGCTCTTGAGCTCGGCAATCTGCTCCTTGAGCATGTCAGGAGTGTAGCCGACGCCGCCGATGACACCGAGACCGCCGGCGTTGGTGACAGCCGCCGCCAGCTTGGGGCCGGCAGCGACGTTCATGCCAGCCAGCAGGACGGGGTGCTTGATCCCGAAAAGATCGGTGATGGGAGTGCGGATCTGCTCTGTTTGTGCATGCCATGGTTAGCCGTCTCTGTCTGTCTCGATTTTTGCACATTCTACACGCGACCTTGGTGACGTCGGCGAGTTTTGGGGGACAAGTGGCAAGGCAGCGGAACTTACGAGGAGAAGCCATTGTGAATGATGTTTTCTAGTCTCGCCGGGGAAAGGGTATCAGGGGAGAATAAAAGAAGAACGATTTGGAATGAAGAAGAGAAGGAGAAGGAGAAAAGAGGGAGAATGGCGGAGGCAATTCCCGCTTAAGAATAATATTTTAGATTCCCGGCCGAGAGGGGACCCCGAGCGCAGACGTCGTTTCGGAGCATCTCCATCATTTGACCCTGACGAGCCGAGGCTTGGGTCAGACGCCATGACCAATGGAGGGCTAGCCTTGCTTGTGGATCTGGGGAAAAGATGCCGAGGTGCGTGGCTTAGTCATCTGCCGAGAGAGAATTGCATGAGGAATTCATGGATGATTTGAGCATGAGCTTCGCAACGTGGTATGTACGCTTGTTCTATTTTGCGGGGAGGTTAGCGCTGCGTATTCCCCGGATTTCAGGTCGATGTGAAACGTCCTCTATGCGCAAAGCTTTGGATACTTTGCATGAGATGTGATAGCATAGGTGTATATAGACACATACATACATACATAGGCCTTATGCTGAGTGCTTCTGAGTTCCCCCTCCTCGGCATCGCGTGGCTTAAAAATGATTAGTAGCCGGAAGCGGAATGCATCGATCAAGTAAGTCTATTGCGGAGAGAGTTTTGCCATTAGCATCAGCATCAGCAGTTGACCGAGGCATCCAATGTGTCAAGCTGAAGACGTTCCTTAGTGGCTTCTAGAAACGGGCCCACTTTCGGACTCCAGGGTAGGTCGCATCGGAAAATTTAGAACCACCAAAATCTCGGCAGCCTCAACAGCTCCAGCTCGAATGGCACAGCAGCTCTAGTTTGCAATTGCCACCCGAGTTCAGCTCCTCTTATGGCAGCACAAGATCGAGCCGCAAGATGAGATTTCACATTCAGCACCACGCTCCGCTGATGAGGGGCCTGCGCAGCTCTGGCGTGCGCAGCTTCCACTCGTCGCCGCAGAGTCACTTGGCCAACATCCACCGGCCAAGGGCACGAGCTCCAGCAAAACGAAGCTCATCACCATCCTCATCAGGCACACAGAGTCGATCTCACTCAGGGTGTGGCTGTCATCCTGCTGCTGCAAACCATACCAAGACCGCATACATTGCCTTGGGAAGCAACCTTGGGGATCGCATATCAGAGATTGAAAAGGCATGCAATGAGATGAACCGGAGGGGCATTCGGGTCAAGCGAACCAGCAGTCTCTGGGAAACAGAGCCCATGTATGTCACAGATCAAGATCGTTTCATCAATGGTGCTTGCGAGGTGAGACTTGTACACCGATTGGCTACTGTTTGTGTCAAGACCGACTGTTGCTGATCTAAATACGTACTCCAAGGTTGAAACTGAGCTTGAGCCTCTAAGGCTGCTTGATGAGCTACAAGCCATTGAGCGGGACATGGGTCGCAACAAAGTGATTGACAAAGGTCCGCGCAATATCGACCTGGATATCTTACTCTATGGCGATGAAAAGGTCCAGCACGACAGACTCAATGTGCCACATATTGGTATCCCTGAGCGCGAATTCGTCCTGAGACCGCTGGCCGAGTAAGACAACTCATCCTCATCCACAGACATCTCATGACTGATTATGTTTTTTTTTCCTTTTGTTAATTAGATTAATTCCATCAAAGCCGCTCTACGCGTCGCAGCCATGGAAGCTTGTCCAGGATTACCTCAATGACCTCACTCCTGGCGAGCCCCTATCATCCATCACTCCAATGTCTTCAGCGCTGGCACCACTCACACCCCTCGTACGTAACAGAAAAACTAGCGTCATGGGGATCCTGAACATGACGCCTGATTCTTTCTCTGACGGCGGCCGCAACAGCCTGGAAACTCTGTCCAATACCGTCAGAGATCTTGTTCGCAACGGGGCATCCATCATTGACGTGGGCGGGCAGTCGACGGCTCCTGGACGCCCCGAAGTATCCGCAGAGGAAGAGACTTCTCGGGTCGTGCCCGCCATCGAACTCATCCGCTCCATACCGGAAACCCGTCACGTCGCCATTAGCGTCGACACCTATCGCGCGTCTGTCGCTGAGAGGGCCATTGCCAGCGGGGCCGACATTATCAACGATGTTTCCGCCGGTACCCTCGATGCTGAAATGCTCCCAACTGTGGGTAGACTTGGGAAGACCATATGCCTGATGCACATGCGCGGCACTCCACAGACCATGACCCAGCTCACTTCCTACCCAGAGGGCCTGGTGCCAACCGTTGCGGCCGAGTTACTTGAGCGCGTGGCCGCAGCCGAAGCAGCAGGTATCCGAAGGTGGCGGATAATTCTCGACCCAGGGATCGGGTTCGCGAAAACGGGCGCCCAGAACCTGGAGCTGCTACGGAGCCTGGAAGAGCTCAGGGAGTGGCCTGGCTTACAGGGCCTGCCGTGGCTTGTTGGCACGAGCCGGAAGAGCTTCATCGGCAAGGTGACTGGAGTGGACGAGGCTTCGCAGAGGGTTTGGGGCACGGCCGCGACGGTGGCGGCGGCGGTTCAGGGGGGAGCGGATGTGATACGCGTGCACGATGTTCGGGAGATGGCCTTGGTGACGACCATGTCGGATGCCATCTGGAGGGCTTGAGCTTTCGAAATGTGAACCTGACTCGAACTCTGGGCTGCGTGTCTATTACTACTTCCTTCTCGACTCCTTCGTCTCCATATCTTTTGACCTGTCTCTTTGGTTTCCCCTCCTCCCTCTTCTTTCGTTTGGTCTAGATGGCTTCGTTTTTTCGCCATGACCTTTTACTTGCTCCACACCTATTTAACAGGGGGTATCATACAACGCAGACCAAGCATGATGCTGGCCATCCAGACGCAATGGACACATTTGGATATCGGGTAAAATACGTCTGCCCCTGGTATCTTGATGCCTCAATCTATCGTTATCTGGGAAAATTACTCGACCTTCCTCGCCGGTGGGTGGCATACTCCATTCGCAAGTTTTTCGGACACATTATTGAGCCGGGTTCCTTGTCATACATAACGCTTGATCCCTGAATCGTGTGGTAACAATGAAGCCTTCGGAAAACAGCCCTCTCAGATGTACCGTCGATCACCGGTGTGGACTTGCAGCTCGTGCAACCCCAGGAAACCTGAAGCTGATTACGATCATTAGGGGGGACAAGTAGCAAAGGGAATGCAGTGCAACCAGCCCCCCCGATAGCCGGGGCTTTTATTTTTATTGTCCTGACGCTATGATATTCAGGCTTTCTGACCGGTGATCCCCCTATCCCCTCCCCCCTCCGTTGCTGAGATTCGATCCTCGTGTTGGGCCGGAATACCTTGCCGGGTGACACTGCAACAAAGCCATCCGTATGGCTTGCTGCGTGGTTTTCGTTGTGCATGTACACACATATATGCAAAACACGGGCGTTACACAAACATCGCATCTGGCGACAACGGGCTACGGCTACAGCTAATGTGGCGTGACTGATAACAAACAAAAAGATGGCTCCTCGTTCGTTGCGAGGTCAAAAAAAAAAAAGAAGCGATTCACAAGGGGTGGAGCTTCCATGTACAGCTACAACACCACCAGCCAGACGCTACAAGGGGAGTACCTACATTCAGCGAGTCATATGCAAGGTGGCATGCAGGGTCGCAACACGTGGATTTGGGTTACCCAACGGTATGGCTGCAACAAGCGAGTCAGGCTATCCTCCATACGATGTACATTAACGCAAATCAATGAAGAGAGCGAACGAGCGGGCCGCCTAAACGAATGGGAAAAGAAGATTGCATGAAAAAAAAAGAAGAAGGATGGGGAAACCCTCCTGGTCAACTCCGCAAGGCAGATATGCTTACTTGAGACAATTCACTACCCCCCTTCCTCCGGCGTCTTTTCTTCTTCGTCGTCGTCTCGTTCTCTCCTTCGGCCATGCCTAGCCGCTACTACACACGCCCTCCCCCCCTTCTCTTTGCTGCGGCTGACTCCTTTGTGAATAACATCTCCGTAGACCGAACTGCTGTGGCACTTGATCCGATTGCGGACGTAACAGTAGATGCACCTGTAGGGCTGATCCGGCAAGCAAAAAAAAGAAGCTACAAAACTAAAATAAACTGAAACTGGAGAAAATATGATATGTGAGATAACGAAGAACTAGGGAGCTGAGATGGCCTTGTGCTATGTGCTGTCATGGAAATACCTTGGTAGCAAATAAACCAAACAAAGTGATTAAACGGGCATTTTCGGTGAAAGCGGACATAGGGAACGAATAGTATATGCTATTCAAGCTTAAGACCGACGGAGGGGGAGCCTAAAGCTGGCGCAAACAAAGGAACATGCCATGGTGTTTTCTCCTCATTTGCCTTTTGTTCATCATTCTTCTGAGTTCTTATTACATCATACGACACACACGCTGTAAGCCCATACCAAAAGGACTTGTCCTAGAGGAAGTGCCATTTCTAGGCATTGCCATGTGAGACATTGCCAACTAGGATAACGCCTAACAATTTCATAGTCGCCAATGAGCCACCACGCAGCCTTGCTGTTTAGCTCACATGGTGTATCCTTTCTGCGGTCGTCGGTGATAGTCCGTCAGTCCGCTTCAGGTACTTCTCTCGGGATCCTCTACCGGATCCTTCTCCCTATATGCTCCCCTCCCCCCTTTCCCAGTAGGGAAAAGAAACGAAAAGAATTGAAAAGAAGAAAAAAGGTAAAGAAAGTAGTGGTGTTTTCTCCCGGTTTGATGGCCGACCCTGGAAAGATCCATTGTATGTTTGCTTTTTCATAGGCTAGCCGTGGGGTCGCAGCAATAGGAGGCCAAGCTTGTAAATGTACATGGCAGTGCAAGTAGTACTGATGGTAATACTGTTTCGAAATTCTTCCGATCTCCGACAAAAATGCTGTGCTGCGGTTTCCTGTTCCTTGTTTTCCTCTTTCTTTGGTTTTCCTCGCCGGTACTTGCAGGCGATCATCATTGAAAATGGTTCCCTCTATGAATAACATCAAGACAAATGAAGTTATCATCATGTTTTGTTTTCTTGACTCTTCTTGTTTCTCATTTCCACATCTCGTTTCTTGACAGGAGGTGGCAAACGATGTCCTCATATGCGGGCTCTGACATAAATGACCTGATGCCACAGCACGTGGGGGCATGTTCCCCAAAACTTGGATTTTCCGAAGGAGGGGGGGCGTACGGCTATTAAGATAATGGGCAAGTACAAGGAGATACAGCCAGGGTCCAAAAGCACATGCTAAGCCCTTCTTGCGAGCCCGTACAGTAATGGCCTGCCCCAGAAGCCAAAACTGGATGGAATACATCGGGGTCTGGGGGCTCGTCTAGGGGTCTGCTGCTGCAGGGCGGATCATACCAGATGCACTGTATCTCTTTTCTCCTTACTATATTGTCTCTTTTGTCACGCGTGGATCTCGCCTTGCAGCAAGAGTAGCTGTCGCAGCGGGGAGCTGCTGCAACAGACTCGCATCGTGGCATTTGTCAACCAACTAACCCGGCAATGCATGGCCCTTATTGCCGTAAGTTGTAGCCGAGCCCTGGGCGGAGGACGGCAGTGAACCGACGAACCCAACCCCATGCTCGACGCCTGTGAAAGGGTCGGATGCATCTTGTCCGAAGACCCTGCGAGAAAATGTTTGTTCGTGACGAAGCATCGTCTGTGCTCTCACTACGAGGAGACTAGTGCTGGTTGATAGTAGCAGCAGTGGCTTTTTCCCCGGCGTCGAAAAGAGGGACGGGCCGGGTCGAACTATGGGTCTTGGGGAGATGAGATGGGGCTCCATGCTGTGCGGCGTCACTAATACATAGCAGTGCTAATCAATACAGTGCTGTTGTTATTTGCTCGTTCGGGCTGTGAGCGTAAGCCTGCTTCATGTGCAACACCGTCTCTGTCGACCACGCTTCGCTTGCCCTTCGACGCTGATTGTCGTCAATGGTAGCTGGAAGAGCCCAATCTCAGTCTAGATACTATGTATCATATCATATTATCATATCATATTCTCGGGTGTGGGCCGAATAAGCGACGCAGCCTCCCGCAGACATGACGTCTTTCCGCCTTGCGGTATGATGAAATATTCTCGCCTATGCACGCTGACGACCATGATCCCAAAGACTTGGAGCGGGAAAAGAAAGTGAGCTTTACAAGCAACATTAGGGTCAAGCGAGTATTAATATCAAGCCACCCGCTTCGATTTAGCTGCAGACGAAGGGCCTAATTAGCCAAAGCCACATACGCGCTTCTTAGAAGTATGTTTATGCAGGTTTAGAACTCTGCAGATTGCATAGATAGACACGTCTGCGAAGTGCAGGCATTCGGCACTTCAGGTGAAAAAAAGGCGAGAACAAAGGGAGTGCGCTGAAACTGCTCTCACCATTGCACAGGACAATAAGGCGTGTAAACTGTCCTCGACCGGGGGCGTACAACTAACTCAATGGGGCAAAGGCGACATGAGTTGGCCTCCCACAGACGGAGCATGTGAATTGGAAGAGCATAAGAGAGAACAATAGAGGTGCTTTCATATGGAAGCATGCCGGTATCACAGCGAGCCTGGCGCGACAACTACTATTTTTAATAAGTAGTACTACTAGTAGTGCTTCTACTAGTATGGCGCAAGTCCGAGGACCCTTGAGATGTTCAGCCGCATGTCCTAAAGCAATTTCCCGTGGGGGCTCCCATAACAGGTACATACATACCTTCTTCTGGCGTATACAACGCTGCAAAAGCTCATGATGAGAGCCACAATATCAATTTCCAGTCGTAGTGTTGGAGCTGGGGATATAACGTTTCCGAAAAATCAGTCCATGGTAGAGAAGAGTCTCGGAGGCGCCCAGAACATGTGCGAGAAAGTGCTGGCAGCATTAGAATAGATTGCCCACGTCCAATAGCATGCTGTTATGCGGCACTGGGTTCTCCAGGAGGATGCAAACTCGTGTCTAATGGCCCTATAAAATCCATCAAGTTATTGGATCTCGGGCATGGGACACTTTAGCTCCAGCCCGACGATGAGAGAGTCCACCCGCAGATACTATTCTCGTAAAGCGTGTCATTAAGCCAAGTAGGTGTTCTGTGCATGGATCTTATCGGTGAGCGTGGGATGAAATTGCGGCATATGCGGCCATTGACATTGCTCCACGCCGAGATCGTCGCCGTGCGTCCACTCCGACATTCCATGGCTTGCGGCTGGCCGTTCACCGTGGTGGTATCGTCCCTCGCTTGTGGCTTCGGTTAGAGGCCGGCGGCTATACGCCATGTTTGCAACTCGCATAAAAGTGGCTGCATGCTGCATTAGCATGCTCGCTTGTCAATCCACACTCCCCTCTTGCGCTTCATTGGAGGCCATCGTATGTGGTGTAGAGAGAGAAGAAGCTCAGCTAGCAATTGTGCTGAGCATAGAACAAGCGTAAATCAAATCTCAGCTCTCTCATGTGTGAGCTGGCTGAAGCAATATCGGCTAAGGAGGTGGATAAGATATTTCCTAACACCCTGACACTCATCCCGCAGGCACAATACTAGTTTATTGTGTAATCATGTTCATTCATAAAATGGACTGGCCTATCGTAATACTCGAGGGGGAATTGATAAAAATAAAAGAGAAAAGGAAAAAGTGCACTGACGGTGGCGGTACGACAAGTATGGAGCACTCCTCAGCCTATGCAGGGCCAGGCTCTCCCTATGCATGCTCCCCCTCCTTTGTAATCACTCCGCTATCATTATGCCAACGCCACTGTGATGCTCGCATATGGGGATCCTGGTACCTGGTCAGGAGAATAATCACATGGCATTATAGCCCGCCGTAATATTGGCTACAGCACGCGGTGTCCTTCGAATAAGGAAGCGGCAGTATGGGGAACCTAGAAGAAAAAGAGCAGAATAGTCATAGATGCAAGAAGAGCGAAAGAATTGGTGCAAAAGAGGAAACAGAAAGATTGTCAAGAAACCAAAATACATCGTAATCGAAAATAAAAATAAAGATAAATATTAAAAGAAAGAATCCACAAAGTAGAATCCAATCTGAAAGAATGTCAGAAACAAAAAAAAGTCCAAAATCCAAACCCGAATCTCCGCACCGTCGTTAGTATCCAATCCTGATATCCCATGCGTTGCCGCATTCATCCAGCCCAAAAGACCAAATATCACTTCCTTTGCCCTCTCTGGCCAAGACAAGGCCGAGGGATGAATCTATTCCAAGCAAAACAATTCTCTTTTTCTCTCGCAAAAAAGGATTAGCCGTAGCGTTCAATGTGTGTCCTAGATTTGCCGGAGCCTGCTGCTGTCGACACGAGCCCTGCGGCCTGTCCAGTCACGTATAGTTTTTCCCGTATCCCCAAGCTCCCATTTCCCAAGCAAATGTCGCTTTTGTTGTCCCCATTTCTAGTCCTTCCATTTGTTGCAATTTATTTCCAATAGTCCAGTATAATCGTTGCAGAGGTTACTTGTCGCGTCCATTCTTCAATTTTTCAATTTTTTTTGGTATGTTTCCATCTTGCATTAGTCCCCCCCTTTTCGCCTTTTCCCCGTTTTGGTCGTCGTGACGTTTTCATTCGTCGCAGGACCAACGCCAAGACGTAACGCTGCGTGCTTAATCTCCTCAACTGATAGCGCCTCGACTACAAAGTCATGTTTGCGCTGGGAGACAAGATCGTAGGGTAGTAACCACCTGAAGTGGTTTTCCCTTCAAACACTGACAGCTGGCGACGACTATCCGTGAGCGGTGGTGGATGAAAGACACGAGGCGTAATGTCGTACTCACTCTTTACCTTGGAGTCGGTGGATGACTGCGATGGAGTATTCTCTTGCTCGTTGCGAGTGCCAAACATCTCAAGAGGTCGCGGCGGAGAGCTGTCGTACATCGACCCAGGATAGTATAGATATCCCTTGGCGCCCCCAATAGCTTTGTCGTCGTCGGGAGACATTGTCACTTCTCCAGGGACATCATGGGTCCTTGGCGTTTGGTATACTGATCCTCTCGGGTCATAGGATGCACTATATGTGCCGTTCCCGCCAAGCATACTGGGATGAGGCGAATACTCTCCAATGCTCGCCAACGATGAATAGCTTCCCAGCGATCCAGAGGAGCCTCCTGGTGGGCCGCTGTGGCTTCGTCTCTTTTCGTTCTGGTAATGGCCGGGGGAGCGGCCGCGGACAATCATCTTCTCAGATTTCCTATAAGCAATCTTGACAAACTTCTCAGGAGTCTGTGAGCCAAGGTCTGCCCAGAGCTCGACCATCAGATGGTAATACTGCTGAGCAGCCCTTCGCTTGCCATTGTTTTGGGTGGCTTGCTTGAACTGGATACGCTCAAACGTGTGCTCAGTGGCAGGCTGACCAACCCCCTGTCCGTTGCCGTAACCGTCTTGGTACATTCTGGCGCCAGATGCGCTCGAACTGTCATTGTACATGCTGGTGTGATGAGGCGGGACGGAATTTTTGGGCGCCAGCAGAACCTTTTCAGGCTTGGATGTTGGCCCCTTGTCCCTCTTAGGAGTGTGTTGAACCAGCTCAATGCTTTGATCATTGTCTGCCACGACAGCAGAAATCGACATGTACAGTCCAAAGACTTGGAACGGCTGAGTGGCTCCAGAAGGGAAGAAATGTATTCCCGTGTTTGCGTAATGCGGTTGCAGCGAGTATGAGCATGCGCAAGTCATATAGTTTCGTCGATAGCAGGTCCATTCACCATCGGCAAGAAAGAATCCCTTGTCCACAGTGCCCGTAATCTCAACCTTGATTGCTGTCCCGTTTTCATACTGAAGGGACCCGGACGTCTGGACGGACATGAGAGGAGGCACAGCTGTTGGGGAGGGTCGGTTTGGGAACTGGCTAGCCTCCATCCTCCCAGCCGGAGCGACATAAGAGTTGAGTGGGCTTGGGGTTGGCGACAGTGGCAAACGGCGGAGAGGTACTCCCGGAAATGGCGGAGACCTGACAGGGTTCCCGGAGGCCCTCCTAAACGAGGGTGTTGCAGTAGAGTATTGTTCTCTGGTGCTTACTTGCGCTGTAATATGCGGTAATCCAGCGGAGCGGTGCTGTTGATGGGTGTGAGCCTGCGCCATACCACCGGGGGCCGCGGCGCTATTGTAACTGTATAAGCCGTTGTTAATAACAAGCGACCACGCCTCATTACTACCACGCTACTTTGCGCATCAACCAATACTACCACTCTGTCATGGACTGTCTTCAAGAGAGAAAAAAGACTTACTTGTTGTTTAGGCGGGATCTAACATCTAGGCTCGGAAATACTTGAGCTGCGGGCTGGTAAAAGGCAGCGTGTTCCTGAGGATAGTGCGTCGTGGTAGCAAGGGCAGCAGTTGGGTGAAATAGACCCAGAAGGCCAGAAGGCTGCGAAGGCTCTATTGCTAGAGCCGTCGTGTTTGCTTCTTGGGTGTACCTGGGCGTTTGATCAGAACAAGAAGATTCGGACAGGTATCTGAAAGAAAGGAATATAGGAGACAGGAAGAGAAGATCTATCATGAAAAGGTATATATGATAGGAAGAGAGAGAGAGAGAAGGAAGAGCAGGGCAGTGATGCAAAAGAACGTTTATGGAGATCAGGCCGGCTGAGTACCACAAAGCCAAGAAGCTACCTGCCAGCACGAGTGGTAGCACAAGGCCAATGCACGAATCCATTTAGCGGCCGGCGACAGAGCAGTGATGTGAGCACAAGCCCAAGTGCAACCATTGCTGCTGAAGCTCGCAGGCCCCGTTGCAGGTCTGCGTAGATAGAGGCGTATAATCCTGCTGGGGAGCGGCCCTCTGGCTAAGGGAAAGTTGGGTGGGTTGCCCAGGTAACGGTGGAAATTTGGCGTGGTGGACAAAAGGCAGAAAACGTACCTCATATCGCCAGACTGAGAGTGTATATCAAGGTAATCAAGCTCCGAGCATGGAGGTGGTGGCGAGGAGTCGTAGTCCTATAGTCCAGATTGATCAGAAAATTGGATTCTAACAGAACGTATATATGCTTTTGAGACATGACGGGGGATGAAGGCCAGGCAAGCTTTGGTGCTGCTTCTGCTGTTTCCGCTGTATTTCACTTGGCCACAGGCAAGTCGACAACACATTGAATGGTTATGGCTAGAGGCCTAGAGACAACTAGAAAGAAGCATTAACATAGACAATCTTAGAGTGTGGTACCCGAGATGAAGAGGGGGGGTGTCTTTTAGTTGTCCAGCCTGAGAAGTACAGTACATCCAGCTACATCCTAGTACTCGGAAGCAGTGCAAGAGCATATCGGAAGAAGGACGCCAAGCCGCGCCGGGGATAGATGCGGCTGGCTGTAACACCAAGCAAACTAGTCGTTGGAGGGGAGTCTGCATCTCCTTCGCATATGGAGCCGAAATCGCCCATGGCGAGATCTTGCCACAAGCGATAGCAGCTGCAAGTGCCAAAGAATCTGATGTATCTCCATCTTCGCCACATCCCCAGCAAGGGTGTGTGCAATGCGACGCCGATCATGTTGAGATGACGGGGACTTTTGACAGGGGATTCACAGCAAAGAACTGGATGCTCAAGTTTCATTTCAACGTACCTCAGTGTGAATGATGAGGCTTCTTCGTCTCGTATGGATTGAAAATGGCGAACCCATGTCGTTTCCGTAAAAAGCTGCTGTTAGGCGTTGGAGTGTCCCCAGTTTTGCTCGTAAAAGTGGTTATATGCCAAGACCAGGGAAAAAAGCGAAAGAATGTAGTAGTACCTTCTGCTGTTGGGAATGCATGCGATGGGATCTCTGGCGGAAAAGGATGCCCCGCAACAAGGACAAAACAAGGCTGGAAGGGCTGTAGAAATCTCAGAGCTGCCAACGACGTAATCTGCAGCCAGGCAGTGTGATGTTTAGGCAGTCAATCGCTGAGAAGTAAGCGTCAACCCGTACCCTTTATAGCCTCCCTTGATCCTTCATGTAAGGCGTCGGGGAGCTCCAGTACATTAATCTCTCCACTTCTGTTCGTCGCGCGCCTGGAAAGCAATCAGCTTGGAGTCAGTGTCGAGATATATGATATAGAGTATCAAGGTATGGAATGGCCAAGCTTCCAATCCAAATCTTGCAACGTATATCTAAAGTCTTTTAGTGTGGAGGAGTTCTTACCAGTGGTGAGGCAATAAGCAGAGATCAAACGAGCTGTTCGAGGGATGATAACGATCTGTAAAGCAATTTAGTCGTTGCTTTCATGACTGGCTCTCCTCCTATCCTATTTTGGTTCTCGTGTGGTAATACAACTGATGATTGATGGAGAGGGGGCTCTGAGTTTAGAGAATCTGCCGGAAATTGCACATGTATCGAGTTGGCCGTAGGATGTTGATGTTGAACGTCCAGTGATTTGGACGTGTGCGCAACAACAAGAAAGGAAACTCACCGAAATAGTCGGCCAAATGAAAGTCTTGAGTTTCTCGATGGTTCGTTGTCTGTAAGGGATGGGTGCACTCTTTGTGCGATGAAGGTATAATGTAAATTTTGATTAACAATGGTAGCTAGTGTCAAGACTGTGAGCAGGGATAGATGGGAAGAGCAAGACACCCTATAGCTTGAGGTGGACTCAGTTACATAAACTCCACTCGGAGATTCAGCGTAACGATCTGAGAAGAGCTCTGTTCTCGAGAGCTGAATGGCACGAGTAGAAAGTGATGGAGAAGAAACGAAAGACGGCAGAAAGTGAGAGCTTTTCGTGTCTTATATGTAAATACGGCCAGAAAGCCTTGAAAGAGCCCGAGCAAGAGTCTGGGTTAGACTGAGAAGCTTAAAGCAGGCGTCTATCGTGTGGCTGCTGAGACAGGGTCTAAGAGCTCAACTGGGAATGGTGTGGAGAGCTCACGAACCGCACGTAGTTTTCTCTTCCTCTCCTCCCTCTATCTCCACACGTATCTATAAGGCTTTATCCTGGTCCGGGCAAAGCAAATCGTATATGTGCAGGCTGTGCATCATCATGATGCATATGACTGGCTGCTGCGGAAATAGCCTGCTGGGGGAGCTCACTGAGCGAGCGAGGGCCAAGGTTTCCTAGTTACAGGAACAAGCAAGAAGCCGCAAAAGTCGCAGGGCTATGCCCAAGCTGCAAGCAACTCGCGACCCCAGCCAAACAGAGACTCTGAAATTCGTCGCGGAACCGGGGAAGCGACCCGTTTCGACTACAGCGAGCATAAATTGGCCATCGAACTCATTTGCAATCAGGTCATTGAGAGATGGCTTGCGTGCTACACGACCCGGAAGCTCGAGCATTTCGCTTCCAAGGCCTCAGTATAGATGGGCTGGGCATCGACCAGAAGTCCGTCCGAGAGCATTGTCCAGCTCGCCGCCATTGCGTCAAGGGTTGTCAAGTTTGTTTCCATCGCCCCGATTTGCTTTGAATATAGCCCGCTTGCTGCGATATCACACCCCTCCCCCCTTCCAGGGAACTAAGGCATGCAAGTATCCAGGCGCTATGCCTCCGCCTACAATGCGGTCTCTCGTGTGGGCCTGTTGCTAAGAGAGAGATCCTTGGCTGAGTTCGAGCGCTAGGGAAGCGGCGGGTAAGTGCATGAGATTAGCAATGCGTTGGAAAGAGGAGACGCCGGATTCACACCCAGCCACTCAGACTCAAAAGTCAAGCCAAGCTCAAGACACACCGGGCCCCCACAATATGCTCTCGTTCAAGGCACACGCCACTGCTCCTATTATCAAACTGCGATGGTCGTGACTTGGCCAGCGCACTGCATGTTCTTGAAATACTGAGATTATGGGGCTAAGCCCAACAGCTTGCTCATTTGCAGCGTGTCACTTGATCAAACTGTCTCTGAGGAACTAGAAAATTAGAGAAACGGGCAAAAGGTAATGCCATCTGAACGCCCAGCGTGGATCTGAACCTCGGTTTCCATGTTGGACCACGAGATACTTTCTTCTTAATGCAAACCGTATCACAGCTTTGGCAGCCATGATTGTCAAGGTAATGTTACAGACACGCGAGTCTGGCACTCAGGTTTCATCCTCCCCCCCCAGACTTTGGAACAGCCAGCAAGGTTACTATCAGGCGGCATGTAGGTAGCTTGACATGCTATGGAGACAAAGGAATTAGTAGAAGGGTGTGAGGCTGATGGCTCGCAATCCTTTGTAGAATGGCGCTTGCTTTGTGGCCACCGCAAACTCGATAGTGGCCAATTTGCCCGTGAATCATCTTCTTTTAGCACACTAGAGAGCCACGCAATGTTGATGATAGCCAATGATAAGGCCATCTACCCGAGCGAGGTGGACTTTGTCGTCTCCGATCAGCCGATCCGACAGCGGAGGAGAAAACAACAGAAAACCGGCCAGGCAAGCAAGGCACGTAGCAGCCCATCAATTTCTCCAATGGGAGCCTTTAAGGAGCCACTCATGCACTATTTGCCCGTGTAACCTTTCGATGGACCAGGGCAACACTGGCGTTTAGAACAAAGATGTTGTATCCTGCACACTTGATTTAACTCTCCGAATGAGAAAGGGGGGAGAGAGCATCGGAGGGAGTAAAATGGCTATGATCCCACATTGTCTGTCTGTGAGATCAAACAAAGACCCAAATGTTGACGTTGTCAAAGTAGGCTTTTAGAGCTTTGTCGGATCGGCCCGTTGCCAAAGACGCCGCGTGAATGTACAAAATGGTTCGTTTGGCCGAGGCAACGGACCAAGCAGGCCTGTCAGGAACATAGATATGAATATTCTTCAACGGTAGCGTCCAGAACGAGGTTGCCAGCGAAAGTCGTCTCGTCCATTGAACTCCCCTTGGACTCTGACAGGGAGGCCACACCAAGGTAGGTAACAGGTAAGAGATCAGATAGATCTCTGTACGAGGTGAGAGGTCGTAACGGCGATTCCGCAGCTTCACATCTCGATACGACCAAGGGCAATCCTCAACATGTCCTCCAAAATCTAAACTGAGCAGCTCCTGTGCTATCAATTGCCAGCCACAACAGAGCACGAAAAGCCAGAATATGTCTTGCATTGTTGGCGTTACCCATCTTTAGCAGCTTGTACCTGTAAGCCAAAGCAAGAGGATGGGTGACACAAGTTTGGGGGCGGCCTGGGCCTCAGCATTGTCGTCCTTTTGGGGGTGGAGGCAAAGGCAAATGCTCGGAAACTCATGCTGCTACTGCTGCTGCTGCTGCTGCTGCTGCATTGCGCATTGGAGGCGAACACGAGGGAGTCGGCCATGGTCCGAATCCCAGGGCCCCATGCCTTTGCGAGATCCGTCCTTGCTGGCCGCCTATAGTCCAATGGACCAGCGAGTCCAGGCCAGGGCCAGGCGAAAGGGCGTGACGAAAGCTGAGAGGAGCTGAGAGGGCGCCAGGGTCCAGCCGTTGAGGCTTTTGTCTCACGCTCGGACGTGGCTTCTGGCTGGAGCTGCCGCGGCAACTTGCCTGCATCCTCATCGACCGTCCATTGGCCGTCCATTGGCCACCCGCAGATGCTGATTCGCCCATTGCGTCGAGTTGTTGTCTCCATCACGCTCACCTCGAGATGTGCTGCATCTCAACCGGTGTGCAGGGGATCTGCAAAGGCTTTAACAGGGCGCTCAAAATAGCATTCAAAGACATACCCGTAGAGCGCAGCGCTCTCCACGAACCCGGAAGGTGGATTTGCAGACAATGCTTGGGCGGTTTCTGGCCTCGCCTACTGCGAGCGCCACGCCTGAGCGGAAGCTGAGGAAGGCTGTATGTCGTTGCATCGTGTCCGTTTATTGGCTGCTTGATTTCGGGCCATGGTTCCCCCTTGGATACGGAGCCGCATGCTATGGGCTCGTCCCGCCTGTAGCTCGCTCCAAAAGCTCCCTGGAACGGGCCCTGGGGGAGCTGAGATAGCGCCGGACGTGCTCGAACTGGACGCAGCTAGCGCCTGTGGAGGCTTGTTCGCAGGGCTGTTACAGGGCCTATGGGGCCTATCGCGTCTGGAGAAGAGGGGCGGTTCGCTGATCATGGGCATGGATTCTGCCAAGGGCTCACCGAGAGTGGCATGGAAGTACTCGATACGCGGGCAGCGGCAGATGACGACATTGCTGCTGCACCAGGCATTGCGACTCTCTAAGAGATGCAGAGCTATCGTGTATGCCACCTCATGCTCCATGCAAACGTATACGATACAAAAGTAGTGCCTCTAACACTGCTCGTACAAACTGGATCTCCATGTTACTGATCTTATCAGGGGCTCATGTAACGCAGCGAATGTACTACTTGCATGTACCTCTCTCACCACATCTTCTGCTCAAACCATCTACATGGCAGCTACACTTGAAACTACCACCTACGTGTAGGGCGACGATGATGATAGCGGCACTTGATCAAATACGCCCACTTCAAACACCAAATCATCATTTGCCGTAGTCATGTCGGCCGTTGCAATCCACACTCCTCCTCGCATGGGCGTCAGTCGAGGAAACTGTGATAGAAGCCGGGAAGCCTCACTCCCTCATCGCCAGTGGCGCGTCACAGGTCTCATCAGAAAGGGGGGAGGCTAGCAATGCCATCATCCATCCTCCACGCTGCCGTGGTCGCACGCAAACTCGTCGGCCGACATTATCAACGCTACGCCCAGCCTACGGCTTAGATCAGATCCACGGCGAAGGCCTCTGGTGGCTGTAAGTGAGACACTCTGTCGTATTACTTGCTAACATCGTGCCACCAACCAGTTTCCTCCTCCAGTCACCCGGATGCGCTCCGGACGGCGCATGATTGTGTGCCAGAGACAAGCTGACGCACACATACGCAGTGCTGAAGTGTTTCGACCCTCTGCTCGAGGCCACTGCTTCCTCTTCTCTCCCGGCCTTGGCTCCTAGCGTAGGCTCATGTTTGGTAGAGCCCAGGCCAGCAGAGAGAGGCACCTCGCCGACAGCCGATGGCCAGCAGGAGTTGCGGTAGCGGAGGATTACGGCTGCAAAGGCCTTCTGCTCGGCCTTATCCCAAACGTCTCATCTGTCCGTCTGGCTCTTACGCCTGATGCAATGCCCAGTGCTTACTTCTCGTGACGGCTGCTACGTCAGTGCAACGTGGATCGCGGCGTTGGCCCTGCTCCTTTCCCCCTATGCCGGTTACGCACATGATGTGGTGCAGCTCCCTCCAGCAAGATAGTTGAGGCAGGCAACGTGGTTTGATGGGACAGGCTGCTCAATATGACTGACGTGTTTACCCATCAGAGACCATCCTTGCTAGTTTTAATCCATTACTCCACGGCAAGTGCCTCTAGATACGGGTTAATAACTCTACCAGTTGTGGGAGCGCGTGACTGGGTCTGCAAATATCCAGCTTTTCAAACGCCAGGTCAATATTGTACCAAGCTGGGATACATTTGAGCTCGCCACACTGTTCCCGTTGAGGTTCTCTACCTTTTACATATGGAGATGCTTACCGTTGGGCGTATGGCTAAGTAGTCGTAACATGAGTAATGGGACAGAAATTTCACTTCTTTCATGATAGATTTTATACACTCGCGGCCGTGTGCCTACATTTCCCAAAACTACCGTGAACATCTCCAACTCGATGACCCCGTGTTGCTCTATACTGAATCTAAACGCCTAAAACTTTTGTTTTGTTTTGCCTGGAAAGCTAGTCTGGCTTTGTTGAAAAAGGTGACTCTGATGTCGAAGCCAGCTCAAATGAGGAAAGGAGGCGATGTTACTGAATTAACGTTTGTATGATCAAATGCAGAAATTTCAAAAATTCCGACCGTCTTTGTGAAATCGCTTTGACGCCGTAACTACCAAGAGTTGTTCACGCTTGCCTCTATGCCCCTATTACTTTGAAGAGCTTTACCGTAACAACTTCATCAACCTTCCAAGGAATGTATAAAAAGTTCAAATTCCTATACTATTACATTTTTGTAATAGACAAACTTCATAGTCCTCCATGTTCGTATCGACGGCTACTGCATCATAGATGCTCAAGCAGCTATTCACGTCCATTCTCTTTCAATCCCAGAGAAGGGGATACTTACAATGGCCTAAAAAGCTTCGGAAGGCTGAGCAACTGCACGATTGCCAGTTTGATGGTATTTTGGTATCGTTTTCAAAACGCTAGATTTGGCGATATATCATACATTACAGCCATCTGCCCGAGACTGCTCCCTTTCCTACATATACGCCCCATCCCAGGTTAACCAGAGCGATATCGTTGACCGATGATTCAGCCGCATGACAGTGAGTGACTGTTGCTACTAGTAGGTTTATCGGTAGCAATCTATATGAATGAGTGTAAACAAGTACAAGAGGTAGAGCATTTTTATCTTGCATCTAATTGCTCCTCACAATTCAGATAGTTGCCTCACTCATGCCAATCCAGGTCTCTGGGGAGGCTACAGTATCAACTTCTAGTTTTCCCATGTGCTAAAATGCCAGTTGACAGCCAAGACAGTTCTGAAGCCCTTCGCGTCACTCAGACCCCTTGATTATCTCCTGATTACCATGTTGTTCGCTTCGCGTTACCACTTTGGGCAACTTAAGCTCTCATAGTTTCACCTAGCTGATGAGGCAAGTATTACGATGGCCGCCTCTTGGCTCGAGAGATGGTCGTCTCCGTTATCCACCGCTATTGGTGCTCATAAGTACACGCCTCCCTTCTCTCTGCGCTTGTTCTCCAAGCTCCACTTCGTAGTCGACTTGTTAGGCGATTATCTAGACCTTCGAAGTTTGGTGGTAACACGCGGAAAATGACGGCAATCAGCTTCTTTCTTGCTGAGGGCAAAGCTGGGTTTTTTGATACTCTGAGCCACGAATATAAGATAAAAATACTGGAATACCAAAGCTGGAGTTGTCACTAAAGATAGATGGGGTTTATCAACTAAACACTGACACTCTAGTATCATCAAAAGGCTCCGAGACACGCTGACAGACGGATGTGTACATTGATGCGCGGAAGTCAGCAGATCTAGTTTTGCCCTTTCTAAGATGATCAAAAAAAAGCATCCAAGCAACCCACACCTTTCCAGTGGAAAGCACACGCTACCCCCCAAGACTAAACAACCCTGTGCTACTCACTCAAGGAGCAGAGCATGAATGACGCACAAGTGTCGCAATACGTTGGGCAATCTCAACCGGTGTTTGCATATAGCAGATTGCCAATGAATGGACCTGAGCCGCTGCGGGATCGGACAGTTCCAGATTCTCTCTGATAGTCTCGGAAGCAAATAGGACTGCAGCGTGTATGAACCCAGCTACGGGCCTGAATTCGGCCGCACCCCTATCAATGATGTCCACATCAATGGGGATATTTCAAACAAAGAGACCACTGCATGTACGGATCTAGGCACAGCAGCAGCAGCAATTTGGGGGCTTAAAAACCACTACAACTAAGAAGTATATGTATACCCCTTATATCCAGACATCAAGGGAACTTATTCATGGCAATAGAGCATGAGAGGTTGGGAGTAACCGCGATGTGTATGGACATGGGATGTCTGTTCCCCAAGCTTATTGGAGTTACTTACGAAATTGCTGAATTCCATATAGACAGTTCTTCAGAACTAGAACTAAGAGGCTAAAACTATGAGCTCTTTACAGCCACAGAAGATGTATAATGAAAGAAACGATTTCAACCATTGCAGCCACGTTGCATCACCTATCATTTTGGAGGGAGCAGGCTAGTACTAAAGGATTAGACATAAGCAGAAGAAGCGCTATAGATGCTAAAACGAATGTGAAAATCAACACAGGCAGACATGCGAAGCAATTGGTCCAAGCAAGCAGAGCTATCTGCTCTACGAAAAAACGCGGCACAGCACTGACAGGGGTCTCTGCAAGACGATAACTGCTCATGACTGGTTTCTGTTGGACTTCTAGACCGGCGGTGGCGCATGCAGGTAGCCGGGCCTGCTTCAGGGAATCATTGGACTTGTATAAGCCGTTTCTGCCTGCGGAGGAAGCCGAAGTGACTGTGACTCTTGATCTCATCGCCTTCCGGGGGCGGAAAGAAGGACGTCCAATGACTATGACTCTAGTCAAAGCGGGTCTAGTCCGGCCTTGTGGCGCCTTCGCCTTGGCCGGCGGGGCTTTGATGGTTTCAACTCTTGGAGCTTGTCCGGGGCCTGGAATCGAGTCATCGCTGCTGGTGCTGGTGCTGGTGCTATTTAAGCGGCTCGCAACCTGCGACTCAGTTTCTGCACGCTTCCGGTAGCACAGACACGTTGTTTTGCTGTTGGCATGCCGAAGAAAAGGCAGCATCTCAAATCATTCAAGCCCACCCCGACGGCATCTCCGGCGTCCGGGTCCTCGTCCAACGCAGCTGGTGAGTGTGAGCTGCTGCTGCTGCTGCTGCTGCTCTCATGTGCCTTCTTCGAGCAGGGCGCCCTCTTGCTTGCCTGACGGAAACTGACCGCGCTGATCCATAGGCAAGTCTTCTAGGAGCGTCAACGAGCTTCTGGCCAACCTGCGGCACGCCTCCCTTGGCCCAGAAGCTCCGCGACAACAACTACCCGTAGTCACACCGTCTGTGCCGCCAGCCCTCAGGCAAATACTGCAGATCCCAGAGAGCCCCCTCCCCGCACCCAGACGGCAGCAGAGGCAGAGGGTTGACAACAATGGCCGCCGGCTCCCTGCCGGCCCCCCTCCCCCTCGAAGCTGGGTTACTGCCAGGAGCGGTGCTACGAGTCGTCAAGGCCAACTGCCGCGTTCGACGGTGAACCGCTGCGGCCTGATTGATTCGACGTTGCCAGGCACTTACCTGCCAGCCTCCCGGAGTCTCATTGACACCATCCTTAGGAGGATTGCTGCTGACTGGGACATCCATCGGGAGTTTAATCAGTACTATCTGTACGACATACCCTCGCATCTCAAGTCGGCACTGATTCGATGGGTTGGGATTGCCAGCCCGGATGGCCTATCACTTGATGACTTGAAACTAATACTCATCCCTCCTGAAATCTATGAAGACGAAGAGGGCGAGGATGATGCCTCTGAGTATCATACCGCTGTTAACGCGGAAGTGAATTATCTGGACTTATCGGGCGCTTTAGGTCGCTCTTTGTCCCTCAAAGAAGTCTCTGAGCTTTTGTATCCGTCGAAGAAACAAGAAGACTTGGGCGAACCCCAAGAATCTTGGGATGAGAGCGAGACCATCCCAAGTCCTCCGAGAGTGCTGCTGCCAAATCTCACGCACCTCTCGCTTGCTTTCGACCCACAGCTATCCTCAGAAGCCTCATGGAAGCAACTGCTGGCCATGTCGTCGAAGCTCACCACCATCACGCATCTAAGTCTTGCTTACTGGCCTGACCCATGTCTTACTCCGCGATCGCGTCTCTCCACCGTGACTACACCACAGGGCCAGAGCGTCGCCTACGGAGGTACAAACTATTACTCTCATTCCATCGACCACGATTGGAGCGAGGCTCTGCTAGTTCTTAGACTGCTAAGCAGGAACCTGTACGCACTGGAGTTTCTCGATCTCACAGGATGTGCGCAGTGGTTCAAGGCTCTAATGCTGCACTCAGAGCATGATTTTGTAGACTGGGTCGGTTCGTGGGGAAAAGTGACGCTGCTTCGAATTTACACTGGGTGGACGCCTGGGGAAGACTCTCTTCCTTCTGAGTGGATTGCTTACCGCGAGGCTCTCGAGGTGGCTGCCAATGTGGAGAGACATATTCGGACTGCACGAGCAGGGAAAGGCAGAATCATTACGGTGGAGAGGAATAAGCTAGATCAATAGACGACGTGGACGGCATGTACCTAGAATAAAAAGTATTGTACGATCAATGGAAATCGTTATTGTTTTTTATACCTACCAGGTTGAGCTAGTCAGGTCAGTCGATAAACGCTTTGTTTACCGAGCAAATAGAGGAGCAAGCCTTTGATGCACTCTCACTCACATAGCCTCGCCAACGGTACGCCTATTCTCCATCGATAGCTCCACGGCTATTTGCCTCCCACAGAGCTTTAAATCTGCTGCGGCCAGGGGACTGCAAGAGCTCTCGTGGTGATCCAACTTCAACAACGCGGCCCTTCTCCATGACCACGACGCGGTCGAAATCGAGAATTGTCGCGAGATGATGGGCGATGGAGATAACGGTGTGGTTCTTGAAATGCGTATTGATGGTGGTGCGGACCAGTTGCTCGGTTTCTTTATCTAAGCTGTCATTTGTTATTCTGTTAGTCGCCCAGATTTCAATGGTTTGGATGAGTGGCTATGAGTTAATAATACTTACCTACTGCTAGCCTCGTCAAGGAGCACAACTTTGCCGCAATCTTTCTTCAACACAGCTCTCGCAAGGAAAAACAACTGCTTCTGCCCATGGCTAAGCATATCCTCTTCGAAAGTAGCATCAAGGCCACCTCGTGCGTCGATTACGTTCCATAAATTGACTGCTTGGAGAGCTTCAATAATGGCACCTTGAGGATATGAGGACGAAGGATCGATATTTTGGCGTATCGTGCCGGGGAGGACGAATTGGTCTTGAGCTACGGTGATAAGACGAGAGCGGATAACTTCCCGGGAGATGGTGTTCAAGGGAATGGAATCAATGCTTAGAGTACCAGAAGAGGGGTCGAGTAGGCGGAGGATGCTGAGAAGAAGAGATGATTTTCCACTGTTAAGAAATGTATTTGACATTAGCTGTAGAAACAGGGACCTAAAAGAGAGGTGGAGGGTTAAACATACCTTCCTGTACGCCCACACACTCCAACTTTTTCGCCAGGCTTCAAATCCAGGGTAACGCCATCGAGAGCCTTGATATCACCATTATCGCCATACGACGCTTCAAGGTCACGTATGACAACATGTCCTCGGTTAGGCCAGTCGACAGGCGGCTCTTGATTCTCTCCCCAAAGACTCTCGTTTGGGGTCTCCTCTGCAAATTGCTTGATACGAGCAACAGCCCCGATAGAAGTCTCAATAGAAGTCCAGAATTGGATGAGCATGTTGAGCGTTTCGCTCATGGAAATGAGCTGGACTAGAGATACACCGGCGAGTCCAACTGAGACGGAACCGCGAAGTTTGACGGCAAAACCAACAACGAGGAGAGCGAGTGCCGTGGTGATGAGATCGAGCACGAGGACAAGCCAGCGCTGGACCATGATGAGCAGATAAAAGGGCCGCTGAGACCGGTCGACTAATTGGTGGTTCTTCAAGATGGCTTGTTTTTGCCATCCAAAGGCCCGGATGGTGGAAATCCCGGAGAGTGTCTCCATGAACTGCGTGTAGACGGGGGCTTTTTCTTCGAGATCGAGAAGACGAAGCTGTCGTGATGTGCGGAGGTAGCCACGCTGGAGGAAGTAGTATAACGCTGCGAGAAAGGGGAAGCTGATGGCTACGTAGTAGGATGAGGCAGCGAGAAGGCCTGCTCTAGCGAGGACTCCGAAGAAGCCTATTTATGGTGCGTTCAACTTAGTACTCGTAGATATGTATATAGATAGTTGAGGTTTTACTAACTTGCTATTGTTATCACGAGGGCGAGCGGAAGGTTATTGTCTAGAATGCCAATATCTTGGGAGAATCTAGATGACTGATGTGAGCATTCTAGACTTTCATAAAAAAAAGAGATTAAGTCGCCTACCTCGTAGTAATAGCCCCCAAGTCGGTGGTCGTGAAGAGCGATAATGGTGCACTAAAATGATGAGCTTTGGGGGTGTATCTCATGGAAGCTACGAGAAATGAACGTACCTAATGACTGCTGAGAGAAGCCTGTGGTGAAGAGATAGTCCAGACTTTGCTGCAATGGTAACGAGAACGAACCTTTGTCCGTTAATCCTTGGAAACCTTTTCGGAGGATACGTTGACAGTTATTTACTTACCATATGAGCAAGGCAAACCAGAAGATGCCAACTACTTGCAAGACGGCGTAGACTCCGAGATATAAGCCTGGTCGATTATGTCCTTGTGCATTTGAATCTGACCAGAATTCTAGCCAAACAGCTGTTATTTTTTTCGTCAGCAAATAGCATCACAAAGAGAAAAAACCAACGTCATCATCCAGCTTACTTGGAAAGCTCTGTAAGAAAGCCCAGATGATTTCAAGGCCAAGCAAGGTAACGATGAACAGCGTCCCAATACTGCCAAAATAGTACTTGTAGACCGTCGAATCTCCTGTCTGCCTACGCTTATCGTCCTTGGCTTCAATCTGCTTCGCTTTGTATTCAACCTTTGGTACAGAGGGTTCAGCTGCAGACTCGGAGGATATCTCATCCTGGCCAGCGTCAGTAACAGAGATAGACTTGTTCTCCTTTAAAGACTGAACGTATCCACCCGCAGTTGAGAGCGTTTCGAAAGATCCTTGCTCTACAATCTTGCCTTCGCGGCCTAGAGCAATGATGTGGTCTGCGGATGTGAGGAAGTCGACTTAAAAGGCCACATTAGCATATAGTCTTTCACGAGGCAGCAAAGCTGCAAACGAACCTGATTGCGTAGCCAAAAGAATAGTTGTCTTCCATTTTCTCAGCAGCCCAATATTGGAGGAGAACAAATTCTTGAAGATGCGTTGCGAGGTAGCATTGTCTAATCCGCTAAAGATGTCGTCGAATAGAGCGATTTGCGGTCGAGAATAGACGGCTCTAGCCAGCGCCTTGCAAGAAAATAACGGAATCAGATGATCTTTCTTTTCGGTTTGCGGGAAGTTATTCTAGATTAACTCACCACACGTTGCTTCTGGCCGCCACTAAGAGCAAGTCCCTTGCTACCCACAACGGTGAAGTCGCCCTGAGGGAGCTGCCTAAAGTCTTCTTCAAGCTCGCACGCTTTAACGGTTTGGTCATATAGGTCTTGGTCAAAATGAGAGTATCCTAGGATGTTGTCTCGGATTGTTTGATTCTGGATATGTTGAGCTTGACTCTTTTCCTCGTGAGAGAATTGTAAATTGCTTACCATGATCCAAGGAGTTTGTTCACACCAAGAAAGACGGCCTCTAACCATATAAACCTTTCCTTTAGAATGAGGTACCTCTCCCAAGAGACCTTTGAGCAATGTTGTCTTGCCAGATGCAACGGGGCCTATTACGAGAGCAAACTGGCCGCTGCTAAGGGTGAAGGTGACATTGCTCAGAATAGATCGATCTGGCGAGCAGTCAAATGTAGCATCCTCAACGTCGATGGCGGCTGTCAAGTTGTGCGAAGTATTTGACGATATACTATGAGAAGCAAGAAGCCTAAAGTTCTGAAGCTCGATCAAACCAGCCTCTTCACCAATCACCGCAGTTGAGGTATCAGTATTGGCCACCTCGATCATCCGATACTCATCTCGAGTAGACTTGACCAAGAAGCTTTGAATACGATCAAAAGCACCAAAAGCAGCACTTAAATCAAGAACCACCTCAAAAACCCAAAACAGAGGCTGGGCGAGTAGCGTGATAAGTGACAGCGCGGCAAACATTCTCGTCGGGTCGAGTACTTGACCTGTTGCCGCTGTAATGCCTTGAAACATGCCAAAGGCAAGGACTGGAGATAAGAGCAGCGGCACTTGCGCAACTGAAGATGTCACAGCGCTCATTACTCTAAAGGGCTTGGAAGCGGCGATTTCTTGAACGCGGAGAGCGGCAATGGTGTCGGATAGATGCTTGGAGAGACCGGACATTTTGATGCTCTTGATGTGGCCAATCATGGCAGAAGTGATTCCTGAAAATGTTTAGAAAACTCATCTGCACAACTAAGAACTGCATAGAGAAAGATGGGCAATTGATCAAACGTCGCCTATAAAACTTACCAACTCGCTTTTGAGTCTTCTCCAGCCAGCCAACGCGATACTTCTTCGCAAGAGGTGAAACAAGCATAGTCGCTACCAACGAGATAGCAGATATGATGATAGGCCCTGCCGCCGCATATCCAATCTGTTGGCTCAAGAGCCATGTCGCAATGGCAATTTGGATGATATTGGCCCAGAATTCGTGAATCTCTCTCATAGCACGGCCAATGACATCGACCTGTTGCACCAACAAAGCAAGAGGTTGTTATCTTAGCACACGTTTTAACAATGGAAGCAAAAGACGGATATCAGCACATGGCAACTTACATCAGAAGACATGAGAGTCAAGGCGGCAGAATCGTCAACCACATCGACGCTCACTTCCGTAACCTTGGAAAACACCGCCGAAACGAGGATTCCTCGGAGCATCGTCACGCACCGGCCGTTTTGATGCCAGTAAAGAGCCTGCGTGGCTGCAATACCAATGTACACGAGTCCATAGGCGCCAACGAGCCCGTAGCCAACGTTCACAGACTGCGACTCGTCGTTGAGAAAGCCGAGAAAGCGGGTCAGGACCAGGGGCTGGCAGATGGTAAAAGCGAGCAGGGCAAGCCGTGGGACAATGACAGAGAAGAGAGCAGAGCGAAGGGAAGCGATGCAGCATAAAACGAGACGATGCTTGCTCGCCTGGGTTGAGGGAGATGCTGGATAGAGAGCAGATTTCCATCGAGTTAGTAAAGGTTGATGGGCTCGACAAAGCTTCAGCTCTGTTGAGCGTTCTACGATTTATAATTTAAAGTGACGTATGTCTTGTATTGTATTCTTTTACGACTATCTAATAGGGAATTGGGAGAGAAGAGGGTAAAGCACCAACCTTTCCGCCAGTGCCACCAAAACCTCTCGCTCAAGCTCGAGACGCTCATCTCCTCGTCCAGCGGAAACAAGTCCGCCGGCCGCAGCAGACGCCGGAAGCCCGTCCGGAGAAGTGGAGCCACCCACGCGAACACGGCCCGGCTGTACAAACCGGACGTCTCTTCCGGGGCGAGTGTCGGCCGGCCAACAACGTGGCTCGCCTTTTCTCGTGCCTCGAGAACCAGCAGTGCCGTCTTGAGAGCAAAAGACGCTGTGAGAACAGCCTGGATGGACGTCGCAGAGAGGGCGATCCACACGGTGCGCAGGACAGCAGCATCGAGCAGCAGAGACGCGAGCAAGAAGAGATTCAAGAGTGAGGAGGGGTGGAGGGATCTGGCATGTTCATAATACGAGAGGGCGCAGGCCATGAGGCTGGAGATGAAGGAGATACTTGCCGCGGCAACGGACACGCTGTTGAGACGCGCCGGTCCATGGTGAGTTGCCCAGAGCGCGATGAGGACCAGCTGGAGAGCAGCGAGGCAGCCTGTGACGGACTGTAGAACACAGAGGAGGGGACGGAGGCAATGAGTTTCTGTTTTGATGCCTTCGTGGGAGCGTATCTGGCGGTTAAGCGACTTACCAGCTTGATCACACGCGACGCTTGGTCGACCACTTTGATCGGCGACTTACGCAGTTGAAAAAGCCGCAGCGGCGCCATGAGGACGAGCATCGCAGCGGGCAGAAGCACAAAGATGGACTGCTCAAAGACGAGGGTGAAGTCGAAGCCATCGCGACAGGCGGCGTCGACGACAGGGCCAAAGGCAGCGTCTGCGGTGGGGGCGCAGAGGGGGATGGAAGATATATTCATGATGAAGCAAGATGTCAATTTTACTTCGGTTGAAAAAAATAAAGGTGAAGATGAAGAAAACAAAGCCGATCGAGGAAATGGGGGATGAGCTGCTTTTAAGCGCGTGTAAGCTGGGCCTAAATGGGAATTGAAGGATTGCCGGCTAATATTGCATTCATGTTATCAGCAGCTATCTCGGCGCTGCTACACCTAATCCGCGGTAGCGACAAAGATCTTTTGTCGAGGCAAGGCCCAATATTACCTGCCGTTTCAGGCAATGGTTCTGATATCGTTTCAAAGACCTATGAGATACTACTGACGGGCGTGCTATTTGCGCATTTTCCTTGGTCTGGGAGCAGAGTCAATGCAATTGAGCTCAACTGGCGCCAAGACTAGTATCTTTACTTGGACCCGTTATAAGATAAACACTCTCAACTATTGAAGTCAACAACAAAGGCACACGTTATGATGCAGTCGATCTCGAAGCAAATTATTTCTACCGCTGTCTACATTGCTCCTTACAGCAGCTGAATTAAACACTTCCAGCAATAGCTAGCTCTGTACGCGCGTTTTCAGCCGCATAGAACCAGCCTCAATTATAGACGTTGGTCCGGCGCCAACCGTACCGAGGCAAACCGATTTGTAGCAGGAAACAGGTAATCTACAAACATCATCTACATATCGTAGTACACATCAGCGCCCAAAAAGAAACGAATATTTAGAAGAAAAAAAAAATATCCACGTGGTTTTAACAGATTTATTTCAAAGCTTCTTTACGCTCTATGGCATTCTATCCCACAGGTGCTCTCTCTAGCAACGTTGCGTCTTGCTTCGTGTAAACATCCGCCATGCATCATTCCCTTCTTTCGCTTATAAAATAAGGGCGATTTACTCGGGAGTCTTGTTGGCGTCAAACTCGTACTTGACCTTGAGCTCCTCGACCAGCTCGACGTACTTCTTCTGGGCCTCGGCGGGGTCGGTGATGCCCTCCTCCTCGTAGGCGGCCTCCCAGGCCTTCCACTTGGCGCGGGCCTGCAAAAGAAGATGAAAGAGTTAGTATTAGAAAAAAGAATGCAACAAGTTGGGAAAGAAGAGCTCTTGTTTGCGCAACGTACCTCGAAGGAGAACCGTGAAGGCTCGTCAGACTTCTTGAACTCAAAGCCCTTGCCAATCTTGAAAAGGGCTATAGAAGACGTAAATGAATCAGCACAAGGTCCCCATTTGCATGTTTGTGCATTTCCACGTTTCTGTTCTCATAGTCATAACAAACGCCTCCGTCGTCTTTCCAACCATTTCCAGCTCTTTCTAAGGGAACGGAAAATCATCGCATACCGTAGAGGCGCAACAGGTCGTCGTTGCTAGGCTTCTTGGTCAACTGCTTGACCTCGACCAGGGCCTTGGAAAACTCGGGAGACTCGGGAGCCGACATGATGAAAGATGACTTATTTCTTTTTCTCGGTGTATGATTAAAAGAAAAGGAAGAAAGAAAGGTATGGTCCGATTCAAGAAAAAGAAGCTCCCCTTGGTAGCTCAGCGGGGTAAAACCAATGAAGCTAGCTGTCTAAAGGGGGGAACGCCCAAAAGGAGGGGCAGATGACGAGCATGAACCTCTGTTGGGACCGATTGGCTTGGCTGAGGAGCACAGAATCACATGTCGGATGCATCAGCTGCAGCTCCTGATAATGATGATAATCCTCACATTTCACGTGAGACGCAGTCTTCTAGAATTACAGAGCAACGCAATGGAAATATACGATTGTAGCGAGAAATAAAACACAGGCCTTCCACTTCGGCGACGTCTTATGAGTTCAAAACCAACTGCACTTCATTTGATTACCTGCATTCCCAGTCTATGCATGCACACTTCCAAAAACAGATATATACCTACCTATCCTTACATCTGCAAACCATTATCAACCAATCTCGCTATCTGGTTCACGCTCACAAAGAAAAGATAAAACACCCAAAAATAGTTTCCCTCCATATAGAATCTGCCCACATCTTCTCTCTCTCCATCCACCGCCAATTCCTCTCCTTCGTTAACCCCTCTTCTCATCTTCAATCTCCCTCTGCAGCTGCTCCAGGATCTGCTCGCGAGACCGCAAGTGAGCTTCTAGGCCATCCACCTGTTCACGCACCGTCTCCAAGTCATCCGAGATGCTCTTCAGGTTTCCGCCTACGGCGCTCTTGCCTTTGCCCTCTTCCAAGTCTCTCAGCTCTCGTCGCTTATAGTCCAAAAGCTGATCCAGCTCCTTCTTGACGAGCGCCGGTTTGGTATCGCGCTTCCCGCCCTTGCGCCTCTCTGCAATCTCCTCTACCTTTCGCATCTTGTCGTCCAAATCCTGCAGCTGGCGCTTGAGTCTGACTTCCTCCCAGTCTTCTGTCTTCTCCGTCGAAAAGTCGGTGCCCGCTGTCTTGAAGCCGCTGCGTCCGAGTCTTGTCAAGTACTGGTCGCCAAACTTGGCCTTCTTACCCGTTGTTGTAGAATCATCTGCCCTCGTAGCCCATCGTGACGAGACTCCTGTCCTTTGGTTGTCAACCTGGTAGTCGATCTGGTTACGCTCAAAGCTTGATCGCAGTGAGGCAGGTACTGAGCGGGGAATGCGGTATCCGTCGTGTCGGTTGTTGAGAATATGCAGGAACGCGAGACATGCGTCCTTGTTGATGCTGGAGGACGCAGAGGGGTTGATAAGGTTCCAAGCAGATCGAACGTCTGTATCGGGAACATCTAGGGAGTCGTAAAGATCCTCAAGGGATGCGACTACATTCGGGTTAATATCTGGTGCGACTCATCTTGGCAAAGGTCACAAAGGGGTCATCTAACATGCTACTTCTCCTCGCATATCCCGATTCTCTTGGTAAATCTGCTCGTACTTGGCCTTGTCCTCGGGCTTCATATACCACTCAAACCCATCTTTCAGGCCGGGGGTGTCATCCTCGTCTTCGACTTGCTCAAATTGTGGCTGCTTCCCTGTGATGGCTTTTGTGGCTTGCACCAGATGGGCTTTCGATTCCGGGATCATCCAGTCGGGCAGAGTCTTTGGTACGTCGGCATATTCCTAGCAAACGCGGAACTTCATTAGTTTTATAGCCCACACCATTGAGAGCGCGTCTTCGAGTATTTTGAGAGGGTAGATGGCTTACTCCGTTTAGGATATCAAAGATAAGCCGCATAGCAACGCAAAACTCCTCAAAGTCCAGGTTTCCATCGTTATCCACGTCCGCCAAATCCCACACCCTTTCTAGCTGGTCATCGCGGAGGCCACTGTTCTTGAGCACGGGCGCAGCCTGTTCTCCAGTAAGGAACTGTCCGCCGCCTGTTCTGTCGACAAAGATATTCCAGTAGGTCTCAATTTCCTTCTGCTCAATCTTGGGAGGCATCGTCTCTGGAGCTCTCGGATCGATCCGAGGAGTGCCGCTCTTGGGGTGTTTGATTGGAATCAGCTCTCGAGACTCGATCTGCAGTCGCCAGGCGCAACTGAAAAAGGCGCAAAGAAAAGGACCGTGACGCCAAGCAGAGCACCAAAAAAATCGCGAGAGCGCAAAGACAGCCGCAAGGGACGAGAGTGAGCGAACGGGTGCAGAAGCAAGGAGTCGCAAGCGAGTGACGAAGCTACGGGCGTTCCCTCTAGCGATGCCCAGTACGGAGAGACCTTAGAGCGTGTACATGCGCCTTGTACCTGGACGCTACCTGGAATGGACGGGGTACATGTGCCTGTGCCCGGATTGGCGGAGCCTAGGGCCTCGCTTTTCGGCTATGCGAATTTGAATACAGGGACCCGAGTGGCGCTACACTATCGATCTATGCTCATTCTGTGCTTCTCCATTGCAGAAAAGGTAAATTTGAGTAAGAAATTTTTATAGTTTGCTTCCGCGACCATCAGGTACCTACATATTCCAATAAGTCAATCCATATCTCGGTGCTATGAATCGGTAGGCTTGGCTCTCGTGCCATGACACAATACATGTTTCATAGACGTATAAGCGGCCTACTTGCATATTTTTTGATAAGCCGTCACGCTTCTACAGGTCGATCATTTAAACTGGCCAATCATAGTCACTTAATTTTCTTTGCGCCCCACGCGACAGCCCGAGAAGGGGGGAAAAGGTCCAGGGTCCATCCAGTTAGAGGGGCGTCCATTTTCTTTTCACATTGTCGGAGACATTGTCAGTCGGGGATTTGTTGCCGGGGCATAATTTCATACCACTATTTAAGCTTGATACCCAATCGCCACGCAGGAGTCTCGAGTGGCCATTCTTGTTTTCAATTAAACGGCGTCTTTGATTTCTTCTTCTTTTCTATAGATACGATCGTTAGATCTCAAACAAACAAGCAGCAATGTCGACAACCACCACCACCACGACGGCCCAGCCGATTACGGCTGAAGCTATGCTTCGTCTCTTCCCGGACATCGATACCACCAGCGAGGCACTGACGGGCCACGACGAGGAGCAAATCAGGCTCATGGACGAGGTCTGTATCGTCACAGACGAGAACGATGCGCCCATTGGAACTGCGAGCAAGAAGATTTGTACGAAGCTCTCTCTCTCTCTCTCTCTCCCCCTTGAATCATGAAATGGCGGGGCATGGTCATGGCAGTTCTGTCGGCTAACAATACGACTTCTTCAACGTATAGGCCACCTGATGACCAACATCGACAAGGGACTCTTGCACCGTGCCTTTTCCGTCTTCCTCTTCAACGACAAGAACGAGCTGCTCCTCCAGCAGCGCGCCACTGAGAAGATCACCTTCCCCGACATGTGGACCAACACATGTTGCTCGCACCCTCTGAGCATTCCCACCGAGACTGGCGCAAACCTGGTCGACTCCATTGCTGGAGCGAAGCGTGCTGCTCAGCGCAAGCTGGAGCACGAGCTTGGCATCAAGAAGGAGCAGGTCCCCTTTGAGGATTTCCACTTCCTCACCCGAATTCACTACAAGGCTCCTAGCGACGGCAAATGGGGCGAGCACGAGAGTACGAGATTTGAACAACTCCCAACCCTCGAATGAAGACATTTAAGCTAACGGGTACTCTTGTAACAGTTGACTACATCCTCTTCATCAAGGCCAACGTCGACCTCAAACCCAACGAGAATGAAGTGCAGGCCGTCCAATACGTCACCCCCGAGAGCCTCAAGAAGCAATTCGAAGACCCCAGCCTCAAGTTTACCCCCTGGTTCAAGCTGATCTGCAACTCTATGCTCTTCCAGTGGTGGGAGAGCTTAGACTCTGGTCTGGAGAAGTACACCAACGAGCAGGAGATTCGACGCATGCTGTAAGGAGTACTAAGTTTACGTGAATACGAATACGACTTAGGTGTGTGGCGAGGAAACGTAATGTGGATGAGCGAGCGAATTCGGCACAATGTGCGTCTCTTCTTTTTCTTCTCCAAGGAAGACGATGATACCAAAGACGATAGAAGCTATTGGGGTTCAATATACGGCTAGATTTGCTTGTATTTGTTGAGAATCTCTATTAGAATATTTCTTATAGCAAAATTAGATGCGGTAGTGTCATAACCAAGATATCAGTACGCGAACCAGTGCATATGGGATCAGTGATGATCGCGTGGCATCGACGACGTAATTACAGGAAACCTCTGATTATGAAACTCGAATCTGGGATTTGTTACACGCAGGTGGCTTATTGAAAACGTTCTCGTACTCGTATCAGAATTCGTATATCTGTGTTGCAACTTGGTCTAAAGCCATGAGCTACCCTAGAGATGTGTAGGAGATTCGCGTGCTTTTGCCACTGACAGCGCAGCTCTTCTTGAGAGTTAACAAAGTTAAGGATGAACTGAATGAAAATAGTCTAGCACTTGAGAGAATGATCATGATCAGATTGATGTAGTTTCTTTGTCATCTTTACTATCAATGATGTCAACACTGTAACTAGCCACATGTAGTTACCTATCCCATACTTCATGAGAAGAACAGCCCTTGAGCTTATGTGCCCAACTGTATATCCTATGGAATCGTCAAACACTATTCGTTTGCCTGTGTCACACGATTCCTACCTATGGCAAGCAAGCACTAAATCCAAGGTTAGAATGTCGTATATGTGGAATCCATACAATAGAGTTTCGTTCACATGCAAATCCGTGTTCTCCATGTGAGCGCCATTCCCGCAACGCTATTATATAACAATAACGCCAATGATTGAATGCAATTCATTCTTAGGCTATCATGTGTTCTTTAATGCAAACGTTAGTTCATCATTACCCCAGAACCCTCAAAGAAGGTTCTCCTTCCCCGCAATATACATGCCGCGTCTGGCATCCCATCATCAGCAACACGTTTGGCACGAGACCCGGCACGCATGCCTGGCCGTCTCATTGTGTTTATTATCGGCAGATAAGGGAAGGAGAGAATCTAAATGCAGCCAACCAGCTGTGCCTTTATCCCCCACGCCCTCCAGCAGCTTACATACACTTTACATAATGGGGGTTTCGAGGACGCATTGATGGACAAAAGTTTGGGTTCCCATCATATCCATTCTCTAACCCATTCATGTATCTTATCATGAAAGTCTGGAACGCCCAATGAATAGTCACGGCCAATATCTAGGCATTTCGGTGAACTATTCATGCTTCAAGCCTACATCTTTATCGTCTCTCTCCATCTATAGCGGCTTACCGGTGGCTCATTGTCCATTTTCCGGGGGAGGCTCCAGGCGGCCCCATCCACCAACTGCTAGCGCTGAGGCCCGCTGCAGGGCGCGCGGGGCCGCTCTGGTTCATCCGCCAAATCCAGTACAAGCTCGCCGGCAGACTCCGCACGCGTTGATATGGGCGTCAACGGCGGAGAGGTGCGAGATAGCAGCCTGTTGCGGTTAGGCTTAGGGGTTGGAGAGAGAAGGGATCTAGATAACAGATTCCGAGGTGAATGGGCAGATGGCCTCCACAGTACATGTATGTACAAGTGCGTGTACCTGTATCTGACTGTGATTGACTGTCACTGATACCGATAGATAGGTGTATCTGTATCCCGCTGTAGTTTCGGGTTGTCAAAGACGCTCTCAGTGGCATCAACTCGAAGCAACTAGACTATACAGGTACATGTATCATCAAAAATCCGAGGCTCCGTTGGCCACACCGTCAAGCCCACCCGACCGAGGCGGCGTATCATCTGACCCAAAGCCTGACCGCGGCGGTCCGCCAATCGTGGATCCCCTCAGCCAAACCCGGCCAACCAAGCGTGGGGAGCCGTCCACACGCCATAGATCTTGGCTGCCATAACTTGCTGCTCTTATCTCTTTGTTTCTGGACAAGTTGCCGCGTTCCGGTGTCATCGGAGCCTTGCTCCTCCCGTATCATTGCCATGGCTTTGCTAGCGGCCGCAGAGACAAGTAATCTAGTGGTGTTAGTCGTAACTCCTATTCCAGTGGTTTGCGTGTGTGTTAGTCCGTAAAACGACGATTTCGTAGCAGGGTGCAGATCCGCGTCAGATCCCTACAAAACCCCCCATCTTAGCAGACAAAGTAACCCTTCTTTCTCTTCCTTTTCCACCTCTTGCTTCACCTGGGGACTTTTTTCTTCGATCTGATCTAACTCCGATCTGGTAAACAGTCTGCCTACACGACAGCATCTCGCCAAGAATAGCAACACTTTAACCCACTGCCGGATATAAGGCTAACAAGAAATAACAAGAGAGGTTAAAGGAACGGGGAAGGGAAAAGAGAAAGACTCAAAACTGGGCCTAGGTCATCCATACTGAGGGCTTGGGAACGAGGCTATCCTTTTTGTATTCCCCTCTTTGGATCTTGTGTTAGAAGAAGTCGCCTGCTTCAACTACTGCTCTTGACGCACTTTACTCTGACTATTGGTCAACATCATCACTGCTCTCACAAATCCTCGTCCAATTGTGGTCTCCGTCTCCATTCTTCACCCTCTGCATAGACGATATCCATCTGGGTCGTCGTCAGTGAAGTGATTGATTGCTTGACTGGTTACTTGACTGGTTATTCATCACAGCACGCATCTTCGCCCTCCACCTTTTCTTGAGCTCCAACAACTACTAAAACAAACCCATCGATATTCACCCAACATATACTGCTCAACTCGGCTTATTTCTCCCTTTCTCCATCTCTCTCTTCCATACCCCCTATATCTTCAAACTTGACGGTCCTGGGGCCTTAAAATCCACATTGATGTCGGTTGACCTACGCGACTGTCTCAATTGCCTGCAACACCCCTCCAGGTTTATGCCCATCTCGAGATCACAACTCTCAAGAGTCCATACCGGCGATAGTGCCCATAATATAATACGTGAGTAGAACTCGTACAGAGTCCCCATCTGAATCAATTCATGATCATTACTAAACCAAGCGCCTCTTTCGATGCGGTTTCCACATATACAGGAAGTATTGAGTGAATGGAAAGAGTGAAATCAGCAACTCTAAAATCAAGAAAAGACAAAACAAATAAGCAAAAAGAAAATCATAAAATCAATACCTTTAGCCCAACATGGCGCACGTTATAAGCAAAACCGCCGTTGATACCATCACGACCACTGTCGCCTCCACTGCCGCCGCAACGGCCATCGTGGACCGCCGCCGCTCTCTCGTCCCTCAGTCCTGGGAAAAGTCTGTCCGCAAGATTGGCCTGACTGAGTGCGAGCAGGCGGGAGTCTCACTCGCCCACGCCTTCGCCGCCGATGCTTTGAGCATGTATCTCCTCGACGGCGACGAAACGGATCGTTACTCGGACGAAACCAAATGGAAGCTTCACGTCCACATCATGACGTATCTGGTGTCCGCCCATTGCTACAGCGGCCTGGTCACAACCATTGGCCCGGACTATGATTGCGTGGCGTTGTGGTGAGTTCTGTCTTATACTCTCGTCGTGGGATATACCATGCTGATGAACTCGCCTTAGGATGCCTCCTGGGATGCACATGGATGACTGGTGGACCATCTTCCGAAGCGGCATGTGGCGCCTCTATTACCAGCTTGGCTCAGAGGGCCGCAAGCGCTACTATGAAGATGTGCTGCCTCTCCTGCACGAGACAATGGACGAAGTCATGGGAGACCGTGAGTACTATTACCTTGCTTATATCGGAACCAAGCCCAGCGCCAGGGGCAAAGGCTATGCCAAGAAGCTCATCATGGACATGGCCGCAAAGGTGAGCGGGATCTCTGTATATAAAGGGATAGACGAGACTGAAGAGTTAACCATTCCGCATAGGCTGATACCGAGAACCGCGCCATGTACCTCGAATCCAGCTCCAGCGAAAATATCAGCTACTACGAGCGCTTCGGCTTCAAGTACCGCAAGGAAATCTCCTTCAAGAGAGGACCGGTGCCTGTGCCGCTGTACATCATGGTGCGCGAGCCAGTAGCCGTAGCAGCCAAAGTAGTCGAAGAAGTGTTGCCAACGCTGGACCAGATTGAGACTGTCAAGGTCTAATGTCTGCGTGAAGTTGGCTACTTCAGCTTCGTTTGGTATGAGAAATGTGAGGATGACAAGATTGTTGATAAGTTTGAACCCCCTTCTGTTTCGTTCTCTCCTTCACATGGCTCTTTTGAATTTGAATGTTGCGTGGCATGGAAATCGGTTGCTCAGTCGCTCATTAATGTCATCATGCGTTGAAGTAAGCTTGAGTTTGGACAGATTTTGTATTTTAACGTACGTTCGTTATTGCTTGTTGCTGTTTTTGTCATCCTGTTAAGTGAGATACCTTTTTCAACTCACTTGACCAAATCCTGTCTCTACCGTACACTAGGTATTATATATCAAAGAAAAGATTTTGCGTCGGTGTCAAACTGCTCCTAGTAATCTAAAATCGCCCATGTCTCGTCATCCACAGTTGTATATATCAGGCCCTGTCCCAAAAGCTCGTCTGCCGCAGTGATGACTTCCCGCATTCCCATGCCCGTCCCTCCCGTAATGTTGCTCAGATGCATTCCGTCGTTGCCCCCAGGTGTGTCGTTCAAGTAGCTGTATACTTTCTTAGCAGCAGCGCTGCATCCAGAGAGCTTGCTGGGGAGTTGGGCGCCACCAGCGCCGGCATTGAAGCCGTCGCCGCCGTCAACGAACATGCTATCTCCGTTGGCGTTTCCTCCTGCACCGGCAGGGCCTTGGGTGTTTACTAGATGCACGTAGGTTGCCTCCAGCAGGTGGTAGTTGACCTCGTTGAAGTCTGTCACTGGCCGGATGACGTGGGCTCCAACGTGTCGCTTATTGGAAAAGGACTTTAGGCGGCCCCATACGCGGATGTGTGAATCAATCTCGAAGCCGGGTTCTGCGTCGCCTTGCTTGTCTGCGTCGATCCACTTCTTGACGTCAATCTGCCCTGTGCCGTCGTCGACCCGGATTGTCAGGTTGGTCTGCTGTGGGTTTATGCTGCGGACTTGGCCGACGAATGTGATTTGTGTGATGGGAGTGCCGTCCACTTTGAATTCTGCACCAGAGTACGGCTCCTCTGCGTCGAGGATTTGCTTGATTGTCAAGGGTCGTAATGATTCATCCTGGTATGACTGTTGAACTCGGGATACGTCAGCCTTGAGACTCCGGGTGTACGCAACATCAAACGAGGAAGCACTGAGCTGACCTTGCCGCCACCACCTTGGCTGCCTTGCTGTGAACCCCCTCCAGCGAAGAAGCCGCCAGAATCATCGCCGCCTTGGGCGCCGTAGCTAGTTTTGGAGTATCCGTCGTAGGCAGCTGTAAGAAAGAAATGAGCACAAAGTAGTCAAAAATACAAATGGGGTTTGCCTTACACATTACGGCGACAGTGATGTGGTGAACGCTGGCTTTTCTCGAAAGTGGGAGACGCGTTTGAAGCGCGCCCTGTTTAATGGATTTTGCCCCGCGACAAGCTAGGCACGAGCGTGAGCACGAGCACGAGCAGTGGGCTGACTCAGCAGCTGAATCCAGGTACCGTAGTGCCTTTACATGACTTTACGGTAATTTTTTTTTTGAATGTAGCAATCGTTGACCTCTACTCTATTGCCTTTGCAATAATCAAAAATTGACCCAAATGCACGTGGCTTGTTTGTAATCAGATACCTGCTCAGATTCGAGATGCGTAGAATAATCCCAATCTAGAAGTTGGAGACTTTTACCCTCGGTACGACATAGTAGATACGTAGGTAGTAGGTACTGTAGCGCATGCATAGTGGCTCGCTGTAATACCTACATGGACCTACATGCAAGGCACTCACTGTATCAACACCACATTCTATTGTGCGATTCAATGAAATGCTGCTTTCAAGACCCATCTCACACAGCTCATCCTTCAACCAATTATGAACTGCTATCTCATTTTTCTAATCAATTATCATCTAAGCAGGCATATATAAATCAATAGCACCGTCACGAGATTCCCGCACGGCATCTCCAACAGCGCCGGCCAATAAGCGCTCCGCATCTTCAGCCTCGGCAAGAATTCCAGCCGGGGTTCGCATAATAGCCTGCCTGACTCGAACTGGGTGGCCGGGAACGCTGCCAGTCAAACCACGGAGCATGATCGCTTGATCGCATAAGCCGGGGTTGACATCAACAACAAAGTCGCCTTTCCACCGTGTTCTACACAAGTCTTCCCACGGCCACCAATTAATACCCGGGCCACTGTCTTTATTCTTTTCTTTTCTTCTCTTGATCTCCTTGCCACGTTCATAGCGATAGCGTTGCGTTGACTTGCTCCTGTGTTTCTGTCTGCGCCCTCATCAACACCAACCCCAACATCACCAACACGCAATCGTCACATCCACATCCGCATCCGCCATGGGGAGATCCCAGACCGCGACCCTCCCGCTGATTCCTCTCCCTCGCGGGACTGTCCTGCTCCCCGGCCTCGCCTACCGCGTCACCGTCAACTCTAGCCGCCCCGACCTGCCGGCCCTTCTCGCCTACGTCTACGAGCTCGCCGCATCAAAGGGCCCGGATGGCCGCATCGATTCCATCCCGATAGCGTGTGTGCCGGTGTCTTCCCCGCTGGTCGGCCCGGACGGCCAGCTGCTCATCACCAATGGCGAGGACCCAGAGAGTGCCCGTGTCGACTCGGTCAACCCGGGCACCGCAAAGAAGGACGATCTGTTTGGCTTTGGAGTCGCTGCCAAGATCGTCGGCATCGATGGACGCGGATCCGGCGAGTTCGCACTGCGCGTGGAGGGCACGAGTAGGATTAGACTGGACGCAATAGTTCGCGAGCGTCCTTTCTTCGAGGCCAAGGCGACTTACTATGAAGACGAAGGTAGGTTGTCTCATACCCATGTCCCCCTCATTCGAATTCCTTTGGTTGTCTGAGCTTGGATTTCTAATCTCAGTCTGCTTTAACCAGTCGATGTCACCGACAAGCAGCTGCAAGACCTGTTCAGCCTGCTAAAAATGCGCTCAAGAGAGCTGGTGACGATCCTACGCATCTCGTCATTGCTCCCGCGCACAGGCGGCCCTGCTCTCTCACCCGCCGTCACAAAACGATTAGAGATGCTCATTATGAGAAGGGAGTTGAAGGAGGCTGGGCTGCTGGCTGATTTCATGGCCAACCTTCTCGATGGTACCCATGAAGAAAAGCTCGGCATCCTAGCCGCCCTGGATATCAAGGTCAGGCTCACCAAGGTTATCGAGCTCCTGGAGCGCCAGGTTGGCGGTATCAAGAACAACTTCAAGATTACTACATTCACAACAGTCCCGGTCCAAATCATCGATCGATTAAATGAGAACCCTACTAGGAGGCCAAATACGATGCCTCCAATGGCCGGCATGGGGCTTTTGCCACCTCCAGGAGGGAACGATCAAAACGAAGACCAAGACGCCAACGAGCTTGACGAGCTCAAGAAGAAACTGCAGGCAGCAAATTTGCCACAAGAAGCCTCCAAGTCCGTGGATAGGGAACTGCGCCGGCTGCAGAGAATGCCGCCCATGAATCAAGAATACCAGGTCACGAGGAATTGGCTGGAGACGATATCGGAAATCCCCTGGACCGCGGCCACAAATGATCGGCTCGGGGCTGATACGCTAACCAAAGCTCGGCGGCAGCTTGATCTCGACCACTATGGCCTAGACAAGGTCAAGAGGAGGCTCATCGAGTACCTGGCCGTCTTGAGATTGAAGCAGTCCATCAATGACGATATGGAGGAGCAGATTCGCAAGGCCGAAGCTGATGCCGCTGTTGCTGAAAAGGCAATCACCGACGGCAAGAGCAGCGACACCGCCGAAGTAGCAGAAGACGTTGCTCAAAACGACGCCAGTCGACAAGAGGCGTCCGAATCCGAACTCGCCAAGCTCCAAGTGCTCAAGTCCAAGCGCACAGTCGACAAGTCGCCCATCATGCTCCTCATCGGACCCCCCGGCGTAGGAAAAACCAGCCTGGCCAAATCGGTTGCAACTGCTCTGGGCCGCAAGTTCCACCGCATCTCCTTAGGCGGTGTCAGAGACGAAGCTGAAATTCGTGGCCACAGGAGGACTTACGTGGCGGCCATGCCCGGACTCATCGTGCAAGGCCTCAGAAAGGTCGGTGTGGCGAACCCAGTCTTTCTGCTCGACGAGATTGACAAGATTGGTTCGGCGAGTGTACACGGCGATCCCTCGGCCGCCATGCTCGAGGTTCTAGACCCGGAGCAGAACCACAACTTCCAGGATCACTACGTCGGCATGCCGGTCGATTTGTCCAAGGTCCTCTTCATCGCCACCGCCAACAGCCTGGACACCATCCCCGGTCCTCTGTTGGACCGCATGGAGATGATCTATCTTCCTGGCTACACCACGCTTGAGAAGCGCCACATTGCCATCCAGCATCTGATCCCCAAGCAGCTCCGGTCCAACGGACTGGCGGATGACCAGGTCGAGTTCAGCCAGGAGGTGGTATCCAAAATCATCGAGTCGTACACCCGTGAGTCAGGGGTTCGCAATCTGGAACGTGAAATTGGCTCTGTATGTCGCGCCAAGGCTGTCGAGTACGCAGAGGCGAGAGACAATAACGCCCTGGAGACGTACCGGCCGCAGCTGACGCTTGATGACATTGAGCAGATTTTGGGCATTGAGAAGTATGAGGAGGAAATCGCCGAGAAGACCAGTCGTCCGGGCATTGTAACGGGACTTGTGGCCTACAGCACCGGTGGCAACGGCAGCATCCTCTTTATCGAAGTTGCTGACATGCCCGGCAATGGACGAGTACAGCTTACGGGCAAGCTGGGCGACGTTCTCAAGGAGAGTGTTGAAGTTGCCCTCACCTGGGTCAAAGCCCATGCCTATGAACTGAGCCTTACCTCTGATCCACACGTCGATATCATGAAGGATCGCAGTATTCACGTCCACTGCCCTTCAGGAGCGATTCCCAAGGATGGACCCAGCAGTGGTATCGGCCAGGCCATTGCCTTGATCTCACTATTCTCTGGCAAACCAGTGCCACCTACGATGGCTATGACGGTACGCTCTTTTCCCCTTTCATCATTACCCAAATCCAAGCAGTCTCTGCCCAACAACCCAAAACCCCTCCTTCTTTCCCCCTTCTCCCCCGTACACCAACCTTGACTGATATAGGCTGACGTGACATGGAAACACAGGGCGAGATATCCCTCCGCGGCCGAGTCACCGCTGTCGGAGGTATCAAGGAAAAACTCATCGGTGCCCTCCGAGCGGGGGTTAAGACGGTGCTACTCCCAGCACAGAACCGCAAGGACGCCAAGGATCTTCCTCAGGAAGTCAAGGATGGCCTAGAGATACTCCATGTAAAGTGAGTCAAATTCTTTCTGTCCCTCTCTGTGCTTCTGCCCCCTCCTCAAACTTCCACTCTTACACACTTATATCTCTTGACTGTACTGGCTTGCATTCAAAGATGCATCTTGCTTCCCCATATCATCATCACCACCAAAAAGGGTTAGAAAAAAATGCTATGAGAGAAGCAGTGTTACTAACTTCAATGGTAAAATAGCCACATTTGGGATGCGATCCGACTGGTCTGGCCTGATTCCCACTGGGCCGAAGATCACCAGTACGCTGGCATCGAGAGTCGTCTATAAGGATTACTACTAGTTTGCTTTGTCTGCTGGCGTCCCGGAATTCTGTCCTTGTGTCTTGCATTTGATCAGGCACCCTTGTTGTAACCCTAATCCAGCGTCATATATATATAAAAAAGGGAGCTGGGAGCGTGGCATAGTCTTGAAATGTATCAGATCTGAGACAAGACATTGATCAGATCATACAGATCTTTGGTATCGTACGCTATGTCTGCTACAAGCGATAGCTCTTGATTTAAGACAATAATATCCAAATACTAGTACTTGTATATCATCTGTCTCTACGTCGATCCGGCAATCGGGATTGCGGGATAAGAGTGTTCGAGGTTTTTTCCTTTCTATCTTTCCATTTACAGCGATAGGTAGCGTTCTTCACGTACCTCCTCTTCCCAGCGGGCTTTTGTGCGATGCTGTCACTGCATCCTCGCGCCACAGGAAGCGAGCTGCGTATTGAGCTCTGTTGTTTGAGAACCCTTGTATATTCTTCTGCGTCAAAAAAAAAAAAAAAAAAAAAAAAAAAAAAAAAAAAAAAAAAAAAAAAAAAAAAGAACCATTTCCCAACACGCCGCTCTTCCGATCCCTCTTCCGATC